TGTCCATTCAGCCACCAGGCGTGTGTGTGTATGTGTTTGCTTATCTGTATGTGCTCATAAGGTCGAAGGAGAGAGAGAGAGAGAGAGAGAATGAGAGAATGAATGTATGTGCAGCAGGCACGTCAAAAAGTATATTCATCATACGCCACAATATAATGCACTAGCCTGCATAAATCCATTACATGCATGAAACAATAACCTCGGGCAGCATAAATACAACACTGTACAATAGATTACAGGCAATATATAAACACCTGGCTTTGAAACGTTGTTTCACGAGAGATTGCAGAAAATTGTAATATAATTCAACGCAAAGCAATATATAACAATAAAACAGTTGACCAATAACATACAGCCAATTGGAATTGCCTCGTTTTTGTGAGAACAAGCAGTAAAACCCAGCAGTCAAACTTCATGGCTAACAATTTATGAGAGCAGTTTTTTTTTTTACAACGAATTTATCTTGGCAAGCCAACTATATACATTTGTTTAGTATATAATATATTCACCCTATTGTTACAGACACAGGGAACGCTTCTCTAAATTACTGCGCAACTCGAGAGATCAACAGAATTTAAAATGAACCGACAATGAACAGTCAATATTTATCGCGTTGTCCTGATGGGCAGGAACAGATCGTGCGTGATTTAACTTTTATAGACATTAGTATTGGTAGCAATGTTGCCCTTGTCTGGCTTTAATAACTAGGTTGTTATAGAACTCGAATTGTAATTTGACCAGGAACTGGTCATCAGTCATGCAGTATCACCTAATATTGTAGAACCTGTTTCGTCAAGCCTACACCCATGCGGGAAGGCTGTGTGTAGCACCATCAAATGTGCGGGATATTCAAAAGGCGATAAATATCACTAAGGATGCCAATACGAGAACAAAAGCACATAAGCCGAACGATATCAAAGATATCTGATTCAGTTTCGTCAAGGTTAACGTGAAAGTATTGGTAATAATGAAGAAAGAGAGAGACGCCTTTGAAGTTTTGGAGTATCGTTGTCAGTTGAAGAAACCTATACCGGTTTGAATTTAAAAGTTATATTCTGGTAGGCTGTGTCACACTCGTTGGAATAGAGAAGTGGTAGCTTTTAGTATGTGCTTACCTAGTAGTGCATGCGGGCAGAGAGGAACCTCAGCTCTTGGCCTCACCTCTTCACTATTGATTTTCAAATGCAACTTTAGTCAGATTTTAATAAAATGCCATAAAAGCTGGAATTTTTTTTGCAAATATTTTCATTATTCAATTTTTTCCTTTTTTCTTTAAAACAGATATCAAGTACATTAGATACTAGGGAAATATAAAGTGAGTATTAGACAAGTTTTATCGTCATAATTACTGTAGCGAATATATAATAGCGAATGGTTCTTGGCTGTTGGTAATATCTTGATCAACAGGATACTGCCATTTTTACATGCCTTAATGCAATCAAAAATATATTTGCTATAACGCACAAACTACTGTATTTATTTATTTTCCGTGAGCGATTTATTTCCCCACTATTTATTATTTACCTTTGCCAATAGGAAAATACCCTTTTGTCTACATGATATCACCGTAAGAATGTTGAAATCACTTCATATTGTTCTGGAAGGCTATGATGCCCTCTTGTTAGTTGTTTTTTTTTTGAGATATATACAAGAGTTGTTACATTCTTGTGCAGCCACTAGTACGCGTAGCGTTTCGGGCAAGTCCTTAATCCTATGGTCCCTGGAATACGATCCCCTGCCGCGAAGAATCGTTTTTTCATCCAAGTACACATTTTACTGTTGCGTTAAACAGAGGCTACAGTTAAGGAATTGCGCCCAGTAAATCCTCCTCGGCCAGGATACGAACCCATGACATAGCGCTCGCGGAACGCCAGGCGAGTGTCTTACCACTACACCACGGAGACTGTTGAGACTGTTGTTAGTTTAGTTCATTTATTATGCACCCCATACCCATCCTGTAACCTAGTAGTGGTAGTGGAAACGGTAACTGAGGCACATAATGGGCTCAGAGACTGAGCCCACAAGTCATATAGCTAAGTTACAATCTTGATGAGCTAGTTACAAAATTCAATGCACATCGTCATATCAACAATGGACTCGAGACCGACCACATGTACAGTTTTTAATATAAGCAACTGACATATGTGGAGAGTTAGTGTCACAATTGATATGTTTATCCTGCACACCGCCCCCCCCATCCAGTGGGCAGCGGTGGATAGGTTACAGTCACTCAATTACTACCTACAGAAAGCAAACTGGGGGATATTTGGCCAAGACTTCTGGCAATAGATAATTTTGAATGAAATATTTGCACATATCTTGAGCATTTAATATACAAATGTCTCTGAATTCACGTCTCTTTGCCCTCTTGCATCCTCGAAGTTAGGCCAATTACAACATTAACGAGTAGTAAAGAATGGATAATAACTACGCCTACCCGCCGAAGCCGGATAGACGTAGTAGCCATGAAACACATTATGCCGTAAATGTCAAAACCCTGTTAACCTTTAAAGTACCGCTGGAAAAGATCATCAAGGCAAATGGGGGGGATAAATGGGACAAGGCAAATGTCCTCTTGGAGGCCACTAGTGTTAGGGGCTCTCAGGTAAACTCAAGTAAACTATATATTGGATAATACGATGTACCAAAATTTTCTTGTATGTAAGTTATTAAGGAGTTATTCCTATCGACATTAATGGGGAAAATTGGGAACCCTTTGAGGACAGCTTCCTGTCCTCATTGATGCCAGTTAAAATGGTGGACCTTAGGTTAAAATAGAAATAAAAGGGCACGTTTGCTAATCTAGGAGAGTCACCCTCACATTCTACCGCCGAACGATGGTTTTCTATGAAACCTCACAGATACGGCTCAACATTATAAACATTATACATGTCGAATATGATATATATAAATAAAAATTTTGCGGAAAACGTATTTGATTTTTTCAATATTGGAAAACCATATGTGCAGTGCCATACGAGCACCCTGTAGACTTACTGACAAGCCCTGGAACACGTCTAGGGTACCTGAATATCCAGACAAGACCTGGAAGACTTCTGGAAAGCTGGATATACGGACAAGCCATGGAACACGGCTGGGAGCTGAATACACAAGTTATGGAAAACATCTAGGAGATGGACACTGTTGGGATCGAACTGTCGACAACCCAACACATTTAAAATAGGTTTGTTCTGAATGTTTATCTTATGTTTCGTTGTAATATAACGGGGTACATTAATCTGATCAGGTGTCAGCCTCAGCCGGACCTATTGTCAGGTGCGACACACTTTGTGCTGAGGTCTGACAAAGGACAAGAAAATAAGATTGTATAAAAACTTCATCATGGATATAGTCGGATATATCTCTAACCACCTTTATATACAATATAAAACATGTATATATATTAAGGTATTTTACATAAGTACAGTTTTTATATATATATATATATATATATATATATATATATATATATATATATATATATATATATATATATAGAGAGAGAGAGAGAGACACTGCGACCATGAAATGGTCGTCTCATGTCCGATTGTTCTTCCCACTTATAGATCATCCACTTTTCCGTAATTAGGACCACTATTCGGACACTGTGTGTTACCTCAACACCTACCTGAAACTATCAAAGGCGGTGACTTCCACGACCTCAGAGACGTTTACCATGCCGCTAGGTCCTCACGTCCTTTTCCTTTGGTGAGGGTGGAGCATACTGGAACAGTTGGGTCAGTTGGTCAAACATCCGAAAGCGACGACAACATGTTGACTGAATGGAGGGGAGTAGATGTCTGTTTCTCCACATACTCCGGCCAGCACTCATTACCTCGCCCGGTGGTTCTGATTGGCTAACAGAAATTCCCGCCACCGGACGAGCCATACCGTGCTGACCGTTAACGACCTCCATGGTCGTTAACCTCGTTCCTCCTGTAATAATGAACGTATTACTATTAAATAACCGTGCCTTTATGCGACGAAATAACACGATACGATATTTCGTAACAAGACACAGGCCCTGGAACACGTCTGGGAGCTAGCTGGACACACAAGTCCTTGACGACGTATGGAAGTTATCTGGACAAACACGCCCAGGAACACGCCATAGGAGCAGAACAGACAAGCTCTGGAACGTCTAAATCGCTGCCTAAGAAAAACGTCTTTTTATGCAGGAAAGTAGATTGAGTTATATCTGAATGGTAGAATGGAACGAATAAATTAGAAATAAGAGAAAGGGGGTCTACTGTAGAAAGAGGATATGATAGGAAAAATCGTTTCTATGTTAAGCAATGAAGAAAACATAAAAAAAGAGCTGAATCATAAATCATATAACCAAGTAGGTAGAAATTTTATAGGGTTAAAAACAAATACAAATTATTCATCACTAAGGGCCAAATAAAACTGATATATATTAATTCGTATTTGTTTAATATTTACAAAGCACTTCAAAGTGCAGCACACAAAGCAGTGCATGAGACCACAAGAAACATTATCACATATTGTTTGTCCTGCTCTAAACCTTGCCAACCAACTACACTGACATACTGCACCTGTCATTCAACACTTACTGCTCAACCAGCCTCTCAAAATGTTCTGACAACTATCCCCATGAATTATAAAATAAATTATTTTGTTTATATAGACGAGGTTCCCAGCATAGGACGGTTGGTCCCTTTCCTAGATTAGGGTGATGGCAGAACGAGGTCACCAACAAGCAAAGAATATAAAAGAACATAGAGAACTAGGTGGGCCGAGTCCGACCAGGGAGCCGGTCGGCCGAGCGGACAGCACACTGGACTTCTGATCCTGTGGTCCTGGGTTCGATCCCAGGCGCCGGCGAGAAACAACGGGCAGAGTTTCTTTCACCCTACGCCCCTGTTACCTAGCAGTAAAATAGGTACTTGGGTGTTAGTCAGCTGTCACGGGCTGCTTCCTGGGGGTGGATGCCTGGTCGAGGACCGGGCCGCGGGGACACTAAAGCCCCGAAATAGTTTTTATCTTAAACTGGTTGAGAGAGGTACAGTCTTTAACATGGTTGGGAAGATCATTCCAAGATAAATCATCTCAAGATAACTCGCATCATGTTATCTGACTACCTGAAGTGGCTATATGCACGGAGGAATGTATATTCGCCTTGTTTACACTTGTTCATCAACAGATGCCAACACCGTTACCACGTTTTGTGAATTACTCATACAGTATATATGTCCGGGTTTGCTTATTATGCACCCCATTCCCATCCTGCGAGCGATGGCGGAAAGGTTAAAGAGGCACAGAACGAGTTTAGGAACTGAGCACAAATACTCGTTTAACAAAGCAAGTAACAGTATTATTAACTAGTTACAAATTGTTTTACTATCTACAGCAATACTCTTTTACTTAGTTTAGATCATTTATTATGCACCCAATACCCATCCTGAAACCATAAGTGAAACATTTTAAGAGACAAAAACTTTATGTGACTTTACACATACACATTTTTTTATTTATATACAAGAAGGTACATTGAGTTTGTGAGAATACATAGCATGGTATTTACAACCTTGTAAAGCCACTAGTACGCGCAGCGTTTCTGGCAGGCACATCAAGCCATATTCGTTTAGCTAAGCAAATTACATAGTTTGTTAACATAAATAAATCGATAGTCTACACAGTGTATCAAACTAACATCACCGTGACCCCAAGAGTCCGTAATACAAAGAGTAAGAGTGTGTTAAATTAATAGATTATGGGTCCTAAATTCCCTCCCACCCCATGGACTGTGGCAGAAGGGTCACAGTCTCACAAACTCCTTCTCAAACAGGACCAACAAGCTTTAACGGTAAGCAATTATCAAACGAAGACACGATTAACACTTGTAGTGAAACTATTTACATTTGGTTGCTAGGGTCATACCATGCGCCTCTACAAGTATCCCGGGAGCGGCTGTGGTAGCCTACAGTCACTCACTACGCTTTAGTGCTACAGTGGCCCGGAAGGGGGTTAATATACACTCAAGTATACTCAATAATGTACACTCAGTCATATACACTGTGTATAAGACCGTAGAACCCACACGTTCTGTAGCTTCGATTTACAAAAGTTATTAATTTGAAGTGCATTGATCAATATGTAATTTATATCGAAGATGTAATAGGCTTTCTTTACATTCGAGGATATTCGAAGCTTTGCGGTAATTAACTTTTTCAATATGAATCCAAAGACTTAAACCTGCATGATAGAATGGTCTTTAGTGATGTACGGTATCTAAAATGAATATAATATTAACAGGATTACGAAGCACGGGTGTATAAAACTTATCAAAATACAAATACAATGAAGGATATGTTAATGAGTAGTAATCATGGAAACCTTGCCTGAAACTAATGCATGTTTTAATACTTTTTTTGCGAAAGTGAAGGAAAGACCGAATATGTATAAATGTATTAAAAGCCAAATTATCGGATGTAACCGACATCTTTTCTCAAGGTATTTGTATACAATGTTCTCAAAAATGTATACAAGGTGCTTGTATAAAATGTTCTCAAAATGAATACAAGGTACTTGTATACAATGTTCTAAAAAAAAATATGTGAGAACATTGTATACATCACTTTGAGAACGGATGTACGTTACATCCGAAAATTAGTTTTTTAATACATTTTATACATATATTGGGTCTTCACCTTGACTCAAGCACTACGGCATTGTAGTGAGTTTCTCCATATTTGTTCTATTGTATTAATATCAAATATTGCATAATCTCATCGATAATCATACAGCAATACTCAGCAGACCTAATCTTTGACGTCATATCAGTAGAGCGTTGTGAAACAAATGTTTGGGTAAATAGGTGACAGTTAAGACCTTTGATGAAGTTGAAATATGATTATTAATAAAACAAATATTAATGCAAGTAACATATAAAGTAGGAAATAGTAACATGAAACATGTTAACTTACTATTTTGTACATAGTTCAATGGAATTCTTCTTGACTTACAGGCAAAATTATCAGTAATTTTGCTGTAAAATTTTGGCATGCTCTCAAGATCATGCAATAATTCTGTATATTTGACAAATCTTGATATCCGTAAGTATTCCATACATTTGTATCAGTTGAAAACAGAAGACATACCTAACAGTAAACTCTTTGTACACTGCGACTGCATTTTCAGTTAGGGGGCAATAAGTCCAAGTAAATGCGTGTACCGTCACGTCACCTCTGAAAGTCAACTGATATTCTTAAGCTGAATGTTACCATAGACAGTAGTCTCACACAGTGATGCCATCTTCTTTAAAAACAAAATTTAAGAGATTTGAAAAAAGTTTGTACCATTACTTATTTTATTATTGACAATTGCTTACGTTATCATTCAAGTACTATGATAATGAGTAATAATTTACGAAACTGAGAAAAAATTAGATCATTATTATTTACAGATTTATGATTGTATTTAATGAACTGGGAATGCTGCCAGGCTCTCTCCCTCTGCTGGAAGGGGAGGACTCTGTTTATTTCTCCAAATCTCTTACCAAAATTAATTATATTGAGTGGTAATAACACATATTATTGAGGGGACATTCTAGCATCAGAATGCTTTCCACAATATATTTGTTTGATAACTTTATTTACATGGTTTTGGAAAAAGGGGGAGTAAGACAAGTTAAATTATGTATTTTCATCTTACATCTGGCAGTGATATATCATTTTGTTCAGCATGTACTCACCTAGTTGTGCTTCCGGGGGTTGAGCTTCGGCTCTTTGGTCCCGCCTTGTGGTCAAACAAGAAGGCTACTTACTGCAAATGTTGCGTAATGCACGAACACATTTTCATCTCAGACCAAAAAAATACAGGATGCTATATAAAACTGAATTAATTAATACAGCAAATAAATAAATATATTTTAATTTGGAAGGGAAGAATTTGTATCAGGAAAGCAATGCTTACCTTTCTTCTTAGGAATACACACCACTGCGTCATAACAAAAATATATTATATATACATATATGCAACAAGGATAAAAAAAAAACGCTGATCCAGTAATGAAGAATAATCAGTGAAAAAAAAATGAAAGGTTAACAGCCTAGCGCTTTCAACGCAGAAACAACTATGCTGAGGAACCAGCTCAGACCTCAAGAGTATAGCTCATATATATGCGTGTTAATATATTATTAGCACACATATATATATGAGCTATACTCATATATATGTGTGCTAATACACATATATTAGCAGTGCTAATAGCAACCTGTGCTTGCCCGGGCCCTCACAATGAACACACTACAGCGTGTAGCGCATGAAGCAAATCAAGAAAGATTAATTGTCACGAAAATCTGTTTTACGGAAATTGCAAAGTTTTAATACCTTCAACTCCAACACATGTGAGCATACGAAACATCTTCCAGTATAATGTAATAATACTGCTATAATTATACACAAAAATACATCATTCATATGGAAGCGCCTCTAGAGAACGTTATCAAAACTTAAATTACCTTAATTTTACCTAAATTTTAAATTGTAATTGATATATATATTGTTAAAAATTTGAACTTTGAGAATTACGATTGCTAACCTGCAGGACACGATATCTGAGGATGGCTTATCTGCAAGACTCTTAATGCCTGAAGACAGCTCCCATGCAGGACATGATGCCTGAAGATATCTTAGTTTCTGGCACCTAATTCGTGATGATAGCTCATCTACATGAAACCTGATACCAGAAAGTAACTCATCTTAATTCAGTTATCCCAGTGATGTCGAAAGACAAAAACCCATTTCCAATGCTATTTTAACAACTTTCAGACATTTTCCTTCTTAATTTCAGTATACTTTTCCGTTACGCTGCTTTCCTTATCTTTGCTTTCTTTCGGTATGGACCAGCATTTTCTTTAGGGTTTTAATTCTCTCGTCCATATTAGCGGTGCCTTCGAAGATACTGGCTCCCAGGGGGATGGCGTCCAGGCCAGGCACGTCAGGCACCCCAAATCTGAAACACGATAACCTGTAAACTAGCCTGAACATGCTGCTAAATCTATATCTGCCTGAATTGATCTATCTATTACCGTGTGTGAGAGAGAAAAAGAATAAGAGTGCAGCATCAACAATGAACAAGTTTAATCACGAAAGGATGATAAGAACCAACAGGCAGGCGACCCACCTTCTGGAGACCTCCATCCTCTGCATTGCCCTCAGGAATTTGATGAAGGAGACCTCTGACCTGGAGTAGTGCTGACACTTGCTGTTTCCTGCTGTAGCGGTGTACCCCTCCACCTGTCAACACAACACTGCCTTTAACCAAGACGGTCGTAAGAGTTAAATGGGACTTGAACCGGGGTCCAAGTTGTCGCACACCCACACGACATTCCTCTTGCACTGGATCTTAGCTCGCTTGTCAAATACTCATTTGGTTCAAGTCTCAGGTACGCAGAGCAGACCTGAATAGTCTCACCAATATAGCATTAATCTCCCTGAGTAACATTGGTTACACAATCTTGTAAGAAGAACCTGAGTTCTTCTGAATTACAATCTTAGAACCTGAGTGGGCGATTCTGGTTAAAATGGGATCATTATTTGTCTTTAACATGTCGATAAACTACACCATTAAATATGGATCCATAGTTATCGAAGGAAACATTCTCGATCTCCTATCACGACACATCTCTCGAGAGATCTTAAAAATCAAAAACATTATCTCAACTAATATTTAAAACTGTCCTCCACTGACCAACAGAGCTGCTACATTTAAACTCTTTCTATTTAAACTGTTGACATGGTATAGTGTATACAGTATAAATTATGCGTGGTATTTATGGGGGATAGTATAGATTGGTATGAGACCATGGCTTCCCACCACCACCACCACCACCTACCATATCAGACCATGGCTTCCCACCACCACCACCATCACCTACCATATCAGACCATGGCTTCCCACCACCACCACCATCACCTACCATATCAGACCATGGCTTCCTACCACCACCACCACCTACCATATCAGACCATGGCTTCCTACCACCACCACCACCACCTACCATATCAGACCATGGCTTCCTACCACCACCACCACCTACCATATCAGACCATGGCTTCCTACCACCACCACCTACCATATCAGACCATGGCTTCCTACCACCACCACCACCTACCATATCAGACCATGGCTTCCTACCACCACCACCACCTACCATATCAGACCATGGCTTCCTACCACCACCACCACCTACCATATCAGACCATGGCTTCCTACCACCACCACCACCTACCATATCAGACCATGGCTTCCTACCACCACCACCACCTACCATATCAGACCATGGCTTCCTACCACCACCACCACCTACCATATCAGACCATGGCTTCCTACCACCACCACCACCTACCATATCAGACCATGGCTTCCTACCACCACCACCACCTACCATATCAGACCATGGCTTCCTACCACCACCACCACCTACCATATCAGACCACCACCATCACCTACCATATCAGACCATGGCTTCCTACCACCACCACCACCTACCATATCAGACCATGGCTTCTCAGCTCCAAACATCATAGCAGCATCTTGCTTCATAAAACCGCAAGTTTTCATTAGCTGCTTTGTCAGTGCATTGAGCCTGGAGACTTCGCGGTCCATCCTCTGCCTCCCGAAGTCCTCCACTAGGTCGTCGAACTTCCTGACGAAGCGCTCATAGAGCAGGTAGTCTGGGGCCAACTTCTGACGGAGGACTTTCTGCGTCTCACTGCTCAGCTTGTTCTTGAACTGTAGATAGAGGAGCGTCATTAAGGGTGGTGCTGGAGTACTGATATTTTATGATATAAATGCAGCATTCAAATGATTTTCAATGCTAAAAATGATGTTAAAACAGAACACAGCAGTGGACGATGCTAGCAAATACACATACATCATGTATAGTTCGACCATTACAACAAATCTATGAAATTTAACATTAATATATCCAAAGAGAATTATATTAAATGAAGTAACGAAACCTCTAAGCTACCAATTTACTCCTAGAATGGTACCTTAACTTTGGGGCACATAAGGCATAGTTTTGAAGAACCAGAAAGGTAGCCGCGGTCAAAGACCCAGGAAGGTAGCCAAAGTCAAAGACCCAGGAAGGTACCCGAAGTCAAAGACCCAGGAAGGTGGCCGAAGTCAAAGACCCAGGAAGGTAGCCGAAGTCAAAGACCCAGGAAGGTAACCGAAGTCAAAGACCCAGGAAGGTAGCCGAAGTCAAAGACCCAGGAAGGTAGCCGAAGTCAAAGACCCAGGAAGGTAGCCGAAGTCAAAGAACCAGGAAGGTAGCCGAAGTCAAAGACCCAGGAAGGTAGCCGAAGTCAAAGAACCAGGAACCGAAGTCAAAGAACCAGGAACCGAAGTCAAAGAACCAGGAACCGAAGTCAAAGAACCAGGAACCCTTGAAGTCAAAGAACCAGGAAGGTAGCCGAAGTCTAAGACCCAGGAAGGTAGCCGAAGTCAAAGAACCAGGAATGTGAGGTCACTTTGGAGGTCCTGGCGTTGAACCTGAGAGCGATGACGTCTCTGAGGTTCCAGCAGAGGAGGTGACTCAGGAGCACCAGCGACTCTTCCATCCGCTCCGCCACCAACACCAAGTCGAACTCCGCCTCCGCCTTCCTCACCTGCATACAACAACATCTTATAAAAACCTTACTGTATAAATACACGCGCACCGAAACAGGCAATCTAGGTTAAATACAACGTGTTGTATGCTAGGCGACGCCCACAGGTAATTCACACCAACACTCACTAATGCTACCACTCTACATAACCTTCACGCTCTGACACAGTGTCAATAAAGGGTCTACGAAAACATTGATTTCAACTCAGCATCTTATAAGATGCAAATTATTTACTTCCCCTTTATATTATATTAGTGTAAATAAGTTATAGTTAGATAAAATTTGCACAAAACACACACAGCTAATAAACAAAAAATCTGCATACACAAATAGTAAATAAATATATACACGGGAAGGGGGGGGAGGTAGAAATAGCCTAAGCTACTCTATTCCTTTGAGATGTATTCCTTTCTTGTCTCAATAAACATACTTGAACTTGAACTTGAACATAAACACACACACCTTTTTCAGTAAGCAAGCACAAACACAATATCAAAGTGCGAGTTTTTATCATCTTTCTGCATAAAATTTCACCCCCTCCTATCATTCTAATAGAGCATAGTTGTAAACTATCTGAATGTATTAGCATTTTCCGGTTATATCACTTAAATGAAGGCAAGAACTGACATCCTTAAGAGCTTTTCCAAACGATCTCAGAGCCCCTAGAGTCACCAACATCATTTTGACTCCTCTCAGAGCCCCTAGAGTCACCAACATCATTTTTACTCATCTCAGAGCCCCTAGAGTCACCAACATCATTTTTACTCATCTCAGAGCCCCCAGATTCACTAGCATTTTCATGACTCATCTCAGAGCCATGGGTACCACCAGCATCACAGAGATTCACCTGATACCCACGCTCATCCTCTTGATCTCTCTCCTCACGTTCCTGTTCATTGATTACTATGCTAAACACATCTGGTGGCAATGCCTTGCTGAACTCCCACGCCTATCTTACACTCTCAACGTTCATTTCGACACACACACACACACTCAATAGACTCTATTATAGGCAAGAATGTTAATGCAGAAATCAAAGAGGTATCTCTGAATTAGATGACCGATAGCTGAAAAGGGCGGGGGCCCAGACACTCAAACACACACACACAGGTATACCTTGCACACTTACCAGCTCACGCACAGCTGTGAGGTTGTTAGCGAGGGTCTCATTCTCTATGCCGAAGTCCCAGACCATCTGGTTGTAGCCCAGGTAGCCATTGTACCGCGGAGTGTCGGTAGGAACACTCGCAGCGAACTCCTCCACCGGCAGCCCGTAGAACTGAAGGACGGTAAGAGTTAGTGACGAGGCAGTTTAGAGAGAGAGAGAGAGAGAGAGAGAGAGAGAGAGAGAGAGAGAGAGAGAGAGAGAGAGAGAGAGAGAGAGAGAGAGAGAGAGAGAGAGAGAGAGAGAGAGAGAGAGAGAGAGAGAGAGAGAGAGAGAGAGAGAGAGAGAGAGAGAGAGAGAGAGAGAGAGAGAGAGAGAGAGAGAGAGAGAGAGAGAGAGAGAGAGAGGCAGAGAGAGAGAGAGAGAGAGAGAGAGAGAGAGACAGAGACAGAGACAGAGACAGAGACAGAGAGAGAGAGAGAGAGAGAGAGAGACAGAGAGAGAGAGAGAGAGAGAGAGAGAGAGAGAGAGAGAGAGAGAGAGAGAGAGAGAGAGAGAGAAAGAGAGAGAGAAAAGAGAGAGAGAAAGGAGAGAGAGAGAAAGGAGAGAGAGAGAGAGGGGGGGGGGGGGAGGCAGGCAGGCAGACACAGAGACTCATTTACTGACCTTTTCCATCTTGGCATAAGTATATAGTGATTCGAACAGCTCCATGGGATCCCTGACGATGGAGATGTAGACGGTGTCGTTGGGCATCACACTGGCCACCTGTGGCGGAGGACATGACGTTAGGACACACCCCGACGCGTCAAGTCATGTCTCAACTCACTGCAACGCGCTCTCATCCTCTTCAAAACTGCATGGATTCACAGGTTTAGATCAACACAATATTTTATACACACTTTAGTGCATTCTCTAACATGAGCATGTCCCAAGCACTTGGACTGGACGGTAGAGCGACGGTCTCGCTTCATGCAGGTCGGCGTTCAATCCCCCCGACCATCTAGGTGGTTGGGCATCATTCCTTTCCCTCCGTCCCATCCCAAATCCTTTTCCTGATCTCTTCCCAGTGCTATATAGTCGTAATGGCTTGGCGCTTTTCGCTAATAGTTCCATTCCAACATGAGTACATGCACTCACACGACGGACCATGAGCATATGTGTCATGATACACACTCATAACTCACGATACGTTCTTGTGCATGACACACAGTATTATATAGACTCGTGCACTGTGACCTTAACTTGCTAGAACACTCTGGCCTTCGAGATATTGCACAAGACATGCAATACAAGAATTAATTCATAACACAAATGCACACGGACTAATGCAGTATAAGATCAAGCCATACAATGTGAGACTAATTGGTGCTACAAGACACTCCTTTATGGAATGCTCTCTCTCGTTTAAACGTCCACTTTACAATAGGTCACACACACACACACACACACACACACACACACACACACACACACACACACACACACACACACACACACACACACAGTTTCAAGTGTAGATATGATAGAGCCCAATAGGCTCAGGAACCTGTACACCTGTTGATTGACAGTTGAGAGGCGGGCCGAAAGAGCAAAGCTCAACCCCCGCCAACACAACTAGGTGAATACATTAACACAGTAAGACAAACCTGCTGGTGATCCCACTTCATATGAACGGCCATAATATTGACCCCTAGCTTGCTCCAGGGGGACAACCGCAGCATGTCAGCGTTGAAGGGCCGCAGTCCGCCGCCGAAGTAATTGCCTGCGTCTGGCAGGCCGAAGTGAAGTCCGTGCGCCAGACCATACCGGAAAAGAATATTCTGCAAGGCAAGTGGTAAGCTTCGATGAACGCGTTACACGTGAGCACTCACGGATTCTCTCTCTGCTTGCCTATCTATATATTATTATTTGTTTAAATAAGACCTTGGTTTTTATTAGGACGGCAATGATATTCCAAAATTAATCCTCAAACTATGATCTGTTATCCTAAATCAATTCATATGAAGCCTGGCCCCAGAAACTGATCTGTCATGAGCTTATTACTTATTTAGCATACTGTTAGCTTTTATTAGCTAAGAACTTTATTTAATGTTAAGTTACAATCATATTAGGTTTAAAATGAAGCTGGAGCTGTGTGCCAGAGCTTTCATGTGATCGGTTGACATGATTTCACTTGTTGAAAGAATGTGCTCCAAATGCGAGTCAGTCGAAGAATGAATGATTACTGACAGTGGTGTCCTTGAGAATGGCACGGCCAGTATATTGAGGCTGTTGATGGTCGAGTACCTTGTGTTGCCATCTTCTGCTTGGGCCGGGTGTGGGAATCTTGATAACATAGGCCTTATTATATAGATAACAACACGGCCACTGACCTCTCTCTCTGGTGTTGAATGTTTTCAACCAGAATGGATGACGTCTTCTTACATAGTTCTGTAAGTATCTAGAAGTCAGATGGAGAGGAAGGGGTGAAGGGTGCCACGCCATCCAGGAGAGCAGTGCATGCTGAAGACTGGAGTCAAAAGTTTCACACCCACTGCTGCCAAGACAGTACGAAATGCCCCTTAGTGCAGAAAATTTCTTGTTTGACTTACCTGCTGGGTTCAGCACACGCGACTGGCTGGCAACTCTCTCTCATTCTCTTGTCTATCCCTCTCTTTTTGTCAATTTCTCTATCTCTCACTATTCATGATGACCCACCTGGATAGTAGATGAGGCACACTTATGGCTCTTGAGAAAGGCAACGTTGGTCCGCGGGCTGCAGCTCCCGGCCTCCCTCTCCTGGACCCAGGCCGGCGTCGACGACACCCTGTAGGAAGCAGCATCTCACTACACTATAGTAAGGAAGATATGGTTGGGGTTAAATAATAACCAAACACCTTCAGGCAGGGGAAAGAGTGTGTCAGGCAACAGAACAACACCAAGAGTGATGCAAGAGGGAATAGAAGGTGACAGAGGAGCCACACTGGAGCCACACCCACTATAAGAGGCGAGATGTAACACACAACAGTCTTACGGGCTATTCATGCCCGTGCCACCTCTTGGGTGGCTTAATCTTCATCAATCAATCAACACAACAGTGGTGTGGGAGGGAGGAATATACCAGTGGCGGCGAGGAAGCTTGGCAGGGTTAATCAGAGCAACAGCTACGGTAGAGATGAAGACACCATATCCAGGATGGCTCAAATGTTTCTTTACCGTATTATTATTTTATTAACACAATCATAAGTAAAAACTAAAATGGAAAACAATATTAACAAAAGAAATAAAAATGCATTTTAATTATAAAATCTGAATGTATGTATTTTTATTAATCTTATGTGTTTTGTTATTTTAATTTTACATATGATTAAAATAATGTTACGGTAAAGAGACATTTGGGCCACATATTTATAGATGTCTGGCTTCGCAGAGAAGAATGCACTCATTTGATTATAAGCTGTTTAGTGCTAATAGTGAGGAAAGGTGAGTGTGAAATAATTAAGCTGTCTACTACAGTGTTTTCAAGTATTCTGCGTGAAAGAGAGGCAGTGCAAATCAGAGGAAGTTCCATAGTGAAGGAGTAGAGACAACTACAGTGAAGGAGTGGAGACAGCTACAGTGAAGGAGTAGAGACAACTACAGTGAAGGAGTGGAGACAGCTACAGTGAAGGAGTGGAGACAGCTACAGTGAAGGAGTGGAGACAACCACAGTGAAGGAGTGGAGACAACTACAGTGGGAGGGAAGAGTATCTACCTCCTGAGAGTGACCAGGCTGGAGGTGATGTGGAGAGAGAATAACAGCATCACAGCCAAGAGAGCACCACACAGCATCTTCTGGCGGAGGAGCCGCAAGCAGGAAGCCTTCAAGTGCAGGTGGAGCTCCTGAATCATACGCAGCACCATCCTGCAGGAGAGGGAATGATGTCCCTGACGTCCCTTGATTGTGTCTGGAGAGAGAGACAAGACGGTTCAAGCAACCTTTCCAAGCACATATACGTAGACAATATGGCACGCAAGTCATTTTTACAATGATATAGGCAATGTGTTAACGTTTACAGAGTACACACAAATATGGCACTGTGCCAAAAGGTATATGGTGTGTGCCTGACCAGGTACGCTGGTTGGCTCCAACCGACGTGACACCACATTCAGTCAGCAAGATAATGTAACAGCTGTGCAAATCCTCACACCTGTGATCCTTAGTTCCTAGAGTAACTGTCACTGAAACATTATTAGTGTTAAGGCGATGAGTCACAATAACGTGGCTGAAGTATGTACTTCTTTCCTCCTCAGCTCTCTCTTGCCTATTTATTGCCTGTCTCTACCTCCTCCTCACAATCGACTTGAGAATGGTCCAGGACGGACCGTGTGGGAACCGACCTGTGAGATTTATATTTATTTAATTTATAAGAATTTATATTTACGTTAATTTATATACTTCGATAGCAATTTGTATAATGTTAAGTGGACTGTATTTCTGCAATAATCTCTTAATCTCACAAATCGATCCTCTACACATTAGGGGGGGGTTATTAAATTAATATATATGCAGCCAATCAAACTACAGTAATAGCTACATACATTGATGAGGTTCCTTATCTTATAGTACAGCAGGTTAGTCCACCAGGTATAACTAGGGTGTAGACACCAAATTATCCTCTTTGAGGTAGCTTCCTCACCCAGTAACTGGTGCACAAAGTCTTGCATCCTCGTCTTGACCTGTCAAAAGGGCGCTAGCTGTGAAGCCAGAAACCTAGTATATGACAAGTATTTCAGAGAAAACACTATATGGAACATAGAACATGAAGACCTGGCTTAATTACCTTTAGTTTGAGGCGATTTCGCGATCTAACCGGGTCACCCTATATCCTGACATTAATGGCCATAAATGAATGATAAACGGGTTTCGGATAGACACTTAACTTGAATTTGTAGACAGCGTGTTGACAATGGTACACTTCTGGTTTCCATAACACTACGTCCAAGTAAAATTAACAGGAGCCGAATTTGCTCCCGTGTGAGCCTCTGGTCTCAATAAACCATGGCTGCATCTAACACTCCATTCTATTGACGTCTGGCCGACATTGTCCAGAATGATAGGAGCCAAATTTGCTCCACACGTCTCGGAGGTGACACAACAATGGCTCCCTCCTTCCTCCCTCTGACGCCTGGCTTACATTGTCCACATTTCAGAAAGTGATAGAAGGGTCACATTTACTCTACTTTAATATTGATAATTAAGTTAATTTATATAAGATGTTTTATGATGGTAAAGTCCAAAGACTAATGTATTTAAGAATAATTCCCAGCAGAATAGCTGGTGAATTATAATGGTATGTGGTGATGATATCCCGTTTTCTTTAGACGGTAATTCCACTACAAGTTACGTTTTCTATGGGTAACTTGTTGGTAATACAGTTATTATCTGTATGATATTAAATGGTGTCGGATTTTCCGACAGACCGAAACGTCGTCGTCCCTTCAACTTCTAGTGTGTGGTCTGGTCAACATTATTAGTGTGAGTGTGGTGGGGAAGGGCAGGGGAATAAATACTCACCCCCAAATATACCAAATTAATGATATATTATATAACTGCCTTTCAAAAAATCTTGGGGTAAAGACTCAACCACTCATTTAAAAATATTGCCAAAAGTACCGGGCTGAGTTGGAGAGTAGAAATAGCCTAAGCTACTCTATCCTCTTGAGATGTATTTTATAGTCTCAATAAACGTACTTGAATTTGAACGGGGGTTAATTATAAGTTAAGGTGTGCTACCCCTCAATCCCTCATCCTAATCCCTTTGTCTGATTTACACTTGATCAGCCCAAAGAGAAGTGTAACGATTTTTGTAAATTGTTATAAATAAAGCAATCTAATATACGTTTGCAGGGGTCCGTTACTACTGGCCTGGCCGCGGCACCCCCACAGTGGGTGTGGTGGGTGTGTCTGTGGGGTCGACCGCTGGATGTAATAGACTTGAGTCGAGGACTGGTTGGCATTTCGAGTATTCCAGTAGAAAAAAAGTGAATTTTTTTTTAGGTAAACAACTACATTTGTACGTTCGACTAATAGTTGTCATAAATACTACAATTTTTGGAGGATGGGTCGCATACTTATTAAAATCGTAGGCACTCCTACTATAATCTTTGCTTACATTTACCAAAAAATTATTTTAAAATTTGTAATGTGAAAGAAAACTGCGTAATCGTTTTTCTCTCTAAATGTTCAGTTTACACAAAATCCAAGTCTTCTTGGATCTCAGAAAACTTGTTTGCAAACGGAAGAACTGCCTTCAGTAACATGGTGATGTCACACTTTGTTACGCTTGACTACGTAACAAAGCAGTTCAGTTTGGCTTTGACCAATGACCTCAGCGCGGTCTCACATTAACAGTTAGGCTATTGTCGCCAATATTACTTACGGAACGGCATGTAACGCATCTCTAGCTTACTCACCGCATCTTTAACTAACTCATCGCATCTTTAACTAACTCATCGCATCTTTAACTAACTCATCGCATCTCTAGCTTATTCACCGCATCTCTAGCTTACTCACCGCATCTCTAGCTTACTCACTACATCTCTAGCTTACTCACTACATCTCTAGCTTACTCACTTCATCTCTAGCTTACTCACTTCATCTCTAGCTTACTCACTACATCTCTAGCTTACTCACTTCATCTCTAGCTTACTCACCACATCTCTAGCTTACTCACCACATCTCTAGCTTACTCACCTCATCTCCAGTTTACTCACCGCATCTCTAGCTTACTCACCTCATCTCCAGTTTACTCACCGCATGGCTAGCCTACTCGCTGCATCTCTAGCTAACTCACTATAGTCTCACGTCTTAACCCTCATTACTAATGGTACTGTCTGGCATAATCTAACCAATCATGTCCATATAACTCCTTCCTATCAAGCTTGTGTAAGTACACCAAACTTAAAAAAAGCCTATTGTATTCTAACCGATTGTTGCCGCCAACACCGACTAGTTTATTGTGCACCCTGTACTCATAATGTGAGTAGTTTATTGTGCACCTCATACTTATACTGTGAGTGGTAGTTTATTGTGCACCCTATACTCATACTGTGAGCGGTAGTTTATTGTGCACTCTGTACTCATAATGTGAGTGGTAGTTTATTGTGCACTCTGTACTCATAATGTGAGTGGTAGTTTCTGTGCACTTCATACTCATACTGTGAGTGGTGGTTTATTATGCAACACATACTGTGAGCAGTAGATTATCGTGCACCCTATACTCATACTGTGAGTGGTAGTTTCTGTGCACTTCATACTCATACTGTGAGTAGCAGTTTATTGTGACCCCCCCCCCATATTTATCATGTGAGCGACAGCTCAAAGGGATTACAAGGGTCACAAAAGGTCTTAAATCTATCGTCACCTAACATATCGTAGCCTAACCTATCATTGCTAAACCAATCATGGCTTAACCTGTCACCTAACCTATCATTGCCAAACCAATCATGGCTTAATCTATCGTAGCCTAACCTATCATTGCTAAACCAATCATGGCTTAACCTGTCACCTAACCAATCGTAGCCTAACCTATCATTGCCAAACCAATCATGGCTTAACCTGTCACCTAACCAATCGTAGCCTAACCTATCATTGCCAAACCAATCATGGCTTAATCTATCGTCACCTAACCTATCGTAGCCTAATCTATCGTAACCTAACTTAGCATAACCTAACCTATCGTCACCTAAACATTCTACAAGATACAATAATATCTACATATATTCTCATTTAAATATAACTGAAGCAAAAAGTTTTCTTGGTGAATAACAATACATATATTACCTTAGGTTAGGTAGTTAGGATAACATAAAGTACAGGAAGAAGCAGGAGTGTCGTGGTGATACTAGAAGAGTGACTGAAGCAAGAGAGGTAGTGGGAGTTGTCCTGAAGCAGCGGGTGGAGGAGCCGGGTTAGAGATGCCTGCCCCAGGGCCAAGAGCAACTCACTTTCACTGTTCCAGGAGTGGCTGTGATGTTAGGGGGCTCCCTGGTGATGCTGCCTGTTGCTGCTTGACACTCGGAGAACACAGATCTTACTGGACAGGCTTTTATATTAAGGTTTATTGCACTAGGGATTCAAACACTGGCTCCCAGAACATCGAAGAGATCTTCAGGACACTTAATAACCCAAGCGGTGTCCTGGTGCGAGATTCCAATTATATTATAGGTCTTCCCTGGATAAGTAGACTCGAGTTACTGTTAATACACTCGAATGATATTTCTGCACTTATATACACTAATTCCACCCGGAAACACTAGGTGGTATGCAGTATGAGAACTGTAAGATTAACACTACTAAAAGATGAGAGAGACTATAAGGTTCACTGCACGCCAGACAGCGTGCGCAGCGAATGTGAAAGTTACCACCCTCAACATTCCCACGTGTGCTTGCCTCGGCCAACGTATCGTACACTTCAGTAATTGCGAAGACATAGTAAACATAATTTATTTTCAATCTTTCTACGTCATCTAAAATGGAACTGTATAATTTCCACAGGTGGGGGGGGGGGGACCAGGAGGATAACAGATCACATTGGGTGGCAGAGTGTTATGAAGAGACATGTGCTCTCAGACCTCCCAAGAACATTACTTCACCAGCGGGGAGAAGAGTCGTGCCCAGACGTGACCTCCCATCGCCAACACCAATGTAGCAATGATTGTTTATCGTAAGATTAAGCAGCGACAGGCTTAGAGCAGTCTGTCAGCTGTGAGGTGTTGTTAGCCCATGACAGACAACGGGGAAATGTTAAAAATGGAAAAAGTTCACCAAAAAATAAGTCGCTGAAAAGCCTATCCCCCCCTGAAGCCAAAATACAAAGTCAGTGCCTCAGTTTTAAGTACAGCTCAGGAATAATGGGGTGCTTTTTCCAAGCCGTGGAGGCTATTAGAGATGCTAGACGTCAAGTATGTTCATATAAGACTGTCAAGTGCAAATTTCTACCAAACTGTAAGACTCATGTTATTTGTTCTGTCTGCAACTTATTTTTTTCCCCACAAACGTGGTCATTTATCTACAAAGCTAATCGACATACATTTTCTTCTGTCCTCGCGGAACAGTTCAAAATTTGTTATACTGCATATAGTTGATGCACGGGCGCCTGACAGCTGAGTGGACAGCGTTTCGGGTTCGTAGTCCTGAAGTTCCGGGTTCAATCCCCGGTGGAGGCGGAGACAAATGGGCAAAATGTTTCTTTCACCCTGTTGCCCCTGTTACATAGCAGTAAGTAGGTACCTGGGAGTTAGACAGCTGCTACGGGCTGCTTCCTGGGGGGGAGGTGTTATGGGGGGGGGTGTAACAAAAAAGGAGGCCTAGTCGAGGACCGGGCCGCGCGGACGCTAAGCCCCGAAATCATCTCAAGATATGTAATTTCTGTGGTATATGTGACTAGATCAGTTGTGGAAGACTTTAAGGTGTGATATGCTGTCCCACTGTACACGTATTATCAATCTGGTGGGAATTTTTATTCGTGAACATTTTACAATAACTGTCAGATTTGTGAGACAGTCAGGTGTCTGCTTCCGTCAAACTGAACAACTGTCAGTTATGGGTCCCCGTGGTGTAGTGGTAAAGCACTCGTCCAGCGCTTTGGTCTGTGTTTTTTATCCTGGCTGGGGAGGATTGACTGGGCGCCAATCCTTAACCGTAGCCTATGTTCACCCAGCAGTGAATGGGTAACTGATTGTTAAACAATTTGGCGGGTCGTAATTCGAGGGGAAAAAATAGAATTAAGGACCTGCCCGAAACGCTATGTGTGCTAGTGACTTTACAAGAATGAAAGAACATTATAAATAAAAAATATAAAAAAAGGAGATGCTGCCCGGATAATGGTGACTTGTTAACTGGTTTTGTTAACGTGGTTATATATATATATATATATATATATATATATATATATATATATATATATATATATATATATATATATATATATATATATATATATATATATATATATATATATATATATATGCGCAATTCACGATCACAAAACACTGATCATTTTATGCGGAAAATCCACAGAGAAATATGAAAGGAAGTGAACGTTTCGGCCTGTTAAAGCCGTTGTCAACACCAGACTGACTAGAGGAGATAGAGAGGATACAAGCCGACACCTGGAACCTGACCAACCCATCCCTAGGGAAAGGATTAACCAGAAACAAGTACAGCTTAGTTTAGAAAGGTCAAAAAGGATTAAGTGGTCAGAGAATAAGGATGAAAGATTAAAGAAAAGCCTCATGAACACACAATATGTGAATATAAAATTGTAATGAGACATTGTAAGCCTCTCTATCAGAGTTTTTTCTTATTTTAATATTGCAATATTAATATTTAATATTGCACAACAGTATAAGAAAAAACTTGTTAGTTGGCTCTTCAGAGGTTGCATGGCATTTCACTTTTCTTTTTAACAACAACCTTACCCTACAGAGTTCTTCATCGACTTGCTTCCATCCTGAGCTGTGGCTGAGAGCCCGGTCCATGTAAGCGTTGACAACACTCCTCTTGTACCTGTCTGGGCAGTCACTATTGGCATTGAGGCACATTCCTATGTTTGTTTCCTTAGTGTAGACTGCAGTGTGGAAGCCTCCGCTCCTTTCCATGACTGTTATATCTAGAAAGGGAAAGAGTTTTGTAATTTCTTTTCACTTGAGAATGAACCATGGAGGTTCGAAACTGTGTGCAAATTGTATAAATAAGTGTAATACATTCAATAGTAATTCACTTTTTTCTTCACCTTGAAATAACGAAAATGAATTTTGGAGAACTCCTCTTTCAGCTAAGCCCTGATGCTAGGAAAATAGTTAAAGGGATAGAAGCCCTAAATCAGAAGATAGTAAATACAGAATATGCGGTCATATTCAATGAGATATGTATATATATATATATATATATATATATATATATATATATATATATATATATATATATATATATATATATATATATATATACATACACACACACGTGTGTGTATGTATGTAGGGTGTTAGGAAAAGAAATATGTGAGGGTACGTGGAAGACCCACAAGGCTCTCCCGGATGGTACATATCGTCTTCTTCGAGGCAGAGGATCCTTACAAAAACAACTAGTGTAGGTATCCCTTATATAATTATGTATCATGTACCCATATGTATCATGTGTGAGCTGATACCTTATGGTGCCCTATGTATCATACATGTTCCCCTATGTATCAGGTGTCAATATGTATAATCTGTCACTGCATCAGCCTGTGTCACGTGGGGTTTGTAAGTATAACGTGTCAGTATGTATAATATGCCACTATTATCACATTTTTCAACACCTAATATGTGTTGCAATATGAAAATTATCAGTGTCACGTCTATTGTATCACCTGTTAACACCTGTCACTTGTTTCAGAATGTGTTGCGTTCCTAAGTGGCGGTGTAGGTGCGTTGGTGTGTGACGTGGTGTAGGTGAGGTGGGTTGATGGGTGACGTGGTTCAGGTAGGGATGGGTTGGTGGGTGACGTGGTGGAGGTGGTGGTAGACGGCGCAGATGGACAGCGGTCTCTCACCGAGTTGCGCCACACTTGGAAATGGATGGTAGGATTTCGACACAGTACCGTCGGCAGCCATACTCACGAGTCTGAAAAGAGGCAGCAATGGTGCAACCCTTCCACCACCCAGGCCACTGCTCTTCCATCCCTGGCCCTGTGATCTTTGGTGTTTACTATATACATAAACTATTTAGACACTCTGGAGCGCAACATTAGCAAATTGCTGATGCTGCAAAAATAAACTGGGAACTAAATCGAGACGACTCAAAATTGCCAATAGACTACTTTTGACTTTTAAAATAAACGAGATTGGCATATGAAGTTTAATAATAATAATAATTCATTGTGTAGGGGGTTATCTTGAGATGATTTCGGAGCTTAGTGTCCCCGTGGCCCGGTCCTCAACCAGGCCTCCACCCCAAAGAAGCAGCCCGTGACAGCTGACTAACTCCCTGGTACCTATTTACTGCTAGGTAACAGGAACATCAGGGTGAAAGAAACTCTCCCCATTGTTTCGCGCCGGCGCCCGGGATCGAACCCGGGACCACAAGATCACGCGTCCAGAACACAGGGGGGACAGGCAGCCAGTGTGTGTGTTTATACACGTTAGGCTTATATCAAGGTCTCCCCAAGGTCGAATTGCTGACACCCCCCCCCCCCTCCCTCCCAGGATGTAATCCCACAAACTGACTAATTCCTGGGTGCCTACTTACTGCTAGATGAACAGACGCATTAGGTAATATGAAATGCGCCCAACCATTTCTGCCCCGTCCAGGATTTGATCTCTGAATTCTCGATTATGTCGACAATCCGGAGGAAAGGTCCCAGATACTTCTCAATTTCTCAAGAGTCTGTATCCATTCTAAAGTAGTGACCAACCCTGCACAGCCTAGTCCAAGTTAGACCTTCCTCACCAGAGGAAGACCTCTCTCTTCCTAACTGATGATATTCGTGCTCTTCAAGTATGTTTATTGAGACAATAAAATACATCCCAGAGGGATAGAGTAGCTTAGGCTATTTCTACCCCCCCCCCATATCGTGCTCTTCTTGCTGCATCATATTATATATCCCAGTCTCCTATTTATTTTATTTCGTGTATTAATTTATTGTTGTGTTGACCTGTCTTCAGGGAGGAGATCCCATCAAGGGAATGGATTGGGAATGACTACATAATTTGTTATATTACCTCTAGCCATGATTATTTAGGTTAAGGTTGGGTTTCATTACGTTAGGTTACGTTGAGAAAACGAATAACCTTCGTTATACCCACGTTAACGAGAGCGCTGGGTTTACCCGCCTGGAATAAAACCAACCAATCCATTATACTACAATTAAGTTTAATATCCCCGCCATACAGCAGCAGATATGGTGTACAAGGTGGCAACGGAACTATATACCGTATGCGCCCTTGCCAAGCGGGTCCCAGGAATGAAAACCAAAATGAGTCAACATCGCAAATATGGACAAAGTCAGCCGGCAAAACTAAACGGCCTTGCCTGGCCACCCACACCAGGGAAGGCCCCTGGCCACCCTCACCAGGGAAGGCCCCTGTCCACCCTCACCAGGGAAGGCCCCTGGCCACCCTCACCAGGGAAGGCCCCTGGCCACCCTCACCAGGGAAGGCCCCTGGCCACCCTCACCAGGGAAGGCCCCTGGCCACCCTCACCAGGGAAGGCCCCTGGCCACCCTCACCAGGGAAGGCCCCTGGCCACCCTCACCAGGGAAGGCCCCTGGCCACCCTCACCAGGGAAGGCCCCTGGCCACCCTCACCAGGGAAGGCCCCTGGCCACCCTCACCAGGGAAGGCCCCTGGCCACCCTCACCAGGGAAGGCCCCTAGCCACCCTCACCAGGGAAGGCCCTGGCCACCCTCACCAGGGAAGGCCCTGGCCACCCTCTGGGTAGCTATCCCTAACGAGAAGAACCAAATGCCCTCTACGTCGACACCCCAAGATCCAACCGGAATACAATACCCCCCCTCTTCCCCCAAAAAAATATTCCATGTAATTCCAAGAGATATTTGAGTGAGACAAATAGCACTAAATAAAGTTGCCTTATGGCAAAAAACGCAGCCCTATGGACAAGAAATGCAAGATGTTCTCCAGAGGCCCCAGGTGGAGCAGAAGCCAGCTTTCCACACATGTCGAACTTGAAGCAGGTACCAGCTGACGATGTGATGACATGCACAAGCTGTGGGTATATACGCCACGTACTGGTGTGTCATTTAGACTCGGAACCTACACTAAAGAATGAGTACCGAAAACTGTTATTGGGTTTCCACATCTTATTGTTATTCCCAGTTAGCGATCGTACTTTGTTTATTTTGTCCACTCGTGTTTGTTATGTATTATGGCGTCTATGAATCTCAGGCACAAGGAGTAATGTGTGTTAAGTCAGCGCACGCTCCCATCGACCAACTCTAGCACGCAAACGCGCTCGGCGACACAACACTAACAGCGACAATATTCCTACCACATATCTCTGCTTTCATTTACATCGGGGAAAACTTAATTGGATTACTTCTATTTTCTTTGCCAGATATACTTTTATATTGAAAAAGGTTAATATGAAGTTGGTACTCTGTGAATCAGATGAAACCTATTTTCACACAGAATTATAAAAGAATAAAAATACTCCCAACTTTTATCCTTCAAATAAAAAAATATTAAAAGTGCTTCACTATGGTGACAGAAACTCATATTGCCAGTTCTATTAAGGTACATATAGCCGTTAAAACTAAAAACAAACGTCCACGATTGCTTGTTTAATAAATTACCTGATAACCTTAAACACGAATAAGTTCTTTGCATGATTCTTACTCAAAATACACATCACTAGCAGCTATATGTAGTGGCCACAGTTTTTATTTTTATTTTAGAAAAATGAAGGACGACACATATATATTTCGGAGCACCAGTCATTGATATAAATATATAATACTAACAAAATTATGATAAAGGTGGTATGTAACAAGAATAAAATTGAGTAGCTGGAAACTGAAGAATGCGAATGCTGCAATAGGCTATATTAACACTGAGATTGAGAATGACCTCCTGAGCCTGGAAGTTCAGGCCTTACAAGATGGGTCGTGTTGCATTGTAATGTTGCAAGGCTTTAACTCGCTATTGCAAGGGAGATAAGGTCATAGTGCAATGGACCTAGAAAGAGCGAATTAAATAGACTGGTTTCCTGTATTAATATGTCAAAGTTGGAGTTTTCTGAAGGTTTTCTTCGTTCATTATCATTTTCCATCCCCGTTTAGACTTATGATTTCGTTATAAATTAATTAATTTTGTGGAGGGACAGTTAGGCTGTGTATGTATATATGTTAGGCTTATATCGTCGTGGTCACCCCCCTCCCCTCCCAAAAGGTAAAACTTTTTTTTTGCAGGGATATTCCTGCGCGGGCCTTGAGCCTCTGGCTGGCCCACTAAGTGTTGCTTGTTTCTGTTTTACTTGGGCGGAGTATGAGTATTTATGACTCGTATGGTCGCTTCAGTAAGATTTTGTCCCATGTGTTTAACAACTTCTTCTGCTCTGTTAAATCTAAGTTGAAATCTTAATGGGTTTGTAACTGTGCACTGTGTTAGATAATGTTCCAGTGGTCTGTTGGGCATTTCTTCACAGTGCTGACATTTTCTCTCATCTTCCAGAATCTATAAGCCTATTTCCCATGCACATGGGTATCCAAGCCTGATGCGATGTAAGTGTACTTCTGTTGTTCTACTGCTTCCTTTCATTAAAATAAGTGGTTAACTATAGTCCCTTCCCAGGATGCAACCCCACAAGTTGACTAACTCCTGGATACCTATTTAGTGCTAGGTGAACAGGTGCATTAAGTGATAGCACGATGCCTCTCAACTGGTGTACAGAGGTTCCTGTACACCAGTAGAGGAACTGGTGTATTTGGGTTCTATCATATCTACACTTGAAACTGTGTATGGAGCCTGCTTCCATCAGATAACTTTGTAGTGCATTTCATTTATTAACTAGCCTGACATTGAAAAAGTTCTTTCTAATGACTGTGGCTCATTTGAAAATTTAAGTTTCCATCTGTGTTCCCTTATTCCTGTTCCGCCCATGCTAAATAGTTTTTTCTTGTCCACCATGTCAATTCATCTAATAATTTTGTAGGTGGTGATCATGTCCCCCCGAGATGAGGACGCCTCCCCTCTCATGAAGTGGGCGACGAGGAAGACGTGAAAAACCCGAAACGCTTTGCGTAATAGTGGTTTTAGGCATTGTATGCACTAGCTCTATCTATGAATCCATCAACTTTTGTATTTCACCTTGTATGTATGTACTTTACCTGAATAAATATTTGTATTTGTTTGTTTTGTACGTAAGGCGGGCTGCGAGGGCAGTGATCGCGGCGGGTGTTCGCTGGTGTGCTCCCTCCCTGGCCGCGGGACTGGTCGCTGGGAGGCGGTCGCTCCCTTGAGGCTAGGCAGAGAGCAAAACACAAGCAGCAGCAGCAGCTCGAATGCTACCCCTAGAATCTCCACCATGGTTGGTATCCCGGGTCGGGTGTGGGCGGTGGGCGGCCTGGTGGGGGCTCTGTGGGCGGCCTAAGCCAACATAAGCTCTGTCACCTTCATTGTAGGGGTTAAAATAGGAAGGTTTTCCAGTGGCTGTGAACTGAATCAAGTGGTTTCGTTAAGCTGTCGTTGGTATTTTTCTCGTCTTATCTTTACAAAACTTTTTAATTTCAATATTTCACACATACTGTATCATAGAATGTTGATTAAGACATGGGAGTGTGTTGAGGGCTTGGCGTATATTGGAAAGTTAGTCACACTTGACTTGGGGTTGGGGTCATGCACTGCATGATCAAGCACATAATTTGATTGCTTTATATTATTCAAATTCATAAACTTATGCTTCTTAATATGTTTAGTTTAGTTATTATGCAACCTAGACCCATCTTGTGGGCGGTAGTGGGAAGCATTAGAGGTACACAATGGGCTCAGGACCTGAACCACAAACTTCATTTGGCTAAGCAAGTTTCAGTTTTGATGAGCTAGTTACATAGTTTAATATATCAGTGATCTTTTTCTCATTCAATTACAGGGTTTGTGACTAGTTCTGGTGACATTTGATCAGATCTACTTCAGTAGGTGGTATATACATTCTTCCAGAGATACTTGAAGCCAAGCCTAAGTCTAACAATAATAAAGTCTAGAAGTCTGCTGACCTTATTAGGTGACCATTAGGCATGGGGTTCTTTCTACATAATAGTATGATGATAGATCAATTAGTATGTGTTTTACTGCCCTCAGACTTCTCAAAGGCAGTCCAAGGTGGTAATCAACTTCTTTTGGATGAAATGTGTTGGCTAACTCATTAGTTCTGTCATGCATTCGGAGGCCAATATGGGACGGGTTCCATAGGAGGCACTGATTCCCTAATTTATTATTTTGTTATATCTGTGTCTTGCTTCAGACACAAGCATGGCACATTTATGTCTTGAGAAGTTGAGTGCAATCATGGATGACGGAAAGTAAGTTACAATTGATGCATCAACTTTAGATACATACAGTATACTTTTCTGAGTACAAGGAGTGCAGGAAACAATTGTGTCTGAAGTGCAGAGGCCCAGTTATTTATATAAGCTCCTCACCCAGAACAAATGCTTCCCACTCTTGTTATCACAAGTGTACTTCTAGCAGAACCAATGGAGCTATGGGAACCATGAGTGCAAATAGTTGAGAAGGTGCACTTTGTGACCAGAGCATCATTCTGGCTTAATTTCCTTAATGCAGTATCTGTAGTTAGTAGTACTCTTACGACATGTGATGGATTGAAATTTTAGGCAACTAGATGAATACAGTATTGTAATATGGTGCTTTCCACTTGTATATTGCATCATGTGGAGGAAAGTGACGTACATTTTTGCGTAATCAATTTTGGATTAATATCATTATTTAATAGAGTTTTATGCTCTATGGGAAACATCTTGAGTGTTTATTCCTGATTTACACCCATCAGGGAAAATCTATTTAGTTGGGAGCTTTCCCGATTTGTCAATATTGTAGTCTGTAATTGATCAAGTCATTGTGTGCATAAGTGTAACCAATTGATGTATAACTATTTCTTCCATTATCTAACTTTGCTGCATGAGACTTAAGTGCATCGTGTGCTTCATTTTGGCTAGTATTATTGATAACTTGGCTAGTAAACCTTACTCTTGATCATGATGCCTTGAACTCATAAAATAAGGATAGTTGAGAAGCCATTTGAAGAAATGTCTAGGATAACCTAACAATAAACATGATTTAATCCACAATTATTCTTATATAGTAAACACAAATCTTTCTTCAAGCATTTCACTATATTTAATGAAATTTAGTTTTCTCTCTTCCGTATGAGTTGTATCTTAGCAAAACCCAGTGATCTAGCTACTGCTGAGACTGATTTGGAACAGTGGAGATAATTTTACTTCTCTATTTTTCTATGTAATAGCTTTTATTGTTTTACCTGCCCACTTTTCTATGCAGAAAGATATGAGTGTTTTTACCTATGCATTTGTGTGGGAAGCTATCATGAATAGTTCCCATAATATAATATTATTCTGCGAACTTTCCCCATGTCCCATCCCGAATCCTTATCCTGATCCCTTCCTAATGCTATATAATAGTAATGGGTTGGTGCTGTCTCCTAATAGTTCCCTCCTATACTTGTTTTCTTTTTTTGCTTGTGTTTATTTATTTGCTTGTATTTCATATGCTTTATGATTTTGGCTTACACTGTAAAGGGTTACTTGCTTCTGCTTTTCAGATTATACGCATACAGTCACCTGAAGGCACCAGACGAGTGGAAGCAAAACCAACAGATTCTACAAAGACTTTGTATGAAAAAGTGCGTGATGCATTTAATTTATCACATACCAACTTTAGTCTGTATCTTAGCCGTGAAAGAAAAACAGAAATTGTTTCATCAGCTCGGAAAACCCTCAAGGGATTCAAATTGAATCATGGAGATATGCTGTATCTTCACTTGGTGAATGATGGTGGTGAGTATTTAAAATACACAATAATAACCAATGTTTCAAAAGTGGAGGTTATAAATGTGAGCTTTGGAAGGGTATCCCACTTATTAAGGTGACCAGATAGGACATTTTTCATAGTGGCTTCCTCAGAGATTTCTCAGGAAGGAACAAAATATTGGATATAGAGATATCGAGATATGGCTTGTATTTGCTACACTAATTTGTAAATGAAACATTTATGCTTATATAACAGTTTTGTAAGATTTAATATATTATAATCCAGTCAAGCTAGTATAGACCTCAGAACTTGTGATACAAGTACAGCAAATTTACAGATGACATGATAGTTACTTCATATCATTAATATATTAATGATGATTTCCTAACAGGTGCCTGTAGTAGTACATCAGTAGCAGAAAAAAAGAATATCACAACAACAGCAGTAGAGAGAAAGATTAGCAGCAGCCAGAATGGTGGGAAGGCAGCGGTGCCGGCTCCAACACAGCAAGTGGCATCCAGCATCAAGAGCATGGTGGCCGAGGATGATGTAGATCAGTATCTAGCCAAAGAGGAAGGCAAAATTGCCAGGAAATTAAACCCACAGCTGTGAGTTGTATCAAGAATATGTATCAGTGTAATAACAAGAAAGGCTAATACAGTATACAGTTTGTTGCCTTCCAGGAAAGGGGAAAAACGACAGGAAAGGAATGGTGCACAACCACTTGGGCTGGACGGTAGAGCGACGGTTTCGCTTCATGCAGGTCAGCGTTCAATCCCCGACTGTCCAAGTGGTTGGGCACCATTCCTTTCTCCCATCCCATTCCAAATCCTTATCCTGATTCCTTCTAAGTGCTATATAGTCATAATGGCTCAGCACTTTCTCTTGATAGTCCCCCCCCCCCTCTTTCCAGGCCACAATGAAGTTAAGGCAGGTGTCCCACCATAACTTCAGTGAACTTCAATCACCAGAATGCCGGTTCGAGTCACTCCCAGTGCCTCAAAAGAATTTTCTTATTAATACATTACATTAGTGTGATTTCTTTGTGAGATATGTGTGTGTGTGTGTGTGTGTGTGTATATATATATATATATATATATATATATATATATATATATATATATATATATATATATATATATATATATATATATATATATATATACACACACACACATACAGTTTGTGTGTATATATATAGGAAGGCGTGTGTAGGTATATATATATATATATATATATATATATATATATATATATATATATATATATATATATATATATATATATATATATATAATAGTATATATAATTTATTTATTTATTTTGATTATAGTAAGATTAATATATATAAAAAGTAAGATTAATAATTCTAACACGAATTTTCTCAATATTTCTTATGTTTCTTTTTACTGTCGATGGTAATTGAAAAATCAATTCTTCAAAATTCATTTTTATTTCTAGTCTGACGTAACGCTTGAACGCATTTTGTAATACTGTAACTTATTACATTTTCAAAGACTTTAGTTTACACACACACAACTGTAACCTGAAAACACTAAACAGAGTTTTACTAATGCAAACACTGAACATCTTGTCTTAAGTACTTGCATTTGGGTGAGGTGATATGTTGCAACAGTTTTGGATGAGGTGAACAAACTTTTGACCAACACAAGACAGAACACGGTATAATGGGTATAAATTGGATAAATGAGAGGGAAGAATGGAAGTAACTGCAAAGGGCCTATTGGCTCATACTTCCTCTTGATGCTTCTATATTGGTACGGAGTCTTGAAGTGGGTAGAATATAGTTGTGCAATAATTGACTGTTGATTGCTGGTGTTGACTTTTTGATGTGTAGTGCTTCGCAGATGTCAAGCTGCCTGCTATCGCTGTATCTATCGATGATTTCTGTGTTGTTTGTTAAGACTTCTCTGGTGATGGTCTGGTTGTGGGAAGAGATTATATGTTCCTTAATGGAGTCCTGTTGCTTATGCATTGTTAATCGCCTAGAAAGAGATGTTGTTGTCTTGCCTATATACTGAGTTCTTTGGGGCTTACAGTCCCCAAGTGGGCATTTGAAGGCATAGACAACGTTGGTCTCCTTTAAGGCGTTCTGCTTTGTGTCTGGAGAAAATATCCAGACACAAAGCAGATCAACACAGAAATCATCGATACACATATATATTTATTTTATTTAACCTATATTTATAAATAACAGTTTATTTATGACACTTAGAAGCGTTTCACAAGACAACACTTCATATATTTTCAAAGACAATGTTACATACTCTGTTTCATGCTTATATTCACTTTTTGGGTGAGGTAATAGGACAAATGTTTTTGGGTGAGGTGACAGGACACAAATCAGTGGGTAAAGACAATTTTACATGCTCTTAATTTTTTGGGGTGAGGTGACAAAACACGAATCAATGGGTACATTGCATGTTTTCTCTTCTTGCTTCTGTGTTGGTTCAGGGTCTTGAAGTGGGTAGAATGTAATTATGTGTTAATTGGCTGTTGATTGTTGGTGTTGACTTTTTGATGTGTAGGGCCTCGCTGATGTCGAGTCTCCTGTTGTCGTTGTATCTGTCGATAAGTTCTGTGTTGCTTGTTAAGATTTCTCTGGTAAAGGTTTGGTTGTGTGAGGAGATTATATGCTCCTTGATGGAGCCTTGTTGTTTGTGCATTGTTAATTGCCTAGAGAGAAACGTTGTCTTGTCTATACATAGGGAAGACAACAATGTTTTTCTCTAGGCGATTAACAATGCACAAACAACAGGGCTTTACAATTTACCTTCATTTTCAATTCGGCTGAAGTGTCCCTCGTGACCCTTTGGAATTTACTTTGGTCGGAGAGAATGAGGTTCATTTTTGCCAGATATCAGGTATCATCAGCCATGTATGTATGTATATATATGTATACATATATATACATACATACATACTGTATATATATAAATAAATAAAGGCCTAAAAGGCTTGGAAACACATAGAACTGCCATGTAATTGTTGACAGGCAGGAAATGGTACAATCATGTCTGTGCACTACCTCCAACTTTTGTTGCTGATTTAGGGACCACAACGACACAGTAGGGTAAAAACACAAAGCTTTGTTACTACAAGTATACTGCCTGAGGGAAGAATGGTAGAAGATATATAGAAGAAGATAGCTGCCTTGTGGCAGCTAAACACACTACAGTATTAGGCACGTGCTCGACAACCCAACTGTAGATCATGGGAAGTGTCTGGGAGTTCGGTAATCTCCAAATTTTCTGTGTGTGTGTGTCTGTATGCAAAAACGTGGCCTAAGGTAATAAATCTTGTCCGTTCTTACAGATGTCGTCACAGTACGAGTAATAAATGTGTTCACTGTATTCCCTTGGATCCCTGGGATGAAAATTACTTAAAAGAACAAAACATTAAGCATATGTCTTTCAACTCGTACCTAAGGAAGCTTACTTCTGGTGTTGACAAGGTAAGAATGACAAAGCTTGACCAATTCTTGTTTCTAAATTATATATTTAATGCAAGAGAAAATATAGTGCACATTTTGTTACATGTATATATTGCTGTTAATCTCTGTAGATAATATTAATATTTGAGTATTGGAGTAACTCTTTTCATTTCTATACATTTTATTTGAAAAGGAATTGTACATTTACTGTATTATTATATTTGAGCTACTGTGAATATCTAAAAAATTGGAATGTTCTGTTTAAAACAAAGGACAGTGTCATAATTTTCACAAATCATGTTGTCTCACATCCTTTCTGGCCTTCCTTTCCTACCCTCAAATTCACAAATATACTCTCCATCATCCTTTCGTTTCAATATACTCACACCATCTTTGTATGCTCTTCTCAATGTTGTGGTTTGTTGACTTTTTCCACTCCACTTCTTTCCATAACACTTAACACTTTGTTGTTCTGGGCGAGCGAACTCCGTGCTACCCTAAGTGGGTCCGGGCATTCCACGGGAGAGTGCGGTAATACTGAAAAATGTATACTGTACTCTTTTCAACTTTGTTACCTCAATTCTCGCCCTAGGTTTTTCAATTTGGTATCAATGTGTTCGCAATAGAATTCACTACTGGACTAAATGCATATAAACCCCAAAAGCCTGGCTTAACACCTGCACCAAACAGAGAAAGTGAGAGCGAGTTACCCGGGAGCATGCAAGAGCAATAAAATGTGTACACTCTTTTCACTTTGGTCACCTCAATTCTCGTCCTAGGTTTTTCATTTTAGTATCAACGTGTTCGCAATAGAATTCCCTACAGGAGTGTAATGTCAAAAACCATGGCACGCTCCGCCCGCTGACAAGATGAAAGTGAGCCAAGGTTACCCTCAAGAGAGTGCCTGGCATTCCATTAGAGCGCACGGTAATACTGGAAAGTGTTCACTCTTTTCAACTTTGTCATCTCAATTCTCGTCCTAGGTTTTTCAATTTGGTATTGATGTGTTCGCAATAGAATTCACTACAGGACTAATTGCATATAAAGCCCAAAAGACCGGCGTACTATTTGCAACAAACAGAGAAAGTGAGAGCGTATTATCCGAAAGTGCGCAAGAGCAATAAAATGTGTACACTCTCTTCACTTTGGTCACCTCAATTCTCGTCCTAGGTCTTTCATTTTGGTATCATTGTGTTCGCAATAGAATTCCCTACAGGAATATATACAAATATAAATTCCTAAAGCCCAGCGTAACACCCACAGCAAACAGAAAAAGTGACGGAGCGTTACCACCGTGAGCGCTAATAAAGAGTAGTAAAATGGGTGTACTCTTTTCAATTTTGTTACCTCAATTCTGGTCCTAGGTCTTTCATTTTGGTATCAATGTATTCGCAATGAAATTTCCTACAAGGGTATATGCATATAATGTCCAAAACCGCGGCGCGCCCCTCCCTCAGCCAAGCCGAAAGCAGGCCAAATTTTTTAATTTTTTATGCCATACTGCGTCGTTAGCGGACATTCATCTACGTGTACTAGAATTTTGACGCCATACTGCATCATTAGCGGGCGAAAGTGTTAATTCTTTTACTATCTATTCTTCTGGTACCACACATGCTTCTCAGATTATTCATTTCAACAGTTCTAATACTTGATTTTTCCTGTTCACACCACACCATTGTCTCACAACTGTACTTAAGGATTGCAATATTCATTCAGTAGTGTGTTGTCTATGAACATTGATAGATCTTTTCTGAATACGGATAAATTTTCTTTCAAGGTTTTCATCTCCCCCTTTACAAAAAGAAGTGTTAGATAGTTTTCCAGGCTTTGTGCCTTCTTTCAATAATTACTTGACAAAAGAGAACTTTATGCCTGCACAAGCAACACACATCTTTCACTAGCAAAATAGGATGATCATGAACAATAATTTTATTGTGCATTTTTTGCTGTATAATCATTTATTTTTTTCATATTTGCAGGGAAAGTTTGTTGCTCTAGAGGATATCAGCTGTAAAATCAAGAGTGGTTGTAAAGAACATCCTCCTTGGCCTAAAGGAATATGTTCCAAGTGTCAACCTTCTGCCATTACGCTAAATCGACAGTCATATCGCCATGTGGATAATGTTATGTTTGAAAACCCGAACTTAGTAGAGCGTTTTCTAAATTACTGGCGTGTAACAGGGCATCAGCGTGTCGGCTTCTTATATGGTCACTACGAGCCTCACTTAGATGTACCCCTGGGCATTAAGGCCACTGTAGCAGCTGTGTATGAACCACCTCAGGAAGGGTCCAGAGACCATGTGAAACTTTTACCAGACCCAAAAAAGGATATTGTTGATGAGGTAAGTACATTGGCACCAAGTACATTATCCCATCCTTAAATTAAATTATTTATTATATTTTAGTATGCATTCTGTTTATTTCAGGATTATAAATTAAGTTACTGACTTCAGTTTTTAATATTAAGGGGGGCAGATGGCCCTTGACGTAAATAATTTGATGTATAGCATTATGTTTTGGAAATAAAAATTACAGCTAAAAATATTCTTTTTAACTATTTTAGGTTGCTAAAGGCTTGGGGCTAACGTGTGTTGGTTGGATTTTCACTGATCTGGTTCCTCTCGATTCAAACAATGGTACAGTACGATTCCTTCGGCATGCCGATACTTACTTTCTTTCTGCGCACGAAGTTATCACAGCGGCTCACTTACAAAGTCTTCACCCCAACCCCTGCAGACTGTCACGTGAGGGCAGATATGGTTCCAAATTTGTCACAGTCATAGTAACAGGTGACAAGAACAACCAGGTTAGTATTCAAGCCAAAAAAATTTGTTTTGGGTTTTAATGTCTGCCAACTTATAAGCTTTTATGATGCAGAATATACATAGTGTTGCCAGTAATTAACATTCTGTAACTGTCCAGAAATGATGATTGCAGTTAAACTTTATACAAAATAATATACTGTGAACCATTGCACTTCAGCTAGTGTTATAATTACAAATAATGATGATTGGTTCCACAAATGCCACAGGAAAATTAGTGACTCTTTTAATTTACAACTTAATCAACTTTACAACTTAATTTAATCTCTATTAATTCACATAAGTAAAACAAATTTACTTATGTGGTGCTCAAATTTATGGTCATGTAAAAATTTCATATCCGCTTTTCCTCCATTTTTTAAAATGTATGGTGTCCTTGCATGAGTGCTCTTTCCATGTCATTTATACGTTATGCTCTCATACTTCATAATCATTTTACTTAAATGCCTATGACAACGTTGTCTCTTGATGCATATTTTGAATGTTCAAATTCAAAGGTTTTATTCATAAATGTTTATACATTTATAGTTGGGTTGTTTTCACAAATTTACAGTAAATTATTTACTTAGGAGAATGTAAAAATAATAACATGTAAAATCTATAGTTATATACAGTTTACAAAAATTTAGATTTAGATTTAGAAGCTACATTTATTAGTGAATTAAAAATCAATATTTTTGTCAAATAAATAAATTATTATTTTTGTCAAACTCAGAATCAGAAACTATGTTCATAAGAGCTCATACAAATCATTACAATAATGACTGAACTGAACAGGCATGTATCAGTCTAAATCAAACTTTTTAGGGAGTACAGCATCAGTGTACAGTGAGCATCTTTATCTTTTAACATTTAAGGCAGAAAGTGTTGATAATGAAATCAGTAAGTCTGTGCTATTAAACATTTTGCTCTAGGTACATATGGAAGGGTATCAAGTAAGCAACCAGTGCCAGTCTGTGGTGAGGGACAAGTGCCTCATACCCACTAAAGATGCTCCAGAGTTGGCCTACATCCGTGAATCATCAGCAGAGCAGTACGTCCCAGATGTTTACTTCAAGGTTTGTGTCCTACTATTGATTCTAAATTGTAATGAAACTACATTTGGCCTAGATTATTTTATTGTGACATATTAGGCTTCTTGAAAATTATAACAAATTTGAAATAGTTGTGAGTGACTGCAAAATGTACAGTAATTTAATAAATAAATTTGGAGGCATGAAAGTGGATCGCGCTAAAAACTTAAGAGGTATATTGTTTTTATGAAGTGGATAACAGTAATTAATAATTTAGATAATAAGGATGTGTTTGAATAGGCAATGAAAAATAAACATTTTAGAGATAAGTAGAAGGGTAACATCAAAATCATATCAACACAATCTATAATAAAAAAAACAGCGTTGAATGTAATGAAACACCATTTTCTGGGTGAGACCCGGCTCCCCGGAGCTATAACAGGCTGATATGCTAATGTCAGACTTTGGCATCAGTCATATGTATGGAGTTCTAGGGCCTACCGGGGACCACGGCCAGAACCTGGCCCCCTCCGAGAGGCAAAGGGAGCAATGGCCTATAGAAACTCCCGTGTGGTTGGAAGCATTCTATGTCTGCCATTGACTGGGTCAAGCATCCAGAAAGGGAAGCATTCCAAAACAAACCCCTATTCTGGTTAAAATTGCTACCAAAAGCCGAACTAATGGATAGAACTCCCCAACAGAAAACAAGCAAACTAGTATGACATCACAAGTCACTGCGCCGCTGTCTGCGCAGCTCCCCCCTCCCCGGGAGGGGGAAGGGGGAGCCCCAGACCTCATACGCTGGCTATCCACCCATCAGTTCTGAGACTGGATGTCAAAACATGCGAAAAACCGCCGACCGGAGGGAGGGAGGGTTGCCGGGGAGCCTCCGGGTCTCACCCAGAAAATGGTGTTTCATTACATTCAATGCTGGTTTTCTGGGGGGAGCCCCATCAGCTCCCCAGAGCTAACTACCCACAGAGGAAGATCAAAGGGACAGAACCAGGAGGCGGTAACCACGCACCCCTCAACGGAAGCTAGACAACCGGCTGCAAACGCCAACCCAAGGCGACACAGCCCTGAAAGGGCCCGGGAACAACACGAGACAACGAGTAGCTAGGCCCCTGTACGAACGGCAAAAGATCCGTGCCCGAATGACAGCAAGGACACGCCGCCCAGACGGCAGCAAGAGCAGCGAAGCCACGAATGCCACGGGCATGGGGAAAGAACACAGGCAGGCTAGCCGCAATAACACGGTCAACAACCCGGAACACCTTCACCCGCGAACAGGGAAGAACGGAACCGGATCAACTCAAAAGTGCGCCCCGGACATAGAGGCCGTGGCACGCAGTTGAGAGGCGGGACCAAAGAGCCAGAACTCAACCCCCGCAAGCACAATTAGGTGAGTACGCAAATAACAGTGGAGGGCCGCCACTGAACACAAAACACGACGCACCCCCGGCCCAACCAACCAAGCACCAACAAACCAAGGACCACTCTGGAACGCAGCAGCCCCATCCCGTGCCAGAAAAGATGGAGACGGCTGCCACCAAACAACCAAAACACCAAGACCGAAGGAGCAGAAACCCTTGCAGAGGAGAGCAAGAAGCTCAGCGACCCGACCCTCAGAGGCAAATGCCAACAGGAAAAAGAGCCATCGAGAAACAAACCTGAACCGAAGGGGCACCACCAACCGAGGAGAAGACAGAGTACGCTGACCAGAGACCAGGATGGTGCAAGCGGCACACGAACAGGCCGGAGGTGAAACAACGCACGAGACAGTTTACTAACGGTGCAGAAGCAACACCAAGACCGAAAGCAAGCCGAAGCGGCTCCTGCAGCGCCGCACAAAACGAGGCGACAGTATGTGGCAAGACGACGGCCCCCAACCCCCACCAGAAAAACCAAGCCGACGCTAACAACCACAGCCACATAAGAAGGGACATGAGGAAAAGGAAGGACCGCCAAAATACCCCATACTGCTGCCAAGAAGAAGCACGCAGGTGGGACACCGACAACGAAGCCACCAGACCACCAACCGGAGGCGAGACACGCGAGGCAGAACGTAATCAGCCCCGACAAGGCTCATCCGAGTCCAGGAAGAGGCGGAGCCGTGGGAAGATCTCGGGTGCAACCACCAAAGAAGCCCAAGCTGGCAAATAAGGAGATGGAACATCTGCCGAACAGAAAGCTTCCCAATCAGAAACAATGGGTCCGACGCAAGACATTGCAAGACCCTGAAAAGCCAACAGGCAGGGCAAGCCAGGTAAATCGAAGAAGGTGGAAGGGTTGCCACCAGACCAGTACCTGAACCAAGGGGTATGAGCAACGAAAACAGACCAAGACACATAAGCGAACCATATGACACAGGCTGAAGGAAGAAGCCAAGGAACGCATGAAAGAAACCCCTGCGGTAGAGGAGGAAACAAAAGGAACGCACAAGGAAGGGAAGCGGCGGAAACCGACCCCCCCCCCATACAGCAGCAAGTGCAGGCAAAACCGAGCAAAGGAGATGCCAGGGAAGCGACAGGGGAGAGGCAGGATGAAAGAGCCAAAAGCACAAACCCCAGGAAACACAACCAGGGGTGGACAATCAGGTGTGGACAGAACCCCACGCACATGGAAGGGCCAAGCCAGGGACCCGAAGACCACGAAAAACAACACAAGCAAACCCCAACATGCAACCCCAAGCACAAAACAAAAGCAAAGTGTCACACCACAACATCCTGACACAGGAACAGGGACACGCCACCGTGAAATACGTTACCAATGCACACGTGCACCAGCAACATGCACCACACGCAACACACAACATGAATGTAGCAACTTGTCACTGTGAAGGCAGAGAACGGTGCAGGCAGACTCCAGGCCGACCCCAGACAGGGCCAATGGAGATACGACAGAACCCAGCAGGCCCAGGAACCTGCACACCAGGCGACCGACGGCGGAGATACCTGCTCGATACCTGCTTGATGGGGTTCTAGGAGTTCATTTACTCCCCAAGCCAGGCCCGAGGCTAGGCTTGCACCCCCGGGACGTGTACACTCACGGGGACCTAGCAGGGCAAACCACCAGAATAATACTCAGAACACAAGGGACACAGGGGGCAAGAACGAAGGCAGACCCCTCACCAGGCAGATAAACAAAATTAAAAAGAAAACCCCGCAAGAGGACAGCGTACACGTGACTGATGCCAAAGTCTGACATTAGCATATCAGCCTGATATAGCTCCGGAGAGCCGACAGGGCTCCCCCCCAGAACATTCTTTTTGTAAAATTATAAATTTGTACTTGAGAGTATCAGTCACTTCTTTCAAGATTTAGCTGTTTAACAACCAGTATTAATCCTGCAATCGTTGAAGCTATTCCGTCATGGTTGTAGGTGGTCAACACTCCTGTCAAGTTAAAGGTGGAAGCACTCCTGGAATCTCTGAAATTAATGTGATGTGATGCTGCATGCATCCTTTGAAAGTTTCTTCTTACTTTGCCTTGGAAAGTTACTTTTGGAAAGATACTGCTTGGAAAGTTACTGCTTAAAAAAATACTGCTTAAAAAGATGCTGTTTAAAAAGATACTTCTTGGAAAGATACTGCTTAAAAAGATACTTCTTGGAGATACTTCTCTTTAGAAAGCTAACTTTACTTTGAAAGTTACCCCCCCCTCTTTCTGGAAAGTTGCATTTAACCACTGCACTGTGCACCTGTTTTTGGCAAAAATTTCATGGTGCAGTTGTTAAGGACATATTTTTGTTGTTTTTATGAATATTCAGCTAATGTTAATTAATGTCAAAATGTTTCCAAACTCAATCATTTTCATTTCAAATCACAAAGAGCGATGAAAACATTAAAAAACCTTATAATATGTCGGAGTAAAAAAATGACAACCCACGGAGCGACATTTGTTAGTTGGCACAGTGCAGGGTTTTAAAGACGGAATGAAGACCTTTAATATTTTGAAGTACCTGTATAAGATAACTTTAAGGACCTGGAGACATTTTAAATTGCACATACAGTACCAATTTGGATTTCCTACATAATTATTTAGTGTGTAAAGCAGGGTAAGTTACTGTGAAGGTTGATGGATTACTGATCTGTGAGCTGCATGGAATTAAAGATTATACAAAATGTGGTTCTTTATTAGAAATCAGAGCCATGCCTAATGCAAAACTTTTGTCTTACCCATTCTTTTGATAACCAAACTTAATCTGCATAACTTTAATGTAGGTGAGGACCAGATACAACTACAAGCACTCTTATCTCAGTTTAGGCAACTGTTAACAGTCAATTGGTGTTATTCTTCTAAAATTGTATTGATATTTTTATATTGCAGGAAAAAGATCAGTACAACAATGAGGTTGTTCGCCTAGGAAGACCTTTACCAGTCGAATATCTGCTCCTGGATTGTCCAGTGTCCACCCCTAATGAACCTATTTATACATTTGCTGTTAATGAAACAAGTTTTCCTGTAGCTAACAGGTATGATACTTAAAGTTTTCCATCATATTTAATTAATATAAAGTTATTTAGTACAAAAAAACATATTGTCCAATCAACAAGTGTTGTGTCGCTGCTTTAATTGAAAAGGTATATTGTACTTTGGTAACAATACTTTCACATGAGCAGCTCATTCTGAAGTTATGTATCCCTGGTGGCTATACATTATAGCTTTCAAAGGATTTTTCTGGTTTTACTCTCGGCTGTGTCTGGTCACCCCAAGATGAATCATTTGAATCGGCTTGGAATGACAGCTTTTGTCCTACGTGGCTCCGTTCCCTGATTGCAAGATTCTAGCAGTGGATGTCTTTTGGCTGGACTGCTTGAGAAAAGAGGCTCCTGTGCCTTTTCCCTCTGGTTTGGCTGTTACTACAAGTTTTGTCTAGGCCGAAGCCTTGCACTGGCAAGATGATCCTCCTGGCTTCTTGGTGGCCAGCTCAGCCTTGGTTTCTGGTCCTTCTGGCTTGGTGTCTGAACCTGGAGCATCTTTCCACGGCTCAGCATCATTCACCAAATCAGTCTGAAGGCATTCCTAACTGGTTCAAGGTTTTCCAATTTTCACATCTAGAATTTGACACTGGTCTATCACCATCTGGTTGAACTCTTGGTCTTCCACCTCCATCTTTCATTGCAATGACTGCGATTTTCTGGTGCTCTTTTCATGTTTTCTCTCTCTCTCTTTGTCATTTGTTTGGTTTTGTCCTTTTTGTCCTGCTTATTTCTTGGTTGTCATTTTGTGTCAAATACTATCGCTTATTATTGTTCTGCTCTGGAACACTTTTGTTGACTTTCGGCATCAATACTTCCTTGGTACCATTTCTTAAGTTTTCTTTTGTGTTTTTCACCTCTGGCCTGTGCTTTCTCCTCCTGAGCTGTCTTGGTTTCTGAATAGTGTTGGTTTTCTTTCATCTCCTCAGTTCTCTGTCACCCCTTCGGTTATGCATTTCCCTTTTTAAGGCTTATATTTCTTTGCCCTCACTTGATTGCAGTGTTTGGGAGCTTCATGCTCGCCTCTGGAAGCAGGGGTTTTGTTCTATCAATCTTGATGATAGAACATCATCAATATTGATAGACATCATAATTTTTTCTGGTTAAGAACGAGATAGATTCTGAAAAAGTCTTTAGTCGTTGATTCTTGGTTGATGCACCCCATGCTGAAAGATTTATTAGGTTGAAGCTATTCTTTGCTACCTGCTTGGGACTTGGGCTGCTTTGTGGGATGTATTTCTTATTAATCTGGTTGATCTAGTTTGTTGATCTTTGGTTCCCCTGTTCCACAGCTTGTTAATCTCAGGTCATCCGCAGTGTTAAAATCTAGCCAACCTGCAGTCTGCCCTTGAGACCATGATGATCAGTAGTTTGCAGCTTCAACTGCTGTATTTTCTGATGTCTTGGGCTGACATCCAGACTTGGGGGTTTTGGAGGTCTAACAGGGCCTTGACAGCTCATTACCTGATCAGTTCCCTGGTTCCTGTCAAGCATGTGTTGTCCTGAGTAGCGGTTTCTTTCCTTCAGGGGAAAGAGATTCCCTGGATGTTCCTTCTCTACCAGGTGCATTGGTTTGTCTTTTCTTAGGATTCTAATCTGATCATTGTTGACATAGGCAGCTTGCTGCCACCTGGTGGTGACCAGCTGTAACTAGGGGGGATTGTGATCTAACTATTAGGTGGATTGTTTGATAAGTTGTTTACTGATGCACTGATTACTTTCTGTGAACCTTGCAGTTATTTGTTTTGCTTCACTTCATTTCTAATCAAAATCAAAATCAAAATGTTTATTTAGGTAAGGTACATACATAAAAGAGATTTTACAAAGAGTGATGGATTTATAGTTAGGGCTAGTACATACAATGCCTAAAGCCACTATTACGCAAAGCGTTTCGGGCATTAAAAGTGTGCAATGGTTTGCTTCTTTGGTGAGGGTGATAATGAATCTCGTGTTCTTTGCATCTTTGTGATGGGGGAAAGGGGGGGTTTTGGCCTGTGGGTTCCGATAGGCTATAAAGGATTCCAAGGACTAATGTGACTTACACGTGTGGCTAGCAACAGAGAGTCACAGAGCTTCCCCAGAAAGAAGCATTTCATTTCATTCAACACTAGTTTTTTGCTCTACTATTGGAGTTTTAAGTGATATTTAGGACCTTTTGAATATCCCATGAATATAACATGGATGGTACTAAATGGTCTTCCCAGTTTAGTGCCTTTTTTTTGTAATTACTTGCACTAAGACTTCAACTAATAACTTCTTGGAACCAGTGGCATGCCTATTTTTAAATCTACTAAGTCACTTTTAAGTAAATAATTATCAAAAGAAGGCACCAAGCCGGGGAGACTGTGTAGCACTAAGTCACTTTTAGTTAGCCATTTAACCAGTTACTGTATCACCAAATTACCAGTAAATTTCTCATCAATAAACAAGAGCTTTTCCCAACCATTCACATCTGTAGAGCTTGTAGTATGAATCAACATTAACAAAAATATATTATTATTAAAATGTTCTGATGTTCATTCTTCATTGTAAACAGCACTAACAGTCTGCTTTTTCTTCACAGAATGGTGGAAGGACATCTACAAGACTTCAGTGCATTAGCTTCTTATCTCAAAAAGTTTTCAGATGATCAGTTCTTAGAAGCTGTTTCAGATCTTCATGTTCTGGTATACATTGCAACTATGGACATGCTGCCACTTAGGGTACATACTTTTATATGGTTCATTTTCCTAGTTAATCTTTAAAGTGTAATTATGAGATTTGTGGAGTTAAGACAAAGTACTTATGTAGGTGAAGAATTATGTTCAATACTAGATTTGGCTTAGCATAATAAGATGCATCTCTTTAAATGTGTGCAATGTTGATTAACATAAAGGTGTAATATTTTACTGAAATGTTATGAATTAATTTCTTTCAGGAATATATTGGACCCTTATTAGAAGCGGTGAAAAAACGTGAAAGAGCAGCAGCATTGGAGTGGAAGCAATCTGGCCACTGGGCTACTGTGGAACAGTTGGTAATGGCATCAGGTGGTGAAGGTGCTGTAGCTGTAGGTGAGACAGATGTGGCAGGTAGAGGCGCACATGTCCAACCTTCCACATCGTCCGCCTCATGGACATGTCAGCACTGCACCTTCATTAATCAGACAGCAAGTGAAAACTGTGATATGTGCCACCTGCCACAGTGAATGGGTAACTCTGATTTCATCAGTGCTGATGCTGATATTCAGTGTCTTGTGTGTCCTAGACAAATTCCTTGTAGATTTGTTATTGGTGAAACAAGCTCACATTGTTCACAAAACCAACAGAAATATCTTGTATATTGACAGTATTTGCTTGTATTATGTCAAGCACTAATGCATCCTCAGAAGAGGATATTCAGGTTTTTAATGACTTGGTTGTAAATTGTTTAAATCCTTACTATAGAAACTTGAGCTAAGCTTAATGTTCTCACAATGATTGTCTGATGATGTAAGAATTCCATTGAGAATATTTTAGCCCATTTTCTTGAAGTTAGCTAAATTTTTAAGCTGCAGGAAAACACACTGTGCTCTTATTAAGTCATAGGTTTTTCATGCTAAATTTTCCAGTTACATTTTGAGCTGCTGGGGAAGCCTAGGAAAAAGACGTGAGCTGTGTGCAGCCCGTAAAGGTAACCTTGGAATTGACGTACTTTTTTCACTGTAATATTTCTGTTGATTAAAAGAATGGTAAAATTAGTGTATAATTTTATTCTGGCAGGTTTGTGGAAAATTTCCTTAATTTTATAAAAAAAAATCTGTAGTAGTTCATGTAGGGGTGAAAATTTAAAATAGTGTGCCTTGTGTAAATTTTAAAAACTACCCATCTTGATAAGGTTTAGTTTATCAGTTTGTTAATGAATTTCATAGTTTTCTATCAACCCATATTTTTTAATGCAATAGTTCCCTCCTTTTTTTTTCCAATTTAAATCATTGTAAATGTTATTGAGTTTTCAACATGAAGTTATTGAAATCTTCAATGATATTCTTCTGTTTGGATAGCAATCTCTGCATTTGCTATCCTGATTTGAGTGCAGGAGACAAGTTGTATGAAGTGTATGAAAAAACAAAAAAAAATTACCTTGTTAAGTTTATGATCTTTGAATTGTAGCACAAATAATTTTTATTTCTTGGAGAAAATGTTCCAAGTAAAACTTTCATCCAACATCAGGTAGCCATTGTACTAATTAAGGTACAAATGTTATGGATCATTTCCCCATTCTGGTCTTCTCAGTCAGGGATATCTGTTCTCTGAGTTTTGACTTGCGGTGAACTAGGAGCTTGACTCGATAGCCTCTTAATCTGACATAGGCAGAATGGTGGGTATAGGGAGTGAGCACGATCTCAAGTGGCCAAGCACTTTGTGTTTCAAGTATAAAATCATACCACATTTCATTGGTGTTTGGTAATTTCATTTCTTTTAACCCTCAAAATGCGGTCACCGGCATGTATTATGCTTAGTGCAATGTGGTTATCATATGACTTTATGATTTGTCAGTATTTGAATACCGATGTTGCTCATATGGTTTCAATAGCTCACTGGTGACTCAGGATTTATGGAGGCCACAAAATAACTTGAGATGACCTTCAGCTCCTGGTCTATTATCATCATTTGAAGATTGTAGCACTTTGTTGGCTCGGATAACATCTTCACTAAAATAAATATATCAGAGTTCTTTCTATTTTATGCAATAGTCATTACTTTTGAATGTTTTTTTTTTGGGGGGTGGGGGGGGGGATCCTAGCTCCCATTACTACATGATGCCAAAAGGAATGTTGACCACTGCCTAGATCAAAATAAAGGGAAGATTTGTAAACAAAATATTTTTGTTTACATATATTTTAATCCATATACAGTACTGTATCTGTAGTACAGTACCATCTTATGAGATTTTTTGTTTTTTGCTCTTGTCAGGGTGACAATTTTGATGATAGCCATACTTTGAGGGTTAAACTAGTACAGTAATATAATTTCTCTTGCTGAGAATATGACGTAATCATTGGTGTTATTCTGTGACCCTTTATAACATTACCTTGGGCAATCCTGCAAATTTATTTGAAAATACCAAAAGGATATTTTACTTTTAAAATGTTATCAGGATGATATGATAATCTTCATTGGTTAAGATCAGGTGTAACGGAAGTTATTCCAAAGAAATATGGAATTGGTCCAACTGTATATAAAACTTCATAATAATTTTTAGTACTCTATTGGTAGGTCTTTGTTACAAGTGTGCTTTTAAAATTGTTCTCTATAAAATAGGTTAAAAGGGAAATTTGGAAAAATTTGCATTGAATTTAGTTTATATGGTGTAAAAGTTAGTAAACCCATTATATTTTTGCTCCTCTTATTAGAAGTCAAATTTTATTTGGTTGTAAGTTGAAATATATAGGTAAAAAAAATCATGGTTTATTTACTGTTGCTTTGAAAGCACACACACAATATTAGTGAGAGATGTTGGTGGTGTGATATGAGACAGCCGACACACTCCCAATGTCAGCCTTACTGATGACCACTTTTTTGCACCTGCTGTTGCTAGCTTGTACAGAACCCATTGTGGTCAAGTAGCTTATTAATAAAATTATTTAAATGACATCGCGTTTATCACCCATTTTTACTAGATAAAAAAATTTTTGTTTCCAGGTTTCTTGTAGCACTCGTTTAGCATTTCATCTTAGTTACCACATCGTATAACTTTATATCAGCTTTTCTTCTTAAGACCTAATGCACTTACCAACATATCTTACCGGAATGATTAAGACAGCCGCCATACATTTATGTTAGGGTTTTGTTTAATTTTGTAAACAGTTTTTTAAGGTACAGTATATTGCAACCCATGTGCTCCTGATAACATTTTGAGAACATCAGTAGGAGCCGAGAGGAGGATTCAAACCTACGCTCTGGGCACTCCCAATTTCTTTGTGCATAGTACTTTTTGTAAATGTGTGTGGGCGATTGTACAAACATGGATGTGAGGGACAAAGAGAAAGTAGAATTTTGTATTATTAATTTTATAGTACAAAAAATAAAGCTTAAAACCAAACTTCTAGTCCTAGGCTAAGTATAGCAAATATATGTAATATATTAGGCCTCAGATAGCATGCATTAAGCCTAGGATGGTTGTTAGGTTAGGATTCATAAACAACATAAAGAGAGAACTTTTCCAGTTTGTCCAAATTCAATAGTACAAGCCTAATTTCTATTGGTCCATAACGTCCATATGTATTTACACAATCGACCACATCGTTACTACAAGTACTTTATCGTGGCTTCCTGAATACTGTATGATGCCATATAACCTTAACTGCTATGAACGAAAAAACTATCAAAGCTTTAAAATGTTGACTACCTTAAAAATATATGCAATGAGTTTGCAAATAATAATAATAATTCATTTTGGCAGGGGACAGGAAGCCAGTGTGCATTCACACACATCAGGTTTATATCGAGGTCCCTCCTGCCCAGGCCGAATTACTAACCCTACCCAGGAGGCAACCCCACAACAAGCTGATTAACTCCTGCGTACCTACTTACTGTTAGATGAACAGACGCTTTAGGTGAAAGGAAATGTCCCCAACCATTTCTGTCCCACCCGGGATTCGAACCCAGAATTCTCGACTGTGCGTTAAGAACAAACCCAACTGTACTACTATTACCCAGAAATGTTTATAGATTTCTGTAACACAGCATAAATGTGCTCCTTATGCTTACACCTCATAAACCTGTACTATTAAGAGAACATAAAAATGTCATAGCTGAGTAAATTCACTACGGGCTCACCATAGCCCGTGCTACTTGGAACATTGTTCCCAGTAGCTGAATCTTAAAACAACAACATGTAATAGCTGGAGATGGATTTAAATGATGACAGGACAAGATAATAGGGAAGTGGTAGCGTTATGTTATCAATTACAGTATCTGCCAAACCAAATAAGTGCAGAAATAAAAATAAACACTAGAAAACAAGTGCCAAGCAAAAGATAAATAATGGAAGAAGTGCAGTTACGAGTCAATGGAAGTCAGCTCACCAGTGATATGACTGTGGAGGGATTGTGTTGTAAAAGACAGCTACAGCTATTAGTACTGAGCAATAGAATCACTCCAGTGATTCAATTAATCAATTAATGGAGGAAAAATACAGAGGCAGACTAACCTTATAAAAATGGGACTGCTCTAGAATGAGGACTGCCAGTCTCTGGAACAAGGGTGGGTGCGAAGGAAGGGTTAGAGGCAGAGGCCTCCTCTTCCTTAAACAAGGAAGGAGAGGAGGGTTCTGGGTAAAAGATGGAGACACAGGATGGAGTGTGTTTCTGACCGTAGTGTAATTGCCATTGTAGGCAACAATTTCAGCTGGCATGAATATTTGGGGGTGGACATAAGCTGTGACCCATGAGGAAGGTAGGAGAGTCAATAGACAGAGAGAATGATAAAAAGGCATAATGACGATGGAGCCCAGAGGGACCTGCATCAGCAATGAGTGTGCTGAGAAATTTTAGCAGGGATCCAAGCATGGAGGGCAGGTAGGAAGGTGTGTGGATGTGGGAAGTGGGGTACTCAGCAGCGGACTGTGGAGTGGTTGGAGAATGAGGCACCTCAGTCAAGGTCTTTGATGCTAGTTCATGGAAACAGTTCTAGAGCTGGGGACCAGGAGAGTGGGTCGAGGCCTCTCAATGAACAACTCGAGCAGTTATGAAGTGAAGAGGCCCAAACACTTTTTTTTCATCAGAAAAAAAAAGAGTATTATTCCTTGTGTGTTTGAGATGCAGAATAGACTGTTTCATTATATAATGAGTGCAGGAATGCAAAAATGCTGAGTCTCCATGCATGGAAAACACATGAGTGGCAAAGTCTCAGACAGCTTTGGTCCTGTAAAGAGCTTACCAGTGGCCAAAGGAACCCGCTAGACTCAAAAAAGCCTTCAAGCCCCACCACCACAACAAGATAGCTGTCATGGTAGGACTGGAAAAGAAGCAAAGTGATAATTTTACTATTAACAATAATTTCTAAAGGATACTAAAATCATCAGTTTATCTAAAATGTTATAATATTTACACTGATACACATATGATAACCATATAAAATCCTTATATTAAAAAAATAAAAAGATATATATATATATATATATATATATATATATACATATACATATACATACACACACACACACACACACAATTAGGTGAGTACACACACACCCCACACAGTATCTATCTATAAAATAAAATGTTTTTTCTCATTAAACTGTAGGGTGACTGGTAGGTGTTAGTGGGCTGTCATAGACAGGTTGGGGTTCACCCCCATTGCTCCCCAACCCTTAATCATCATAATCATATTCAATCATCATAGAAGCCAAAGGGTTGGCTTCTATGATGACCCCCATGAAGTTGGAGATAAAATGGTCAATTCTGAGTTCATATAATTATCTCCTATGTCCATAATATTACAGATACTGACATGCAAAATGCATTCTATGATGGCAAATTTGCATTCTGGGACTCCCGTCACTTAAATGGTCCTTTTGGGGTCGGCCTAGGCACAAACACATGCATACTATACATATCGGTATGTTCTTATTGACATACATTACTGAATATAATCGGAAGGGTTCTTCTCTATACTGTATTTCTTATGTCGTTTTTATCTGGATGTTGACATATTAACTCTCCAAGAGGTAATTTTTAACACTTTAATGGGTCTTATTGTATTCTTTAGCCCATTAACATTTCCTTCCAAAGTGAAGAATATAAAAAAATATCTGCCCTAGAATCACTGATCTAACAGTTTCGGTCATATATAAACACCATATATATGTGTAACTTTATATGTATGAACATTATTTATGTACATGGCAGTGATGATGATATAGAGTAATCACAAATACAGTAGTGATGATGATATACAGTAATGTAGTCCATATGTATAATGAATTAGACTATACATGTACGTATTGCAGGAATATCCTATGGAACTCAAATTCTATTATTCTTGTAACACATGATGGCCTGCAAGTCAATTTTGATGGAAAAACAAAATTTAAAACATATTTCTTGCTTACCTTTGCATTGATTGATAATTCTCTCTTCCCATCAGACAACTTATCATTATATTCCATTTATTAAAAACTGGAGGCACAGGTTCCAAAAGCCAATACAGTATAAGGTTCTAACTTACACTTTCTCACATATCCTTCACACTAGAGCTACCCGGGTCAGGAGCATTTGGAAGGTTAAGATCAACACCAGAAAACATACTGTGATAAGTGGAAGTAATGGTGGTCAGCTGCCTTTGAAGGGTAGAGTTTCTTAACTGAAGTTGATCTACTTGCTCCTCAAGCTTACGGATATGATTTCTGTGGGATTTTTCATTAAGGTCCTTTTCAGTACGCAATGCAGAGAGCTGTGCCTGATAGCGTGTAGCTAAAGCCTGTGCCTCCAAATATTGCTTATGTGATGAGCTCTCTCTCTCATTAAGCTGGGCTTGAATGCGATCAGATTCTTGATTTTGTTGAATTTTATAACGGTCTATAAGGGAAGACAAACTAGCACACTCGCGGATTCTCTCCTCCAGTTGAGCAGATGTGTGCTCTAATATTGTATCTTTGGTAGTTAATTGTTCCTGCAAGTGACTCGCCTCCCTAGATGCATCTTCCAGTTGGTGCTGCAAAGAGGAAATGCTGTCCTGAAGATTTTTAATTTCTTTCTCTCTCCTGGCACTCTGCTCACGTTCTTCCTTGAGTTTAGATTCTTTCTTGCTTAACTTCTCTCCCAACAATCTGAGTTGATCCTGTAATGCTTGTTTTTCTCCCTGTGCTTGCTGAAACAACTCTCTTGTGTCCAACAGTCTTTTTTCAGTCTCATGCAATGTCTTTGGGAGACCTTGTAGTACATCCAACTGTTCTGTTATCTGAGATGCACCCAACTGAAAAATGGAAAACAGTACAGTGCATGTAAATGATTGCCAATAAAAAAAAAATCTTATTAATATGAGATAATAAGTGAGTTTTGAGAGGAATTAATCAAGTAGCTTAAAATCTAGTAGCTACTCAATCTAGTCCAGACTTATAGACAGAGGTTTCATTCATAAACATTTCCAAACCCTTCCTAAGCACCACAGGTGATTGCTAGAAGTGGGCCTTCACTAACCATTGGCCTGCCTGTCCACCTATTCATGAGGCTTATTCATGTAGTTCATGAGTAAAGTTTCTGTAGGTCATTACACACAGAAATCACAATAGCGTGATGCATCAAATGAACAAATCCACAAGGGCCGTGATGAGGATTCAAACCTGCGTCCGAGAGCATCCCAGACGCTGCCTTAATCGACTGAGCTACGACATGATACAAGTTGGCGGATTGGTATATAAAACAGCCTATTGACATAGCTCGAGTACATGGGGGAATTGTGTAAAAATCCCTGGTTTGTGTCTCGGAGAGGCTGCAGGATCCAAGTAAATTCAGTAGAATTTCTGGTTGCAATTCTTATACCATGTCGTAGCTCAGTCGATTAAAGCAGCGTCCGGGATGCTCTCGGACGCAGGTTCGAATCCTCGTCACAGCCCTTGTGGATTTGTTCTTCTGTAGGTCATTACAACTAAGAATGAATATTCTGTATCTCTACATCAAGATGACCCTGTAAAGACATTTGGAAGATTTCCTGTAGTGCTGGGGCTAGAATGTCAACATACCTAAATGTTAATGATTCTATATAATGGGCTCAGTGGATCTTACCTCAGGGAGCAACTAAGTTGGATACCTTGAAATATAGTTGCTAAATGCTTTCACTGAAGAATTTTAAAATCAGCCATAATTTTTGGCTCAAACTTAATTATTTAAAATTTCAAGTCGATACGATGAAGTGTTCTTGATACATCTTAATTTGAAAACTTAAAAGCAAAACAAGAAAAATACTGTATGACCAAACCTTAAAGTATTCTAACTGGGAATATCTGACCATTCTACTTACCCTTGATTCAAGCTGAGAGTACTGGTGATGAAGTTCCCTATTTTGCTGCTCAAAATCCTTACACTGATTTTGTAATGACTCAATTTTTTTGTTCTTGCCTTTCAATTTTCTTTGAAGGTCTTCATAATCTTTCTTCAGTTTATCAATGCTCTCCTTTTCTTGTGTCTGTTCCTGCTGGAAACTTTCTTTCCATTCATTTAAACACTTACCAATTGTTTCTTTTATAACAGAAACTGTATTTTCTATTTCGTCTCGACTCAAACTTGAGCTTTCTAATCTCTTCACTAAATTTTCTAAAGATTCACTGTACCTCTCAAGTCCTACCATTACTATACCTGAAATAGTCTCACTATCGCTTTTGGGTAATTTTGCTGAACTGGTGGATGGGTCAAGTTTCTCAGGGCTGCTAGGTAACCTGCTAGTCTCATTGGGCCTTGCAACATTGCTATCTTTTTCGTGTTCTTTGTCATTAAACTTTTTGGGCTCGTCTGCTTCTTTTTGTTTGTCAGTTTCAGATTTTTCTTGTCTTTGTTTGCCAGTTTCTTCAAATACAGTTTCACCTGCATTTTCTCTTTCTCCTGATCTCTGTCTTTCAACTTCTTCTTTATTATTATTATCCCTTTCTCTGTCTCCATTTACTCTGGCTTCTCTTCTCACATCTCTGGCTTCATGTGGTTTACTGATTTCCATTGCATTGGAGTTTGCTGATACACTTGTACTCTGTGCTTCCATTAACTTAGTTGTTAATTCCTGAATCTGCATTGCATAAATTTTCTCAGAATTAAGTAGCTTCTTTTGGAGTTCTCCAAGCTGATCCTTGTATCCCTGAATGGCTCGGTCATACATATCCCGGGTCTCTGTCAGGCGCCTCATCCACTCCTCCTCTAGTGTTGCAGTGTCTATGCTCCGGGCACCTGAATTCTGATTTCTCAAGGATTCATGAAGAACAGCATTTTCCTTCATAGTCTGTAAATGTGTCTCACACTCCAAGATATATTCATCTTTCCTCAGAATCTAATAAGGATAAAATAAAAGGTTAGAAAGAATGATTAGATGTAGGTGAAATAAAACAATTATAGTACAGCATATATGAATACATGTATCATGTTTCACTGCTAAAACCATTAAGTAAACGACTTTGTCTTTATGTACCCAAAAAAATATACAAGGAAAACAAGAAATGTAGACTGGATATGACCTTATAATATGACAAATACAATGTCACTACACTACAAGGCATCTTTAATTCTGTTGTTACTTTAAACATATTTTTCTTAATAAAAAACTAATAACACTTCACTGCATTATGCACACATACCTCTCCTCTCAGTACTTCAAGCTCGTTATGAAGCCTTGCCATAACTCTTGGAGCACATTCAGCATCCTCTCGATCTGAGCCGTTCCAAATTTCTTCCTGCTCACCTGACACTCCTATTAGGCTCTTTAGCTTCTGGTTTTCTGACTCGACCTGTTGCATTATTAATATAATATACATTCATTATCTAATATATTAGCTGAAACAAGAGAGATTTAACCAGAATTGTCTTAAATTAGCTGAAACAAGAGAGATTTAACCAAAATTGTCTTAAAGAATAATATCTGACATGACTGAATTCTTGTTTTTTTTAAACATACCTTTAAGACATACTGAAGCAAATCATCATATTTCTTTTTTAGGGAAAGCATAACATATTGTTCTCTACTTCCTATTTCTTTTTCAGGCCCTGCACTGTCTCCACTTCCTTTCTGAGTGGTTTCCTCTCGCTTTAGGCGTTGTCGTAATCGATTAATCTGGAACACACACGCCTTATTTTGTAGATATTGCTACATATTTGCACTACCGATCCAAAATATTTACATTAACACAAGAACCATCATATTTAGTGCCTCGATGAGGACAGGCCGCAGGGACTGATCCTCAGGACCACCTCAAGATAACATGAAGGACAAGTGTCCTCATTTCTCAGGGGGTAGGGGGGGGGGGCAGTTTTTGTGGCTCACCCAGAAATTGGTATTTCATTACATTTAACACTAGTTTTTTTAATAAGGATCTCTCTAGTTGGATTTTGAACTGGTGAAAAAACCAGTGTTGAATGTAATGAAATGCCATTCAACAACAGGACGCTGTTCGACTTTCAAAAACCCCATGTCCGAAACTCAGCCCAAGACATATTACCAAAGATAGCAGCCAATGCAGCAAACTTACGAACGTCGTGGACACGAGGATAGACCACAGGCTGGCTGGTTCGAATAACACTGCGGACGACTTGGGAGATCCGAACCCTGGAACAGGGAAGAGGGGAAACTCGGTCAGGCCAAAGTGTGTCCCCGGCCACCAGCGCCGTGGCGCCCAGGTAACGGCAGAGAGCCGCAACCGGACACAAGACATCATGCACCCCCAGCCAGACCAAGCATCATCAACCCAAGGACCCCTCCAGAAAGCAGCAGTCTCATTCTTTGCTAGAAAAGAATGAGACGTCTGCAAACGAAAAAACCTACCACCAGGACCAAAAGAGCAGAAACCCCTGCACCGCAGGGAAGCATGAAGCTGCCCGACCCGACCCCTAGAGGCCAATGCCGATAAAAAAATGAGCCTTCACCAAACAATCCTGAACCAATGGGGTCACCATAAACCGAGGAGAAGAGGTGAAAGGAGAACACCCAGTCCAACAACCAGGATGGCTCAGGCAGAGCATGAGAAGGCCGGAGGTGAAACAATGCACGAGACAGCTTGAAGAATGCGACAGAAGTAACATCAATGCCGAACGCAAGCTGTAGCAGCTCCTCCAGCACTGCACCATATGTGACGACAGTATTTGGCATAAGATGATGGTCCTGGAACAACCACGAAAGAAAGGACAAGACAACCCTATTAGAGAGAGAAGCAAGCCTATGAAGGGATTAGAAATAATGGATTGACCGCCAGGAAACTTCATACTGCCGGCGAGACGAAGCACGCAGGTGGGACATCATCAACAAAACCACCTTCTCATAATACAAGTGGTGATAGACCCGCGTTAGAAAGACCAGATGCGAAGACTTGAGGAGAAGATCGAACCAGCCATGTAACAGACTGGCCTGTTCTGCTGAAAGAGGCGGAGCCACAGGAAGACCCCCAGGTTCGGACACCGAGCAAGCAGCACCTGAAACCAAGGCTTGGCCGGCCACCAAGGAGTCAGAAGGACTACTCTCCCTTGGTAAGTCTCCGAGCTAGGACCTGGAACAACAGCAGAACTGGGGGAAAGAAGTACAGGTAACCCCACCTCGACCAGTCCTGCCTGAAGGCATCGACCCCGATGGCCTCACAGTTGGGGAAGGGCACCACAAATACTGAGAGATGCCTCGACCATGCTGATGCAAAAAGGTCCCCCTCCTGTATGCCTGTAGGCCTGTACGTCCAACAGGGCCACCTGAATGAGTCGGCGAGCCCGGATAGCTCCAGGGAGCCGAAGGGGCACCCCCCTCCCCCAGAAATGCCTTACCATCTTCCAGTTCTTCATTGCAAATTTTAATTTTACAAACTAAATTCTATGATTTCATAGTTTATATTGTATTACTTTCATGGTAACTGTATGATTTCCAATTATTTATTTTATGTAAAGTAATTGGAGAATGTGAATGGCTGCATGTTGACTTCAAGCTTCAAGTATTTATGAATGATAGTAAAAGGAAGAAAAGAAAATTTCATAATTGAGCTATGTATCCCCTTTGTGGCAAATTTTACAATAATTTTAACATGATAATATTGGTAGGGGGGAAAGGCATTTTGGAAGATTACAATGATTCATATTAACACAAATAAACAGAGTTGTTAATGCCTCACACCTCTCACAATGGCATATACTCTTAACAAGCTTCTACCTCTTCATCATACAGAACCTCCATCAACCCTTCAACTTAAACTTTATTTAACACATTCTGCATTTAAAAGAAAATGTTACCTTTCTCATGAGCCTTTTATTTTCTTCCATCATCGCTGCGCTACTCTGAGTGAGCTCACGCAAATGTCTGAGTTCTTGTCGAAGGTTTTCTTCCTCTCTGGAATGTTTTGCTGACTTCCTGTCAGCTGCAACCTCAGTTTGTTTACTAGGATCAGCATGAGCATGTTTTTCCCTCTTGCTGATTCTCTAAAAAAATAAAATTCTCAGTATAGTTTTCATAATTTAGAACACATTTTCATCCTAATACATAGTAGCCCATAGAACTAGGAATAAACTCTCTGTTCTATGGAACACTTCAATGTGAGTTGAAAATGAGACCATTCCCTAGGTAGTAATCTAGCTGTGCTATATAATTAGATAATGAGTTAGTCATTTGTTTCATAATTACCAGTGTCATAGAGAAACCCTCATACAGGACCATTTCAGGTAAGTCTGGAGGTGATGGGAGATGTCCAGTAGAGTTTACCTCGGACACACCAATCACAATTTAAATCCTTCTTTGATCAATGACTTCCTTCTCCACTTCAGTTTCTCTTGTTTAGAGACTGAAAATGCTTATGAGGCCTGGCATACCGGTATGAGTAGTTATGTTCAGATTCCTCCTGCACAAGATTATGAGAATGTATACTGCCCTTCTAGTACTGTATATCAAGAAAGCATGGGCTTTAGTTCTCTTTTGTGACTCCATTACAAAGAAGGTGGAAGATATTCTCACATGAAGATCTTAAGATTCTCCTCCAATTTTACCCAGTTGCTTTGATTTTTAATTACATGGCATATATTAGAGATGATGAAGGGTATTTATTTAAATGGATGTTCAGCCAGCCTGTCCTCCTAGGGTTTTCCAACGTCAAGAAAATGGTCAATTTAAAGTGTCCTCTCCTAACCTATCAGAGGGCCCAAAACAGAAAACGGAACAGTACGTCACTTTTGTGAGCCGCTTCCATTTTCTAGTATGTACAACTATTTTTTGCCTTAGTAACACATATGAGCGAAAAGCAACATTTTTTGTAGGAGGACAGGTTGATTCAGTAGAGTACAGAGTGCTGACAATGATATACAGAAACACCAAGATGATATCGGACTTGATTGAGAGAACATTCTGCTTACAAGGACTGCATTAAATCTTTGATACAACCATTACAGGCAAAATGTTATTTTCAACTAAACCAACTCTCAACTTGCAGTTTGTAAATGAAGGCAAGACACTACATACAAAATTCACTCATGAATAACAGAGAAGTGCCTGGATTGGATAAAATAGAACACCCAATCTTCTAGATGGGTGTTCTATTGCCCATCTCCTCCTATAGTGAGGAAATGGGCAAGAAAGGGAATAGGGGTCGAGGACAACTGGTGAGCAAGATGGGTAACAATAACTGTAAGGACTACAAGGGAGTGAGAAAGATTGCAAGGTGGTCTGGGAATGCTTAACTCCACCACTACCCAACTGTATTATGCTTAGAAACTCACTTAATTATATTTAAATTATTTTAGGAAAAATTACATATCAAGGAACATCTTTGAATGTAGCTCTACTATATTTTACTAACCACTTTGTTACTCTGTGTCCTCAAAGTCAATTAATGCAAATTACTGTAAAGCTGAGCACAAGTTCAATGACTTCTAAATGATGACAGGATTGTTAATCTTCTTGATGCTTCATAAATTAAGATTATATTTACCTCTCTCTTGTTCCTTGGATTTACCACCTCCTCCTTACTCCATTTTTTTACAGTGTTGCACATATCCTTTGATAAGTGATCACCATGACGCACTTTCCTGAAGGCTTCCTATAGAAAAGTAATTGCATTAATCATAAAAATATGGTATGCGTGTTAAAATATATTCTAGTTGTAGAGCAAAAACAAATTTGAGTGTCTCAGAGCTCTTCCTCCTCCATGTCTTTGTCTACAATACACACACACTCTTATTGTACTTGTGTGCATTCTGGGACTCTTCCACAGTCTCTCGTCCAGGTATTTTTGGTGCCATCTCTGAATAATAAGTATAAAGGTAATATTTAGGCTAATACTATAGTCCAAAAGCCAGTTTCATGTATAATCCATGCAATAATTTGTGAAGAATGAAAAAATATTTAATACTAGAATTTATGCAAATTTAATGTATGCCCCTCTGTACTACAAAATATTTAACCCAAATTACTATAGGAAAATGGTGTCTCATTTGGCACAAAAATATGACACTCCTAGTAATTGGGTGGATGCATAAAACCACTCTAACTCTTTCATTGTGATCCACAGCTATGGTTACATAGCTTAACAAACATTCTTGGATCATATCTGGATGGGGTTCTGGAAGTTCTTCAACCCCCAAGCCTAGGGCAAGGCTTGACCTGTGAAAGCTTGGTCCAACAGGCTGTTGGTTGAAGTGGCCCACAGGCCCACATATCCACTATAGCCCAGTTGGTCTGGCACTTCTTGCAGAAAACTGTCCAGTTTTTCTTGAAGACTTCCACTTTTGTTGTGGCAATATTTCTTATACTTACTGGGAGGGTAATGAACAACCGTAAGCTCTGATGTACAGTGTTGTCAGTCAGTTGTATGTACTGTACAGTGTACATACAACTGATTTTCATGTTTACTCAAAACTGTATTTTTGCCATTTTCATTGAACCTATCTTGCATGAGTCAATGCATAAATACAAAAATTAAGCAATACTCAATGGTTTTACTGTACCTTTAAAATTCTAGCATCATTGTATAGATGTTGCAATGAATTCTGAGTGTGCTGACCAGTATCATCCGACTCCCAGTTTAATTGGCTTCTATCCATTTTCTGCAAAACATTAAAATTATTTTTTAAGAAAATCGATATTTACTAAGGTGGTCTCTACACAGAAAGAGCTTAAGGTGAAACAAATTAGTAGGTAGCTTGTACGAAGATTAAATGCAAGAGTGGAAAATAGTGCAGCATTTTCGTCAAATGATTCCCTGGGAGCCAGGGTTTTCTGGTGACTGCCTGGCTTGCGAACTGTTTGTTTATGCAGTCTGCAGGCCTGCATTACTATCATGACCAGGCTGATCCAGTAGTGACAGTTGAGGCTTGTTAAACTCCTTTTTGAGAGCTGTAACATTTCTTCCAGGAATATTTCATACATTTCCTGGTAGGAAGTTGAAAAGCTATGGACTTCTAATGTTCACACTATTTTCTCTGTGCATATGGCATCCCTACTTTTCATTTTATTTATATAGGGGGGATAGAGGGGATAGAGGGGGAAGGTGGTGAAGAAGCAGAAGGGAAAATGGTGAAGAAAAGGGGTAATTCGTGAAGAAGAGGAGTAATTGGTGAAGAAGAGGGGGAAAATGGTGAAGAAAAGGGAAGTTGGTGATGGGAAGGGAAGATGGTGTTGATGGTTATGGATGGGTACCCAGTGGTGCCTGGGTAGTGAGAAGATGGCTACACTGAAGAGGATGGTTATGTATTGAATAGATAGTTACAGTGTTAAAAGTTGTGTATGGTGATGGTTATAGTGATGATTATATGTAGTGAATATAGAAACTAATGATAGTTGTGTGTTGTACAGATGGTCACAGCGATGAAGACAGTGTACAGTGATGGTGTGGTCTCTGTCACCTGACCAACACTGGGTACCCCTTCTAGTCAAAATATACTGTATATTATCAACTGCCATGATGCCTATTAATTCCCTATATATATGTACAATAGTAAGACATATGCTACAAACTGGCAATTTAGTTTCTTAGCACCATCTCCAAAACTTCAGTTACGTTTGATATTAGTGCAACTGGTCTGTAGTTGTTCCACTACTTTATAAATGTACTGTTTTTGTGATACATGATTAAAACACATGCAGTACAACCAGTTAGGACTGAGATCATATTATCGTATATGTGATTAATCTCTGATTAATGGAGATTTGCTCATCTTTACCCCGCCTGTATGGGAAAGAAATTAATATGTTTTGATAGAGTTTTAACAGATAAGCTTTAAAACAGTAAATCTATAACAATTAAAATATACTGCAGGTTAGCCTAAAAGATATCCCTGGTGGCACCCTGATCCCCCTCCCTCCCTCCCTTCCAGGTTGTTGGGTGGGTGTTATATCTGCTTTAGAACTGACAGTTCAGACCCCAGCATGCAGTGAGCTACTTTCCCCCTCCCCATAAATGATTTGGGGAGGTGGAGCAAACAAACTAACCCTAGTTTTGAGAGAATTTGTTCATTAATTTACGAAGCTGGGGGAGTTCACTAGGTGGGTTTTGAGGCTTTAGTCTCTTTTTGAATCCAGCAGTGGTTTGTTTTGACTTGCTGATTTTCTGGTTGCCTTCCTCAGTGAGATGACAAAATGTCACCATTTCCTGCCCCTCTGTGAAGGGACCAGGTTTTGGTTCTGGTCCCCAGTAAGCCTACATTGGACTCCATGGCTGATGCATCTAATAAAATAGAACCATCTTAGTGTTCAGCTTCACGGAGCCACAAGGGGCTCCCCCCTCCCCCACCCAAAAAAAACAAAAATTCACAGAAAAAATCAAATGAAGTAATACAAAAAGTGAAATAAACAATGGTTCTTTGTATCTTTTTTTAAAATGCAGGAAATACTGTACTTACATAGGGTTGTCCAGTGTGCGTCAACAGCTCTGGGTTTGAGTGAGACCTGCTTCTGCACAGTGAATCATCTTCCTTGTGATGCAATAAAAAACCTTGAATAAACATTTCTTGAAATCTCATGATCAATAAATAGTTTGTATAAATGTTTTACTGTATTGTACTCTAATATAAATTGTACTGCATTCCCATCTGCAGCTATAAATGTTGTTAACCAATAGTATTTAAAAGCTCCCAGGAAAATGTCATGAATAGTTTTTTTTACAGCTTAAAAAAAAAAGCATACTATACCTTGTATGGTTTAGTGGTAAGACATGGAGCAGGAATCCAGGGTCGTGGATGGAGGTGAGATGGACAAGAGCAAAGCTTAGATTCAGGACGTCTCAAAGTCTTTAAGAACAATTTATACTGATGAAGCTTTCTGCTCTGTAACATCTAAAAAAAAAAAAAAAAAAAATGCAGGTTACTTTAAATGTGTTAAGCATTCTTGTAGTTATGATACAGGACATTATATTTTGCCTTGACAATTTTGATTCTTACCCTGCAAGTATGTAGTAGGACCCATCATTATTATAGTTCAAAATCAAATCAAAATCAAAATGAAAATGTTTATTCAGGTAGTCCCCGTGGTGCACATTGGTAAGACACTCGCCTGGCGTTCCGCGAGCGCTATGTCATGGGTTCGTATCCTGGCCGGGGAGGATTTATTGGGCGCAATTCCTTAACAGTAGCCTCTGTTTAACGCAACAGTAAAATGTGTACTTGGTTGTAACAACGATTCTTCACGGCGGGGATCGTATTCCAGGGACTTGCCCGAAACGCTATGCGTACTAGTGGCTGTACAAGAATGTAACAACTTTTGTATATATCTTAAAAAAAAAAAAAAAAAACGGGTAAAAGTACATACATAGATGGGTCACAATTATACTACTTTTGAATGAAAAAGCAATATAAAAGATTTAGGAGTAATCATGTCGAAAGACCTTACTTTTAATTAATGAAGATTTGTCTATACAAACCTTATGAATGCCTAAATGAAAAAAAAAATAAAACGTGGCCCCAACGTGAGGCCGGACCTCTGGGGACTCCTCACGGTTTTTTACTACGGCTTTCTAGTTTAATATTTTCCTGTCATCCATTCGCAGTCTTCGTCCTGATGGGGGGGGGGTCTTTCTAACTACTTATTTATCTTGTTTATTAGTTTAGTTCATTTATTATGCACCCCATACCCATCTTGTGGGCGGTAGTGGAAAGGGTTACAGAGGCACATAATGGGCTCAGGGACTCAACCCAACAATTAATTTAGCTAAGCAAGTTACAATCTTGATGAGCTAGTTACAACATTCAGTATTAAGTCGTCACATCCGTACAATTCCTTGCCGTTGCCTGCTTGTTGCGTGTTGGGCGACCTGTTGTTGTTGTGACGGCTCCTGGACCCGGGGCCGCTCGCACCCAACACTTGCATTGGGTTTTCTTTTAAAGTTGATGGGTAACTCCCTTAATTTTTTTCACCATTCAATTATCAAATAATATTTTAGTGTATGCTTAGTTCAGTTACGCATAGAAAATTAAAATAATATTTTAATGACTAGCTATATTATTTTAGTTTCCTATTCCCTGGAGACAATAGGACACTAAATCGTTTAAAGACCCCCGCTAAATTGTTTAACAACCAGGTACCCACTCTACATGTATTAACAAATGTTAATCTTCTTGTTTGAGGAGCTGTTCACTTAAGACAGTTAAGCAAGTCCCAGCTGTGTCTGGGTACAAGTGACAGGATGAACAACCCAGCGGGTTTTCTTCATATTTCTTCCTATTGTATATGCTATGGCGGAATGTCCACTCACAGGATGGGTGGCGTTGCCCAATAAACTCGCCCCAAGGAGTAAAATTAATAATTAATTTATCAGTGTAATCACCTCTATCACAATCTTGATGAGCTAGTTACAAAATGAAATACACATTGTCACATCAATAATGGGCTAGAGACCGACCCCAAGTACCGCCTAAGGTCACATAATTTTTTTTTTTGAGATATATACAAGAGTTGTTACATTCTTGTACATTCATTCTTGTCATTCAATTTGTTGAGCCTAGCTCCTGGGCCCAGCGCTCTAAAACAACGAACATATTTACATACACTACTCATGCAATATCACGCATCTCAACTACAAATTAATATTATGGAAAGGGGTAGTATTTCACACAGCATTAGCCAATAGAAGGAAGATAAACATTTATATTAATGGTCCTCAAGAAGTTACTAGGGTCTCCGGCTATGCGGAATGGGTCTTGAGTGCTGATTGGAGGAGCAGCGTGAGTGACAGAGCTTCATTGTGATTGGCGTAGGGACGGTGCTGTTTGTTTGAGACACGCGGTGTTTGTCTCCAGCTCTTAATTCTTTAGCAAAGGTAAGCCTGTTAAAATGGCTGAATTTATATATTGCAAGACAATGATAGGGTGGCTGTTGTGCATTGATAGGACCTAGACAATTTTAGCAGCCGCATTGCTAATGTGGAACTGGTAAGGCCAGTTTAAGCTCGAACTGTATCTGGTGCTACCCACTCCCACAATACTGTGTATGCCTAAGACATGCAACTTCACCATTTTTATCACTGCTGTCTGCTTATATCATAGTTATGTTGAACGCAAATTTTGCTACAATGTCCCTATTAATAGTCCTCAAATTATGCTACAATGTACTTGTTGATAATTTCACACGACTTGATAATGGTCCAGGACGGACCGAAACGTCGTCGTTTCTTCATCTTCTGATGTGTGGTTTGGTCACTAAAATTATATATTTTTAATAAGGTTTTATTGTTCTGGATATCATCTGGCTGTTTTGTACTGTACAGTACTTGTATATAGATAGTATCTACAACCTTCATCAATTACTCTCAACTTTTTCATGAATGTTTGTTTTTTACATTTATAGTTATTAGTTTACACAAATTTACAATAAATTATATACATTAGAGAAAGTCATAATAACATAACATGAAATTTGTTATAAACTATATACAGTACTCACAAATTTGGTTTTGATTTAAAAGCTACATTTGTCATTTCAAAATCTTTACATTGTCAAATTCAGAATAGAAAACTATTTCTGTAATGACTTATGCAAGTTACAATAATGGCTGAACTAAACAGGTGTACATCAATCTAAATCAAACTTCACATTTCTGCTTAAAGTGAATGACATTTAGCTTACAATTTGAAACGTGATATATATTGGAAAAATATAGTATCGTGTGTCTATGCAGACTACAAATATTTTGAGGGGCAGAACTCTGCATCTGAAATCTTCTTCAAATACTGCAATTTCGATACATTTAAATGTTCCAAAGACTCGAGGAACATTTGTCAAAGAATCATATTTGCTAATTTGGCAATTTGAAAATTCTGTAAAGTAGGCGCTTGCTTAATACAGTGAAAATGAGAAAACCTAAAAAATGAAGACTAAGGAAAGAAAAAAATAGAGAAAGATAACATTATTGATTGAAAAGGTGGTGAGGCAGTGGTGAAAATTGGAAAGGTACTCGTTTGGACTCCAACCGTGAGTTTAACCAAAGAAAACAACCATAGTTCAGAAAATTGGTACTGTACTTTTAGCACTGTATAAGGTGCAGAGGAATATTGTAATTAGAAGCTTTGTTTGATATCTAATTATTAATATATTTGTAATTTATAACAATTTTAATATTAAAAATCATTGTAATCATGTGTAAATATTAAAACTGTTTAGTTTTATTTGATACTTAACATTACTGTAGAATGCCATTTCTGCTTCTTAAAAACAAATACTATAAAATAATCTTCAAAGATTAAAGGTTAAGGTTCAGTGGTTAGATCGGTAACTTTTGTTCAATTATTACTTCAGGTTGGAAGCAGAAATGGCATCTTCCCCATCAAAGTCTCCTCTAGTGAAGACACCGGGAAAACCAGGCCGTCCAAGTAGTACTCCCACTGACCTGATCCTTCCCACCCAGCGTGTCAAAATGATCATGAAGAGTTGTCCTGATGTTGAGACAGTACCCCAGGAGACGCTCCACCTCATCACTAAGGCCACAGAACTCTTTATTCAATACTTAGCTGAAGAAGCTTATAGACAAGCAGGCATTAAAGAAATAATCAATTATGATCATCTTTCAAGTGCTGTTCACACCATAGAGCACCTTGAGTTTTTAAGAGAAACAATTCCTAAGAAAATTACTTGGGCTGAAGCACAAAAACTAATTGAAGAAAATAAAAATAAATTTGAAGGATTTTTTTAAGGAAACACTTTTGAACTTTCGTCATAAAATATGATGAACTATGTGAGCTTCATACAAAAACTGCTGCCATTTGGTGGCGGTGGAGGAAAAGCAAGCCCATGCAGTAGATCTAACCCAACAAATAATTAGTTCCTGTTCAAGAACATGGTCACATTATAAATGTTATAACAACATTAAACATGAATTATTTTGTATTATTTGAAATGTAAATGATAAACAAGAAACAACAAATCATTGAAAGCTTCTTAATTTGTTATTCTTTGCTAGTAAAATGTGTGCAATTCCTTGGGAATATTTTTATTATATTTTGGTATTAAAAATATATTAAATTTTTTTTTTAATACAGCATTTCTATAAAAAAAATCTGGAATACAGTACTGTATATGAAAGGAGTACTGTACACTCCTTTCTTATAAATATACTCAAAAGAAAAGTACAGTATGGGGGTTTGAAACAGAACTGCCATGACAAAGAGTTAATATTGTCTATTTAATTTTCTCTCCATACCCAAGTGGTAGTTGACTTTAGCATATATTTTGGTTTGCTTAAAATAATAATAGTAATACTCTATAATTCATTGTGTCGGAGGACAGGTAGCCAGTGTATTTATACATGTTAAGCTTGTATGGAGGTTGACTATTGACCCTCTCCAAGATGCAACCTCAAAACAAGCTGACTAACTCCTGGGTACCTATTTACTGCTAGGTAAACAGGTGCATTAGGTGATAGGAAACATGCTTAACCACTTCTGTCCTGCCTGGGATTCTAAGCTGGAATTCTCGATTGTGAGTTGAGAATGAAACCGATTGTACTACTGGGACCCTAATGTGATGATTATGTAGTTTATTATGTAATTGAAAAAAAAGTACTCATGTATCCTAATTGTGACTATAACAAAACATCGTCATAATTTATATTTCCAAATCATCAAAAAAATTTTGTTTCAAGAGATGTTTTGCATGGTAAGGACTTTATATTTTCCCAAATATAATAATTGAATTTATTATAGGTATTTACTCTTATTGAGTTTATATTTGTATTTATTTTTTTAACTAGCATTCATGTGGCACAGTTTATTGTAATAAACACCTTTAGGGATATCACTGCTATTTATTAGACAAGCTTTTGTACATGTTAAACATAAAACAATTTACTAATACTGTACAGTCTTATTTTTGGTCCAATTAAAGTTTTGCAGTTGATGCCTAAGATGAACACTAATTAGTAGTGTTAAGTTGTGTATTAATAATTTATAAGTATATGAAATACAAACTATATTTTGTTTCATTGCCTTTATCACCTGCAAATGAATGGTCTAAAAGATTGTCCAAAAAATATTGCATATGCATTATAATTGTCAGGTATTGCTACATACATGAGTCATTTTCATGCTGGTGATAAATCCTGCTGCATTTAACTTGCCGTAAGTTATTTTTTATATCTAACCATGTCAAAAAATATTATTTTGTTGGATTAATAATATATATATATATATATATATATATATATATATATATTAATATATTATATATACTGTATTATATATATATATTATATATATATATTATATATATATTATATATATATATATATATATATATATATATATGTATATATGTATATGTATGTATGTATATATATATACATACTGTACATATATAATGTTGTACCTAGTAGCCGGAATGCAGTTCTTGGCCTATTATGCGAGGCCCGATTTGCCTAATAAGCCAAGTTTTCTGGAGTTTCAATATTTTTCTAATTTTTTCTTATGAAATGATAAAGCTATTTATTTCATTATGTATGAGCTAATTTTTTAAATTGGAGTTAAAACTAACGTAGATATATGACTGAAACTAACCAACCCTACCTAACCTAACAAAACTAAATCAATAATTCATGTTCTTAACATAATATAATAATAATATTTAAAATAAATCAATATGAAACAATTTATTGAAAATATAGAAAATCACTTGGCCTATTACGCAAATCAGGCCTTGCATAGTAGGCCAAGTACTGCATTCTGGCTACTAGGTACTACATATACATGTGTGTGTGTATATATGTACGCCAGATGCATAGTGCTCCTGGCAGTATGGGTTCGAGTCACTTCTGGGGTGTGAGTTTTCGGTTGCATATATGCCTGGGGATCATTCAGGCTTGTTTGCATTTGTGTTTCTCACGTGTTGCCCCAAAGAATGAGGTGATTTGATAAAATACTATGCCCAAGATTACTATCAGAGCTCCGTCGGGATGGTGGGGTAAATAGCTTCGGCTACCATCATCTTTTAAACGGTCGTGATGGTCGAGTAGTGAAGGTGTCCTGTACGCCAGATGCATAGTGCTCCTGGCAGTATGGGTTCGAGTCATTTCTGGGGTGTGAGTTTTCGGTTTATATATATATACACACATACACACACACACATATACACATACATACACTGTATAATGTAAGTACAGTACCTAAGTGCGGTTACAAGGATGAGAGCTACGCTCGTGGTGTCCCGTCTGCCCAATACTATTTGTCATATAACGCTTTGAGCTTTGAAACTACTCACAGTTTTGGCCTCCAATACCTTCTCACTTACTACATCCGTCTCGTCTTACTACATCCTTCTCACATTCGTCTACCAGTCTGTTTGCAAAAGAAAACCGTCTAATATATTTTTTGGCACCTTTGTTTCCTCAGGTGTAGTGTACTGTATGCTTCAAACATACTTATAAGGCAAGCACACTTGACCACTAAACTTGACAAAAATGTACATTTTGTAAGACTATTTTTGGCATCACTGTTTTTCTTTTCTTTATTCTTTATATAAATGTTAACAAGTTAAATTAATAATATGTATACTGTACCTTGGAAATGTAATGCTTATAATTTATTGGTCAACTTAACAATTGGTGTTATAGAGCATCTTATAAATTCACTCCAACATGTTGACCAGACCACACACTAGAAGGTGAAGGGACGACGACGTTTGTGTCCATCCTGGACCATTCTCAAGTCAATTGTTTATACTTTAGCCACGTTATTGTGACTCATCGCCTGCTCACTCCAACATTTTCAGTGGAAATGTAGACATTGCACTCTATTAAGAGTACAAAATCACTAACAGTTCCAGCACAAAGTTTTATTATAAACCTGAGAAAAATGTGTGAAATGCAGGGTGACGTTGTCAAGGGTAAACATGTACCAGGACGGTATGACTTGTGGAGTACAGTAGATGCAAGGTACCGAGTACGGCTGCTAGGAGATTTGCCGACTCCTGGGTGTAGTATTTGAATGTTCATGCTTCAAGATAACTAATTTATGCAAAATTTATGACCAGATGAATTGAATTTGTGTCATCGATATACAGAGCAAAAGGTAGCCAACTACAGTGTGTAAATGAATGTAATCAAGATTGAACATGTTAAAAAATCTATGTTAGGCTAGTTTTTCTAGTGGAAAGTGTAACTAAACAAGGGTAAGTTGCATTATTTAAGAAATAAAAGTTGAAATAATCATTAAGGTATATTTACTTGATTTTGCTATTTGTATATATCAAGTGTTGCCCTACAGTATTTGTGGACAATATGTTTTACAACCTACCATCCCTTTTAATATCGGCAGCTATTGGCTACTGATAGAGGTTAATTAGTGCCATGTTTTCAGTGAGACACAAATCTGCCAATCATTTTACATTCAGATTCCCAATTTCTGCTGGGAACACACACACACAAAGGAACATTGCCCAATTGTCCCACCCTGCCCACACGTCACCATCTTTACTTTTTATAAGCAGCTGCTCTTGTGCATCTATTAAATTTGATGAAGACTTTGTAGGCAAGATGTGTTTAATAGTCTATTCTAAACTTTTCTGCACTTTGTGCACTATATAACTAAACTCGGGTGAACATAAAATTCATTGGAAGCACCTATGTTCTAGAAAATATACTTGAAGTTTAGTTTACTTTTCAAGTTTAAGGTGATTTATAAGTTAAAGTTTTTATAAGTGGCTGAAATTTTTTAGGTGGAAAAATGGCTGATGATGTGGAACCAACAATTGGTACAATGGCTGTGGAAGAGCCTCTGGATCTCATCCGTTTGTCACTGGATGAAAGAATTTATGTAAAGATGCGTAATGAAAGAGAACTTAGGGGTCGCCTCCATGCTTACGATCAACATCTAAACATGATTTTAGGGGATGTAGAAGAGACCGTGACTTCTGTGGAGGTATGTAAAAATGATTTTTAACCAGTTTTTTAAATTGAGAATGCATGCTTCCAATATTATATTGCATAAATTATGTAAATGTTCTAACTTAGCCATTTCTACTCTCCCTATTTTGTTGAGGTGAAAAGGCCTGTTTTCAAAGGTAAGGTATTAAGAGGAATTAGTCAAAAAAATTTAGGCGTCACCGAATGTGTCTCAGCCTCTTTTGTAAAGTTAAAACTTTAGAATGGAAATTGAAACTGGGAATACGGACTATTCTCTAACTAAGGTGCAGTAGACCTCAGTTGTAAGAATATTTTACTGTATTTGGAGTTGCATTTGAGACTTTACTGGTAAATTAAATGATCAGAAGAGAATGAGTATTTGGCCCAAGGACTGTTGGAGATCAGGCGTCTTCTCTTCCCAGTGATCTATGCAATATCATTTTTCCAATTGCATTTGACACTGCTCACGTCTCCTCTTCCCACCACTCCTCCACACTACACAACAAACTTAAAATCAGAAGAGAATGCATGTGGGACATACATGGTAAATTAAATGATTAGAAGGGAATGCCTGTGGGACATACATTTAACCTTCAGGAATTGTTTGATGTATCAGTGTGTCAAAATGTGAATAAATATTATTACGGCAGTCAACAATGACTAAAAAGGCAGATTATTTTGTGGTAATTGATGCATTGGCTAAATGTATCATAATTTTGGAAATTTCAAAATCTTAAGTAATTGCATATTTTGCTAAGGATTATCCAAAATGTGTTACAGGCTCATAGAGTAGGTTTTGAATTGTATACATTGTACTGTCTTGATTGGGATATTTGAGTGATGCGTCTTTCCAAAAATCAGAAATACAATAGAGGACTTGCTGCATTTTGCGAAGTTTAAAGAAATTTGATAATGCAAACTTCATTTACAGGTAGATGATGAAACTTTTGAGGAAGTTTACAAAACAACGCGGCGAAACATCCCAATGCTCTTTGTACGAGGAGATGGAGTTATTCTTGTTGCGCCTCCCATGAGAGGTGGTGGAATGTAGGGTACAGGCTTTGTGATTTCAAGATTTCATTTCATTAAAGCTGGAACATGTTTGATTTTTCTTGTGTTCCAACTTTCAATTAAGATACTTATTTTGTTAAAATATTTAGATCAGTCCTGTACTTGTACAGGTATTTGGTTTATTTACATGCAGACAAGTAATCAAATAATAAATTTATTTGAATGACAATTCCAAAAGTTTATTTATTATAAATTTGTTAATCTTAATTGGTTAGTGACGGTGGTTAATATTGGAATAAACTTAAGATTTACTATATTGTAATAAATATAGCAATCTGAGTTTTGTTTATTCATCCCATAGAGATTTTTGAGTAACTTTGCCAGAGAGTTTACTACATCTGTACAAACAATTCTTGTTTGCTAAATTATACTCTTCAGTTTAACTGGAACTGGAATAAAATGTCCAAGTTTAATTCATAATATATATTTATAAAAGTAAAAATTTCAGGCTAGCAGTTTGCAAAATGTATAAGCCAATCCCAAGAAAATAGTGCAAGATTTGTAATAAGAAAGAGTTTATAAAATATAAGAGCATGCAGAATTGTGTATGGGTATATCGGACATGTCTAGAGAGATTTACCGACCAAGTGATTTATATGGTGGAAAGTGCTCTACTTAGGAAAGATATACTGTATTGACAAATAACTTTGCAAGTGATCTGGTCAGCAAATTACATTATTATATTTGTATATATTAGAATCCTTGTTCCTAATAGATAATGCCCATCCTATAAGGGCATGACATGTAAAAATGAAATTCCCTGACATTTAAAATGTCAAAGCAACCTTAAACACATGCAAAAGGCAAAATGCTGCTTAGGCTATCATAAGGGTGAAACACATGGCATTACTTTCACTAGAAAATATTGCAGAAAATTGCAAGCAGAAAAGGAATTTGCCCTCAGCGACCACACAAGGGAAGACACTGGAAAAAGGCAAAGAATAAAGCATTGAAAGCTGGGGTAGTGAAGAGCATGACAAAAACCACAGTGGTTTTTATAGGACTGGGCTGCAGGGATATTAAGCCCCAAAATCATCGCAAGGGGTGGCTCTGTGCATGTCATATTCTGCATGCTCTCAACACTTAACATTAAGAGCTCTACTGTATGATAAAAATACGTACATCATTATAAATTGAACTCATCCTAAAAATAGAAGGACAAGTTTCTTCTTTGTTATACATAGATGAATAGGTTATTTTATGCTATAAAATCATTATATATTACTTATTATATTTGTGTGTGTGCGTATATATATATATATTAATTATACTGTACAGTATATATAATATTTATTATACCTGAGTGGTACCTCAGTTTTTAATTTAATCTGTTCCCAGAGATAATTAAAAAACTGAAACGAATTTTCCCATAAAAAACTGAAACGAATTTTCCCATAATAAATAATGTAAATTTAATTAATCCATTTCACATCCCTAAAAATCTATAAATAAAAATGGAAATGTTCGTTTGTGCATAACCGCTAATCTCCGAAAGTAATTCACCGATTGCTTTGAAATTTTCACACAACTTTCCATTCACATCCGAGCAGGTTTTTATATACATAATATATAGATATTACATCTGTGACGGTAAAAAAAACATGCTTTTTCTGAAAACTGTGTTTTTCATGTGAGGGAAATCTTCAAAACCTCTTTACCGATTGCTTTGAAATTTTGACACAACGTTGCATTCGAATAGGCGCGTCTTTTTATGTATCTACTATATACATGCCTCACCTGTGACTGGAAAAAACATGCTTTTTTTGAAAAACAGCGCCATATGTAGGATGTAAGAGCAACACATGCTGTAATCTCCGAAAGTTCTTCACCGATTGTTTTGAAATTTTGACACAACATTGCATTCGAATAGGTGCATCTTTTTATATACCTACTATATAGATGCCATCCCTGTGACAGGTAAAAACATATGTTTTTGAAAAACAGCGCCATCTGTTGCACATAAAAGCAACATGCATGCTATACTAAATGTTACGAATTCCATTTCAATGTTTCCAATTGCATTGATAAATTTTATTTTCATGGATTTCGATTTATTTAATTTTTTATTGAATTATTTTGTGTGGCATTGTGTTGAAATTGAGCTGTGTTGTTTACCATACCGTTCATTTCGTGAGTATAGTTTATTTTTTTATTTTTTCATATTTTCATTTCATTTTTTAACTGTTTTTCTTATATTTCGGTGATGGGAACATCAGATCACTTGATGTGAACAATTTTCTGAGGGGAACATCAGACCATTTGGGAAGGCATCGAACGAGGGAGTTAGGAATGGTGGGGATGACGAGGGGACGGAAGTGAGAGATGGTGGGGAGGACGAGGGGATAAGGGAGGGGGTAATGGTGGGCTAGGATGAGGAGACGGGGAAGTTTGGGATGGTGGGGACGATGGGATGGGGCAATGGAGAATGGTGGGGAGAACAAAGGGACAGGGAAGTAGGGCATGGTGGGAGGCAAGAGGGGATGGTGGAGTGGGGAGGAAGAGGGGACGGTGGAGTGGGGAATGGTTGGGAGGCCGAGGAGACAGGTGAGGTGGGATTGGTGGGTAGGACTGGGGGACAGGGAAGGTGGCTGTGGCCTGGGTACTGCTAGCATTAACTAAAAAACACATTTTATACAGACTAATACTCATAGATACCTTATCTTTATTGAGGACTCTTGTTGGCATATGGAAGAGAGTGAGGAAAGGGGGGAGGAGGAGAGGTGTTAGTGTTTGGAAGGGGAGTCCCCTTCCATTATAACAGCAGTGATGATACTTCTGCAGTACTCTATAGTTTTGCAGGCATACCACTAGGACTTGATTGTGGCTCACTGCTTTAAGAATCTGTCTACAGACACTTGTTTTTCCCTACGTTTTAAAACGTGTGTAGCGAGACTCGCTATGCTCACGTTGTGTCTATGAATGATCTGTTTTTTCTCTATTGTCTTCCTCGCAACTATTTTCTTAGGTTAAACTTTACCACTGACTTTCTTGAAACCCATGGAAAGATATATAATAAGCACTTTTATGTTCAGAAACCCCCCAAAATCACAAAAACAACAAAACTTCACAGTGAATTCAAGCACAGTTGTCACTAGGCGGAAGACCCTGGTAAACTGAAGCATGCCATGTGCTTGGTCGGTCCATATGTGTATCAACAAACTCGAGCACCGAAGCAAACTTCGAATACAGAGTATAAATTTTTTGAAGTAATTGAGCTCGAGAAGCGAAAAATTCGAAAACCGAGGTTCCACTGTGTGTGTGTGTGTGTGTGTGTACTGTATATATATATTTTATATTTATTTTTATTTATAAATCACTTGTCTCGTCAATTACAACACCTTGAAAGCACCAAAGCTATTAATTTGCTCAAAGCATTCTCTCATTATTTGCAGGAGCATATAGTCAAGCATTTTTTAAATTACTTTTATCTTAAAATTATGGCTGCCTCTACATACTGTACAATACTTGTCAGCTTCACCCATGACACTTTGCCATCTTGATGCTTTATATCATACTGGCTTACATCTAAGCAAGGAATATTAGGTACCACGATCATGCTGAAACTGATATTTCATCTACAGGATAAATGACGTCACTAGTCTTAGATTATTTTAGCAAGAACTCAGCAGCAGCCCAATTTATTTATACTGAATAAAGTACTGTATAAATAAATTTTCTAATTTGTTGTTATACTATATTTTGATAAATTCCCACATTCTGCAGTCCCTTCATACTGTTTTGTAACCCTTCAATACTAAAGTAGCTTTCTTACTGCTATGTTGCCATGAAGTGTGTCAGTGTAAAACCCTCAAATCATCCCTTGAAGGCCTTTGCCTCTTCCTGTATGTTAAAATTACATTTTCCTGAGCATTTTCATGTCCTTTTGTATTTGCTGCAGTTTTTACAGACAAGTCTAGAATCATTGAAGTTAATTTTTGTTAATATTTTGTTGTGAATAACGATAGTTTTACAATTATACATCACCTCCATCCTGATGTGTCTAATGCAGAAAAAAGCTATTTTTTTTACTACGAAAATTTCACAAATGACTGCTAGTTTTTAACTAGCAGTCATTTGTGGTTATTGTTGACTTAATTGATGCAATGGCCATAAATACTCTCTAATCCTTCTAATTCCATAGTCCTGGAAATTCAGCATTAGTTATACAGTATTGCTTATTCCGTAAACACATGACAATGGAGCCTTGCTGGGTCTTCAGTTATGAAGGTATACCTCAAGACGAACCAGTGAAACAGTCCAGTCATTTATGTCCCATCACTATACTACAGAACATTTTATTTAAAACATTACCAGATACTGTACTCTATCATGATTCACTCAACAGGATATGTGGTTGACTACAATATATATAAAAAATTAGAAACCATTAACAAGCTCCTGCCCTTAGAATTCAAACGGTCTTGCCCCATTTAGTCTTTAATACTAATAATAAGGGTCAAATTTTTAAGACAGGAAAGTTTCCTAACATTCCTTTACAACAGATGGAACTAGATACTCTGCTTGGTGAAGTAGACTATTTTTATATAACTTAATGTCGTGCACTTGTATCAGCATCTTAAATAGTATTCAAACACTTCTGACCAAGTTGCACATTGAAGTGCTATACCGTTAACCATACTAGCCTAGTGATTTCTCTTGGTAATTGCCATTTTTTATATTTGCATTTGCAGAAATTTTTAGTGAAATAACTGCATTTACAGTCATTTCACTAAAAATATTCCATAGATATTTGTAATACTCTTAATTAAATTTTTTTTATATATGAGTAAAAGCAAAAGCTAATTTAAATGTGGTATCTTAATAACTTCCCTAAGCATTAAATAAATAAGCTTGCCAACTGATTACATAAATGTAAATTTAGCTAGAAATGAAGAATCACAAGTAGACAGCCACGGATGAAAAGAAATTTAGATTGCAGCTCATCTTCCATAAAAATACAATAAAATGAGTACGAATACAATGGATGAATTTAAAAAAATATGAACCAAGCAATAAAACTAGGGACAATGTTTCAACATTCTGAACATTTTCCAGAATGATAGATGAATGACTACTCGTGGAGAAGGAAAATCAATAGAACTTAAGAGAATTAATAAAGCCATGGTAGTTGTCATTATTGTTCAAAGCATTAGTACTGGTATGTTGTAATATGCAAGAAAAATGCAAATTGTCAATCCCTACTTTGATTAAGCAAAAAATTATTTTAAATTTTATGTATTGTAAACCAAAATTCAATATAAAAACATTTTAACAAGTATAACTGTGAACTTGGATAAATTTTCTAAAATTGTTAAACATTTTGAATATAATGTATGCACTTGTAATTTGAATCAAGTTATAAGGCCTGCGATACCATTCACTGTAATAAATTACACAGATATATATTAAGGGTATGTAGGCAAAAATCATGCCTTCCAATCCTGTTTCATATACAAACATCCCACCATGCTAATGCTACATTTTAATATGGATTTTGAGTAATTTAGTTGTAGAACAATGTCACCCAAGTAAAATGGACCAATGTTATTTGTGGTGGATTATCTTTTGTTTTCGTATTTGGATCTTGATTTTATCACTTAAATGCTGCTGCACAGCCAATGGCTTTGCACCGTTAAATAATAATTACCCTAGGCAGATCCTCCTGTCATGCACATTTAAGGTCATATATAAAAAAAAAAAAAAATGAGTGCCAAACTAGGCAAGGCATTCATTTATGTTCTTGTAGATCATTCCACAAGCTTATGAAGCACAGCTACAAACCTCATCTGTCCACTAAACTATTATCAAGAAAATTTTGTATTGTGTTCTTTAAAGCATCTTTTAAAATATTTCCTGAAACCACATTAATTGGTTCAAATTGAATGCTTTATTAATATATTACAGTAATCTGGTACAACTGCAGAAATAAGGGAACTATGAGTTGTCATGTCACTCTAGAGTGTATATAGTTAGATAGCTTGTTAATAAGTCTAGTAATTTCTGCCTGATAAGCTAAAAAGTGCTGTACTACATAAATCTAAATAACAACTTACATAGTTGATTACAACTAATAAGCCCAGGATTTTAAATAACTACAATTTTAGACAAGGATGCAAGATAATGTAATTTATTAAATGGCCAATAGGTTTATTTGTCAAATTTGAAGCAGAGGTCAAAATATTGTAATACCACTAGTGAGAGATGACACCATAGAAGTACAAAACAAAAAACAAAAAATCCAAAATTGGCTTCTAATGTGGAAATCATTCAAGCCAAGACACTGTAACTTCTGGATACACCAAGTCCTGTTGACACATTGCACAAGTATTAGTTTCAACAACTTATACTTTATTAAACCTATGGCATCAGCAAAGCACAATTATCTACGATGAAGTAAAAAAATAAAAAAAATATAACATGCACACTGTAATATCAAGTAACAATCAGGCAATTACTTTTTAAAAGTAAATTGACACATTAATCATACATACACCCTATGCACATGACAATTATTGGACAAACATATTAAAATAAAGGTTACATTCTGCCTTGCATCGCAGAAAGGCCTTTCTGTTTTATTTCACATAGAGAGGGATTTTGTTTTTTAATAAAAAAATTAAGAAACAATATTCTAAAGTAGTTATTATTGATGTATTTTTTGCCAATTTTTAAGGCTGAATTCCTTAAACCTTACATATTTTTAGGACATCAAAGTATGCCTTATGCATTTAAAGCCAATGAGCTTTATACCTAAACTCATAGCTTGAAGTACAGAACACAAAAAATAACTATATAATTCAGAAATATTCAAAGCCATTTAGTTAAATATTTTATTACTATGAAAACCAATTGTAATACTGCACATTATCTTCAGTTAGCAGCTCGGAGAACAAAATCATAAGAATTTGCCAATAAATTATTTGAATTTCTCCGAGGCTGTATGGATATGCTGCCTTTTATCAAATGTTTATAACGTCCAGGCACATCACAATAGAGCTAATACATCCACATAAATGTGATGAACGAGAGCTTCTGCTTGTCCCTCGATGGGGAAAAGATGGCAAACAATTACACACACACCTCAATAACTACATAATCATAATACAGTAGGTCTAAATACCAGGCAAACAGATTTTTAATACAATTTTAATAGATTTTTGTTACGAATCTTTGATGTACACACAATGGTGAAATGTGAACAAGAATGATCACCAAAATGATTCTAATACCATTTTAATTCTTACATTATAATATATTGTTCCTTGAGAGGAAGTTGCAGTCTGACATTTTAAACTTTATAATTATTCCTATAGGATATAATGCACACCCTAGCTCAGCTGCAAATTGTATAATACATAGTGGGGCAATTATGATAAAAAAAAAATACAATACAGTACAGTAGCCTAATACTGTGAAAATTACATGCAATTCTTATACATAAATTTCCACATAGGTTTCTTTGAGTATTGCTAATATAACTATACTGTAATCAAATTTTATATAATTTCTTTGAAGATTAAATTTATTTCCATTATAAAATTTAATATACACTATATAAAACAAGTTTTTCTATTAGTTTATCTCTTCCAGAAATTTGGATTCTGTTGTAATCTGCGACTGAAGTTTTCGTACCACTTTGAGAGAGTGGAGAGGGGAAGATATTGTTCTGATGGGTTGGGTGTAATTTGTGATGGACTCTGAGCAAAGCTGGAGGCATAATTGTATAGATTTTCACACATGGCTTGACTGAATTCCACGTAAGAGTTCAGAGTTGATGCTTCCGTTGATGGATTAGGTACTTGACCCTGGATCTGTGATAAAGGTTCCACCTGCAGGAATATTACCAAAATTAATTTTTTTTTCTCAAATTCCCTCTGAAATATACTGCAGTAACAAAATTCTTACTGGCTACTGAATATTTTTATATGTGCAATGCAGCTTAATATTGGCTGCATCTTATATGTAGTTAACACAAACAAGGGGACTTTTACTGGACATCAAACATGCCCCCCCGGTTCATGAAGCCTATTCCCTTCACATATCTACACAACATTTGGTGAAGTTCTACGGTCTAAATAAACCTACCTCCTTATCTGCATAAAATTGTAACTGGGTCCCTATCCAGGAAAAATCACTTTGCCAACAAATAATGGCTTAGAAAATGACAAGCAGATGCATACTAAACTAAATGGAGGCCATGGTAGAGACGAGGGTGTTCATCCTGTCTTCCATGCAAGATCTAACTACTGCACATTCAGAAGGGCACCAAATTTGCCCAGCATGTTTTAAAGCTGGTCTATAATGCACAGATGCACATTATCAGCCAATATTAAAAGTCTTAATATATAAAAATCTTGATGCCTTTGTCTAGTAAAGTAACCTGTCCTAATAGGTAAAATATGTCAAAATGTGGTATGGTAAGGCCAAAAACAGTCTTATTAGAAAATGGTAACTGTTTGCAAAATTTATAATGTCCTGTTTTCTGCTTCTGAGTCCTTTGGTAGGTTAGGATAAGGCACTTTATTACGACAGTTTCTTGACATTGGAACGATCGCGAGAATAGGCCGAGTAAAAGACCGAGTTGTCTTTTATGTAGAGAAGTCCACTGCTGTACATAATCCACTAGTACCTGGTTGATTTTACTGGACAAATCAACACTGGGTATGTGAAGGGACTATTAGGGTCAGGGAAAACAGAGTTGCAAACCTTAAAAATATAAAAAGGAGATTTTAACTAATCCACAAGCCAGTCGTAGCTAGTGTGATTGACTCACAGCTAACAAGCTTATGGGTATCTGATGGACCACTAAACTTAGGACAACAGAAGTAATTAAAGTAAATGTCAGTCCTTGGCAATAATGTAAAGCATAGGCAATTAATGTGCAGTTGGTGGGGATGATTGGAACCTGGAGCATGGTTGCCGCTGCTACCTGGTAATCTTTGAAAGAAAGTATTTGTTTTGGTTGATAGTTAACTTGGTAAGGTTTATCACTGATGATCAAACAAGTGACATTACTGGGGCTCAGTATGGCTGTAGTTTGTGAAGAGACCTTGTAAGGCATCAGTTTTTTTAACTGCATTGAACTTCTCCAGTGACCCTCAGGCACCTTACAAAAAGTTATGTAAATAATGAAATGAAATTTTTTGTTGTTGCAATATTGATAATGAACATAGAATGTGAACTAACAATTTTACTTGGAAATATGTTCATCTTATAACAAGATACAGTAAGGCAAAAATAGTTGTAAGATAATGCCAAGGGAGTTGATTAACCAAGTACCTCAACTTGCCCTGCCATTACCTATGAACTATTTTGGTCAAATAGTTATATTTAAATAGTGACAAAACAAATAGTCACATGATAACTCACTGCACTATATCAACACAACTACACTTTGTAGGATAATTATTAATAATTTATACATTATTACCATTTAATATTTATCCAGCAATATGAAAAATACTTAAATGCACCAAACTACAGAACAGAGCTTCTGTAAAGAAACTACAGAGCTCCTAAAGAGGGAAAAGTAAATTAGTAATTAAGTTTACATAAAAGGTAAAACTAAATTCTTACCGATAATCCAATTTGTGCATTATGAGACATCTTCTGTTCACCAAAGGTGAATCCAGTTTGCAGGTATGCATCGCCCGACTGTTTCAGCCCGGAGATTTTAAATATTGCAGATGGCTTTTCATTTGTGATGTTGCCCAAGAGATGCCAAGTTGGTGGTTTGGTGGGCTCAGGCCAACTGAAGTACACTGTTGAGAAGTCATTATAGGTCTCACTAATGTACTGTTTCTACCTTGGCAAACTTTTCCCCCACACAATTTGAATATATTTTTCTTTTCTTTAGGCATTGACAAAATGTTTGTGTACAAAAATAATGAGATGATAAATCTGCCAGTTCTCAGCCATTTAAACAAGTCATTTATGTTCCATGTTCATAAAATATACTTTTATTTGTTTAACTATGCATATGGTTTGAATTTAGAGAACAGATACCTAAAAAGAAAGGCCAGTGTAATAAAGATCATAATATACTGCATATGATTCTACTGGTGAAATCCCTGAATAAATGGGTGATATAACTACAGTATGTGTATGTTGCCAGACAACAATAACTGGAGACGAGGGGAAAAGGTGTAGTTGGCCCAATCGGTCCACCAATTATTATACAATACAGTATATGGGAACCTACATATTTCAGTTAACACTTTAATTATTATTGCATTTTCAGACATGACTGGTGTCATTTTGTAGATAAAAATCTCAACCTATTCACATTTTCTGTAAAGATTTTATATGTATTTTTAAATCCGATTGGCAAAAAGTTTGAAATGTGCAGATAACGCAAGAACATAAACCCCCCTTCACACAAATTGAGGACAAATAATTTGTACAAAAACATTCCTTTTGAAAAGAATTTTATATTTAATGATGTTTGCTTTTAGTTTTTTATATTGCTAATTTCTTTAATTGTTTATATTATTTAACCTTTAGCAACTCTTAATCTCTCTAGACAATTGTCATCCCTTCCCATGAGAGGAAAATTATAATGATAATCCACACAAAGAAAATTGTCATGTGTATAGTACTATGCACATGATGACACATGCTGTACTCTAAAACAGCTTCAGTTGTTAACAAGTATGAAAGAAAACAGGAAGGTCATTAAGTATGTTGAAAAAGACATGTCTACTTATCAATTTACCGTACAGTGTTTTATATTTTTGACTAGTTAGAAAGGCAGTGATAGATTAATACTTTATAAACAAGGGGTGTTCATAAAGTTCCCAGATTTATTTTAAAATATCAATTACCTCTTTGAATGAAGTGCGAGACAATACCTCATACACCACGTTCTTCGCAACTGCGCTGATGTATTTTATATACATCTGCGCAATTGTGCATGGTAACTATGTTAATGTATCTCTGTGGGAAGAGTTTGCACACTCTTGATGAGATCATCAGACATGATGTGCACACTTTATACAGTTTTATTTCAGGAAATTGAATAATGCAATAGCATGAGGGAGCAAGGTCTGTGTTTTATTGACTAAACCACACACTAGAATGTGAAGGGACGATGACATTTCGGTCCGTCCTGGGCCATTCTCAAGTTGATTGTGATCATTCCCAATCGACTTGAGAATGGTCCAGGACGGACCGAAACGTCGTCGTCCCTTCACCTTCTAGTGTGTGGTCTGGTCAACATAATTTAGCCACATTATTGTGACTCATCGCCTGCATCTGTGTTTTATTGTGAGTTGGCAATAACTACCCATTTAGAGTTAGACTAGAATTTTGTGTTCTTGAAATCAAAGTTCTTGGATTTGATTTGTTATTTCTTCCACTAGATGGCATTATTGCTTCTGCATCAACAGTACAGCATTTGTTGGCTTGCATGACCAGCACAAATTTTTCTGAACAATACCACTTAGTTGTTCCCTCAGGGAATAGTCCAAAGAATATGACCAAGCAACAACCAAGCTATATTAATATTACTTACCAGAATTCCTGGGATCTTTTCAAAAGTCCCTACTGGGTCACAGTGGGGTAGCAAGAGCTTGGATAATATACAGTATTATATTCAGCTTTGAATGACCTCTGGAAGGTTCATTTACCAGAGCGCCAGTAGTAGACTCGACAGGAAGGTTACCAACTCATCAACAGTATTCACCTTTGTTCCAAAAGACTTTTTCCAATTGAATTTTAAACCGAAGCCATGTCTTAGCATTTACATCGCTGGTGGGTAATTTGGTAGGTTTATAACCCTATTTAGGGTATTTGCGCTTACACCCCTTACCGCTTACACTCGGCATAACTGGCCGACCCCTCACAGTGTTCAAGAGAGAACTGGATAAGCACCTCCAAAGGATACCTGATCAACCAGGCATGAGTCGCAGCCTGACTCATACGTCAGGCTGCGAGCAGCCGCGTCCAACAGCCTGGTTGATCACTCCGGCAACCAGGAGGCCTGGTCGACGACCGGGCCGCGGGGACGCTAGGCCCCGGAAGCACCTCAAGGTAACCTCAAGGTAACCCCTCCAAGCAATACTCTGCCCTAAAATGCCACCTCGTATTTCTAAGTGCAATTGGTTTACTGTACAGTACTTGGCCGATATATATTTGTCGCCTTTCTCCCTTTCCCCACTGTGATCTGGCAGCGATGTTTGAAATGATCCCCCCTGTGCTGGAAAGCAATTGTCGACCTGGCCTGACTTACCTGGTTACATCCTTGGGAGAGCAGGACATTTTCTAAGAAAACAACCGAGTGGACTGTTCAGAAAGGAATATTTAATTTATATTCAAACCATTATTTTGAGTTGAAGTGTTTCATGAAACTATTTGAACACTCCCCATACATGAATTTATAAAAAAGTAAGCGGACCTGATCCTCCGAGGCCATCTGGGAAAGGCTGCGTTCCTGTGAGGAAGACTACAACATGGTTGATGTTATCTGCCTGGGGTATGACTGTGAGAAATTGGGTCTCTCCTATTTGCTCAAAATTTGTCTGCACCTGTAAGAAAACAATAAGAAAAATTATCAGCCACTAGTAATTTTACATCCAGGTTCCTAATTAGTTAGGTGTACAGGGATGAACAGTGAAGGAATAGTGTCAAATCAATCCACCTTGCCCAGGGATATGAACCAAGTTGTTCTCACTTGCAAGTAAGTAAGGGAGGCTATAACCACAAGGCAAGGAGTGGCTTTATAAGTTTAGTGTTTCAAGGCACTGTAAATGAAACTTTTAATGTCTTCTCATAGACATAACAACATAGGATAAAAACTTAGGATAGGATTAGATGTTGAGATATAAGTCTCATCCTAATCACACACTCAAGACCTTGACAAAGCACTCAGGAGAGTGCAAAAAACTTGGTGTACACTATTTACATAAATTTCACAAATACGCAAGTAGGGTTTTTTATCCTATAACAATAATAATACTTGTAACAGTAAATAAGAATTTAAAAAAAAATTATACATGGGTAAATGTTAAGTATGTGCTCTATACAACTTTTTTTTTTTTACAAAACCCTATACTGTAATTATGAACAAGGCCCTAAATTTAGATTTAGTATTGTTAACTTATTTCATATACAGTACTGTATTGATGTTATCAAACTGAACAAGTATACACACTAGGTTGCGGGTGTGATAATTGGTTCTCGTACACGGGTAACTTTAGGCTTTGCTAAGGAAGTCACGCTGGGCTTTCGGACACTATATGCATATACACCTGCAGGGAATTTAATTGCAAACACACTGATACCGAAACGAGCGATGTAGCACGAGAATTAAGGTGAGAAAACTGAAACGAGTACAGTATACACATTTAGTGTCGCCGAGAACTCGCCCGTAAACGCTAGGCCTACTTCGTGCATACGCGCGGAGCGCATGCCTGGGGCGCAATACTGTTAATGTTTTAACATTAACAAACATCAAATAGTTTCATTGTGTTTAGTTACCTGTTCCCTTTTTTTGGATGCTGTGCGAGTCATTTTATAGGGGATATTCTCGGGTGGTATTGGAAGCCTTTGGATCCTCAATTATTACTTCTCAAGAGTTATTTACCAAGATTCTAATTGCCCCTGAGTCCATGATTATTGAATCCCTTCCTTCCTGGGGAAACAATAATTTAGACACATTCATTTATGTTAAATGGGAAGGTGGCGGCAGTGTTTAATGAGAATTTAATTATTAGTTATAAATTAATAACTCCTATTCTTGTTGTGTCCTCCTCATTTAATATTCAGCTTATATTCGTGGCAGTTCAGTGAGGGGTCATGCCGAGCTGTGGCAGTGTTAAGCTGGGGTATTGAGTGAAGGGAAAAGGTAGAGCAAAGAGAGTAGGTAAAGGGTTATTACAGTGTTAGAATAGGTTACGTAAATTGTCAAGAATTCTTAACTTTATGTGTAGCATCAATCGAGAAGACGAACAACAAGGCAAGTTGAGATTTCTAGTTGAATATTTTATAATTATATGTGGCAAGGCAATGCACATTATATTGTTTGCAGTATAAAAATAGTTGGAAATGGTTACTTTTGGACTTCTGCGGTGAACAAGTACGTTAATTCGGAAATCGTCACAATCCGGCTGGGGGTTCTTCCCATATAGTCCGGATTAGCGAGCTGATACAGTACTTAGAAGGTTCAAAAATCAAATATTGCCAAATCTAATTTAGCTTAGCCAGATAACATGACTAGCTGGAAGATGCTGTTAGAACTGAGGACACTTGTGCAGCAGGGATCCAATGTGGCCCAAGCCATATCAATTTGGCATCTGTGATGTCACAACTAATAGCAAACTTGTTGAGCTGTCTTAGTGCCAATTATGATATGTTGCATTACACATTATACTTTATTAAAATTTTGCAACAAACTTTGGGCCTGTAACAGTACACCATTGGCCTGAATTAGTTTGCTAGGTATTCTGTAATTTCCCACGTAGCCTGTAACCTAGATATGTCACCAGTGACGTAAAACTCATGATTTGGTTTGAGGTGGACCAGCCTAGTCCGCCCGTCCTCACACTGCTGCTGGAGTCACCTGTTGCTACCACGGTGGAGTCATCACCCAGGATACAGGTGCACACCAAGTACCAGTGACCGTGCTGGTGACGAGGGCGACACCAGGCCACCAGGAGCCCTGGATACTGGCAAGGTGAGGTAGAGGAGAGGCGGACACAACACTCACCAGTCGCCCGGAGACGATCAAACCGAAGAGGTTGGCCATGACACCCAACTCTCACCACAACCTGGGTTCTCCTGCTGCTGGAGGCGTTGCCCCGGGTGTTGTAGTTGCCGTGGGTGGTGTTGTGGGTGTTGTTAGCTAATGGTCACGTCCACTAGAGACGTCAAGTGATCTTCCTCCTCCTCCTCGTCCTCAGCTGACGTGCTGAGCGTCAAGTTCCTGCAGCTGTGAATGCTGTGTGTTATTATCCGCATCTCGTGAGGCTCTATGGTCATACCTCATTCCTCTCTGTATTTGGCTACATAAAATATTTATGCTGGTTATTACCACTCTACTCTGTGGTTTGTGGCCTACTTAATGAGATACTTAATTACTGTCATCCTCGAATGAGCTCCATTTTGACAAGAGTTAAAAGATAAATATAATGGTTACCCATTGTCGAGAAAAATGGAATTGTATATTAGTGCAGAATTTATAATTGAGTAACAATAAATATTTGTCTCTCAGATGTAAGTATGATGAATGGTTATAATTGAATGCAAATACTGGGGTTCTAGAACACTCCCGCTGCTTATGGAGCGTTGCTTCAAATCGAATCCAAGCTGGTTGATTTTTAATCACCAAAGATTTTATCTGAATTTACCTGAGAGCCACTATATCTCCCTAGAGACCTCGACGGGAACAGGAAGCCAGCAGCTTGTCAAAGGTCTCCCCCTCTGAGATTGTTTCTGAGGATTTTTTTTATTTTCTGTGGTTGGAAGAAAACGCGCACAGAGTGGGGGACTTATTTTAATTTAATAATAATAATAATAATTAATTATTAAATACAAATAATTAATTAATAACAGTCATAATAATAAATGATTAATTATAGTGATAATCCTTAAATGAAGAAGCATAATAGCGAATTAATGAATAAAATAGATAAACTTGAAACTTGAAGAAAACTTGAAATGTTGAGTGCACGCTACGCTCTTCACTCTACGCTGTATTTCAGCCCTTAAACTACCCCCAGATGATGTAGACCACCACCCACAGGCAGGTAAGTACATGGAGTCCAAGCATGTCATGACACATTCAAAGTAACCAACCCAAATATACTCATTCCATCTCAAACAAAATTCAAAACAATCCTCCCTGGCTGTGAGTACCAGTCCATGCTGCCCGCCACCCGCTGCCTGACGCAAGCTTCCACCACAACATATACTCCAGTCATCCTCGACCTTTCATGTCTCCCAGGAACAGGACTGTTCACGTAAATAAGAGCAACAAAGCCTCTAACAAGGCATCCATCCCGACAAACACTGACAGCCATCGTGTTTCTCCCTCTGGAAGCTCTGGGGCCTAACTAAACTCTATACTTACTACTATACTAGAGTTCTTTTTCTTTTTCTTTATACAAGGTATAAAGAGTTTAGTTTAGTTCATTTATTATGCACCTCATACCCATCTTGTGGGCGGTAGTGGAAAGGGTTAGAGAGGCACATAATGGGCTCAGGGACTGAACCCCACAATTCATTTAGCTAAGCAAGTTACAATCTTGATGAGCTAGTTACAAAATTCAGTATAAGTCGTCACATCAACAATGGGTTCGAGATCGACCACAAGTAGTTTCTAAATTAAAGGTATAAAGAAAGTCTTACATTCTTGTACAGCCACTAGTACGCATAGCATTTCGGGCAAGTCCTTTATCCTAATATTCCCCGGAATACGACCTCGCCAAATCGGTTAACACATATTTTACTGTTGGGTAAACAGAGGCTACAGTTAAGGATTGGCGCCCAGTAAATCCTACTGTAAATTGTTCCAGTGACTTGTTATACACCATGTAGAGTGGTAGGCATAATGCTTATGTTCCCTTTTTTAATATCCAAATGTTACTTTCTTGATGTTCCTATTTTCATTTGTTAAATAATTCCTCATGTTGTGCTTCGGTCGACCTCAGAAATACCAAGAACCGCAACCACTTGGAGTTGACGGTAGATCGAGTGACAGTCCCACTTCTAGCGGGTATATGCGCTCAATCCCCGACCGTCCAAGTGGTTGGATACCATTCCTTCCCCCAGTCCTATCCCAAATCCTTATCCATATATCCTTCCCAAGTACTATATCGTTGTGGCTTGGCGCTTTCTCCTCATAGTTACCTTATCTCTAACAACATTTAATAGAGTCAAAACAACATGAAATTCACTAGTTATTCCATTGGTTGAACAGGCCTCACACCAGGTGAGTAGTGAACCAACAGCCATGGTTTAGGCTACCTCGTAAATATCGCTGCAGCAATCAGTCAAACGTACAGCCCTGAGTTGGAAAAAGTGCTTCCCGGATTTTTCGTGTGAGCCAATACCATTATCAACAGACGTTAAAAACAAATTTTTACTTACTCTCAGATATTATGGGTATACAGAACGCGGTGTATAGCTGTACAAAATACACAAAACATGACAGTAGTAGATCTTTTCTGTGTCTATGTTGCTTAAACTCGTTACTTACTGTATCATTTAGTGCGTGGGTTGGGGTTAGATCAAGTTCAAGTATGTTTATTGAGATAAGAAAGAAATACATCTCAAAGGGATAGAGTAGCTTAGGCTATTTCTACCCCCCCTTATTTTAGCTTAGGCTATTTCTACCTACTTGGGGTTAGAATATGAAGGTAGCGTCACCAGAAAATTATAACACATTAAGAAGTAAACATTTATTGAACAATTGACAATACTATTTACATGTTATGGCAGGTCGTGAGATTCAACAGGTCAAAGGTCAAAATTTGTATATATAGATTTATATCTCAAATGCAATCAAATGACTAGGCTGAGGCAAGGCAGACCCCTAATACAGCTTTGTATTCGTACAAGTAAATCCTTTTGAAGGTGAGGTCTCCATGCCTGGCTGGATACAGTAGTCTAACTGGGGTCCCGACCTATTAATGGGTCGAAAATAAAATGTGGAGCAAACAACTGTGAATAAATTGGATAAGTTAAGATTTAGGAAGGACTTGGGTAAGTACTGGTTCGGTATCAGGGTTGTTGATTTGTGGGACTAATTACCGCGTAATGGTGGAGGTGGGGTCCCTCGATTGTTTCAAACGTGGGTTGGACATGGATATGAGTGGGATTGGGGAAATATATGAGATTTAGGAAGGACTTGGGTAAGTACTGGTTCGGTATCAGGGTTGTTGTATTTGTGACTAATTACCGCGTCATGGGGATTGAAGTGGGGTCCGATAGCTAGTTTTCAAACGTGGTGATTGATGCATGGATCAATAGATGGGATTGGGTGGAACTTGAACTGGTAGGCTGAGGTCGGGGACAATACTTCCAGTGCAGCTTCGGAAACGTTTTGTCTCTTCTATTTTCCGTATTTCGTCTGTGTCTCGCAATTGTTATTTCAATATATATTTTAGGGAAATATAATTACAATGAATTAGCGTAAACAGCATATATTTTTTGTTAACGTTTTCTTAGCTAGTACTATATATATTTTTTCAGGTTTCTTTATTTTCCTTTGTTTCGTTCTGTTTCTCTTTTTGTATTGTCTTTGTTTCTTGGACTGTTTTCATTGGTACATTTGATTTTAGCTTCCTCAACCTGGCCCGCTGCCTCTCCCTCACCTCATCCAAGAAGCTTAGCTCCGTCTTAACAAGGTCAACACAGTTCGGATCGTCTGCGTTTACCGCCACTTTCTTTACTATAGAAAACCAGTTCATATTTTTTGCCATAGTAGAATTATTGTTCTGCACAACGCAAGCTTTTTCCAGCCTCTTGTTTGCTGCTCTCAGCTCCTGAAGTTCGTGATTCATTTTCTTCCTACCGAACTCCTCGACTTTCCGCTCAAATATCTGGTAGAAGAAGTCGTAGAGCTGGACGTCTGCGTGATTCAACCGCTGCAAGTTTTCGCGGGTTTCCTCTGATATGTTTGTCTTGCGTATCTTGTCCCTGTGGTTGATGGTGAGGTAGGTGATGTCCTCCGTTTCCCAACACATGAGATTTTTCAACAACACCAGAGACTCGTCGAATCTCTCGGCTACCATGACCAGATCGAAGGCGTCGTCCAACCTTTTAAGCGTCTGCGCCAACTCGTCGGGTTTGTAGTCCTCCACTGTAGTATACCCCATGTCAATTCGTACAGGTAAATCCTTTTGAAGGTGAGGTCTCCATGCCTGGCTGGATACAGTAGTCTAACTGCGGGTCCCGACCTATTAATGGGTCGAAAATAAACAATATGTAGCAAACAACTGGGAATAAATTGGATAAGTTAAGATTTAGGAAAGACTTGGGTAAGTACTGGATCGGTATCAGGGTTGTTGATTTGTGGAACTAATTACCGCGTAACATGGTGGAGGTGGGATCCCTCGATTGTTTCAAACGTGGGTTGGACATGGATATGAGTGGGATTGGGTAGAAATAAATAGGAGCTGCCTTGTATAGGCCAATAGGCCTTCTGCTGTTACCTTTGTTCTTATGTAAACAGAAACAAAATAAAAAATATTCAAATGATAGCGACAATCTCAATCTCACTCGGTACTCATCATTGCAGTTTACGAGAGTGCTGGTACGCTTGTTGCCAGGCAACTGGTGCTGCCTAGTGAGCAACGCGCACACTACAGAATGTCAACACGTGTGTGTGTGTTTCCACAGCTGCTCGCAAATCCTCGGTAGTTTTCATCGATTTTCCCATAATCAGGTAGGTTTTTGCAATTAAAATCCGTCAGTAGGTATTGTGAATGCATTATACTTATGAGTTTTTTTTTTTAAAAGCTCGGGCCCCAGTACACATAGGGATACTGGGTCGCGATACGAAATGCAGTTCTTACTGTGGGTCGCAGTAAAGAAAATGAAAACCGCTGTTCTAGATGGAGGCGCACCAGAGATACGGTTAAGTAGTTAGTGTGTAGACGGGCTCACCATAGCCCGTGCTACTTGGAACTTTTTGTTCCAAGTAGCAAATCTTAAACAACAACAACAGGTTAAGTAACCACCTTGAGTATTTCTAAGCTTCGGTTGTTTTTTACCGGTGCTCCTGTATAGTTGCTGAGTGACTTCCGGTAACTAGTGGATCGTAATTACGAGGTCCTATTCTTTTTGAGTGTGTTGTAGGGTGACCTTGTTGGTATGGTACTTATGATGTAGGTTATCTTGTTATCTTGAGGTTATCTTGAGATGATTTCGGGGCTTAGCGTCCCCGCGGCCCGGTCCTCGACCAGGCAGCAGCTGTCTAACTCCCAGGTATCTATTTACTGCTAGGTAACAGGGGCATCAGGGTGAAAGAAACATTTTGCCCGTTTGCAGGGGACGATGAGTCACAATAACGTGGGTGGAACTTGAACTGGTAGGCTGAGGTCGGGGACAATACTTCCAGTGCAGCTTCGGAAACGTTTTGTCTCTTCTATTTTCCGTATTTCGTCTGTGTCTCGCAATTGTTATTTCAATATATATTTTAGGGAAATATAATTACAATGAATTAGCGTAAACAGCATATATTTTTTGTTAACGTTTTCTTAGCTAGTACTATATATATTTTTTCAGGTTTCTTTATTTTCCTTTGTTTCGTTCTGTTTCTCTTTTTTGTATTGTCTTTGTTTCTTGGACTGTTTTCATTGGTACATTTGATTTTAGCTTCCTCAACCTGGCCCGCTGCCTCTCCCTCACCTCATCCAAGAAGCTTAGCTCCGTCTTAACAAGGTCAACACAGTTCGGATCGTCTGCGTTTACCGCCACTTTCTTTACTATAGAAAACCAGTTCATATTTTTTGCCATAGTAGAATTATTGTTCTGCACAACGCAAGCTTTTTCCAGCCTCTTGTTTGCTGCTCTCAGCTCCTGAAGTTCGTGATTCATTTTCTTCCTACCGAACTCCTCGACTTTCCGCTCAAATATCTGGTAGAAGAAGTCGTAGAGCTGGACGTCTGCGTGATTCAACCGCTGCAAGTTTTCGCGGGTTTCCTCTGATATGTTTGTCTTGCGTATCTTGTCCCTGTGGTTGATGGTGAGGTAGGTGATGTCCTCCGTTTCCCAACACATGAGATTTTTCAACAACACCAGAGACTCGTCGAATCTCTCGGCTACCATGACCAGATCGAAGGCGTCGTCCAACCTTTTAAGCGTCTGCGCCAACTCGTCGGGTTTGTAGTCCTCCACTGTAGTATACCCCATGTCAAAAAACATTTGGTGTATGCCGAACACATTTAATTTGCGATTTCTAGCAACTGAACTGTACGGCTGCCTGGCGAACTTCTCCAGTGGCATTTTGTAAAACTGCAAAGAGATGCAAGTGCCTAGGATTATTTACAACCACGAAGAGGAATTGAACTTTCGTTTGGTATGGCTTAACCAAACAGTAACTTATTAACTAACCAGCAAGTATTCGTTATATACTATGAAAAGTGAGGCGCACCTGTCAAATTTGCGAAGGATTTATCTCGAAACTTATATGAAACAAATAGGAAGAACAAATGTGTGAAAATGTGGGCACAAGGAATTTGAATGCGCGAGTGAAATAAGTAAACATCACGTCAAACAAGACAAACTCAAAGTCTATTTACCTTTTGAAGTTCAAAGAAGTCCCAAAGGGATTCGAACGCGTTTAGTGGTTCCCTGACAATGGTTACCCAGAGGGCGTCCTCCCTCATCACCTGAGGGGAGGAAGAAACATAACTGCTGCGTAATCATTGACAAGATTTCTATAGATCACGTGAGTGTGATTTCTTTCTGGTTCATTCTTCATACAGGAAGCTCAAGTCATGACAAGTGAGCGTCGTGTGTGTGTGCTCAAGTCATGACAAGTGAGCGTCGTGTGTGTGCTCAAGTCATGACAAGTGAGCGTCGTCTGTGCATTTAAAGCACACCCAGACCTGCACACATCGAGAGACTGAATCACTGTTTACCTTGGATAAAGCTTCTAGGTTGAAGCGGGTGTGAACCACCATCATGTTGTATTTGCCATCTGGAGTCTGAAGAGAGCGAGGAATCATGGCTGCCTTGAAGGGTACTGGAGAGCCCAGGTAATTACCTGTCTGGGGTAGCACCCAGGTCAGTTCGTGTCTCTTCCCATACCTGGAACATTGACAGTTTACCTGTAATACTCGCGTGGTTAGTCTGTGGTAATTCATGTACAAATTACCCTATGATCTAATCGGGAAGGTACTTTATCCTCTCTACAATCTTGTTTATCTTTCGTATATTCTTTCTCCTTCTTCCCTTTCCTTCCTCTACTTTCCTTCTGTTCCAGTTGGTTTTCCTCTCCCTCACACTCTTCCACCCAATAAAATTATCTCTATACTTTGCATATGTTTTGATTGTATTGAGGTTCCCCCCAAGGTGGAACTTCTGACCCCTCCTCCTACTGATGTAACCCCACAACAGTCGTCCGGGTACCCATTTACTACTAGGAGAACAGGTGTGAAAGGAAATGTTCCTAGCTATTTCTTTTCCGCCCAAGGATCGAACCCGGGATCCCCGATTGTAAGTCAATAAGGAAAAAAAATGTTATACGAGATCCTATTATATACCTCCTTTCCATTCCATCATGTACAATGCATCCATCCCGCCAACCGTGCGTAAGTGTCCTCTCTCACCATGTATCCGTCCCTCCCACCATGTATCCCTTCCTCCCACCCTGTATCCCTCCCCTCCCATCTTGTATCCCGCCAGCTGTACCTGAGAAAGATGCGTTGGACGGTGGTTGACGCGCACTTGTGAGTTTTAAGAAACATCAAGTCCTGGCGAGGGAGGCAGCGACTCGTCGACGGCGCCACAGATGACGAGGACGGCCGCGAGGACGACTGCGAGGACGACCTCGAGGACACAGCCGAAGACCGGGACGCTGACACATCGAAGTCACTGACGAAGCTGGAGGTCAAATTAGAGGCAGGGTTAAGTCGAGGTTTTTCACCGAGTTTCACGTAAATAATGTGTTAAAAGTGAGGAAAAACAACACAGATAATTGCCATAACAACACCTGGCTCCGGGACCTGCAGGCTGTTGTTGTTTTAGATTTAGCTACTCGGAATGAAGTGTTCATGTAGCACGGGCTATGGTGAGCCCGTAATGCAGGGAACACCTATCATCATATACTCAGGCACGCGCACATGTGAGTCCTGACAGGTGTGGAATTCTTGTGGCTACCTGGCATAAGGCGGTCACAACTACCAGCCCCCAGCACCAAACATCTCCCACTATCAAATCATACATCTAATAATTTTCTTTGATCCTTGCTACTCTTCTTACCCTCTCCCTTGTCACCCTCTTCGCCTCTCTCATGTCGTTACTCCCCCTTTCTCCTCTCTGGCTCCTCTACTGCTCTCAGCACCGTCCGGCTTGTCCCACACGTCACGTCTTAAGATTACATCTACCTGAGTTCAAGTTCAAGTATGTTTATTGAGACAAGAAAGAAAGAAATCTCAAATTGATAGAGTAGCTTAGGCTATTTCTACCCCCCCCCCCCCAATCTATCTGAAGCTGCCTTCTTACCTCTAATTCAAATTCAAATGTTTATTCAGGTAAAAATACATACACAGAAGATGAGTTAAAGATAATGTTGGATTTATAAATAGAGCTAGTACATACAATACTTAAAGCCACTTATACGCTCAGCGTTTCAGGCAAGGTGTGGGGAGAAATACTTAAACTAAAACTTAATAGTAATTGAGATTAAAGTATAAATTGTATAAAAGGAATAAAAAAAGGGGACATTGCAAAAATCAACAATTATACAAGTTGGTCAACAGTATTGTTTGAAAATAGGCTAACATGGGTAGATATTTAGGGGGTAGGGTAGGTTACATGGAGTTTATTAGGTAGTACTTAGTTTTTATCTTGAACTGGTTGAGAGAGGTACAGCCTTTGACATGAATGGGAAGGTCATTATCAGTTATCAGTTCTATGTGAAATTTTGCCCCTATATATATATATATATATATATATATATATATATATATATATATATATATATATATATATATATATATATATATATATATATATATATATGCATATAATAAGCAATGTGTATGTGTGTGTGTGTGTGTGTTTGTGTTTTAATTAATATTCTCGAAACAGTTCGGTGAACTTGACACGAATCTTCTCAACATTTCTTAGGTTCTTCTTCACTTGGGATGTTAAAGTACAGTGCCACCATCCGGAGCCCAAGCCAGTCACGCCGAGAGAGGATGCTGGATCACACGGCCTGTGATGACTAAGCATATTGGCTTACGATCCGCTAGAAGCTGACGTTCGGTAATTGAGCACTTTATTTCACACGAAGCGGGAAGTCGACCACAGGTAATCAAAGCTTCTCGCTATAGAGTATCTAGAGTTACCAGAGCACAACCAGAAAAAAACGATTATCTGGGGAATGTTGAGTTTGGGGAGTATGTGGGTGGTAGCTTTGTAGTAGCCTACTGTATGTGGGTGGTAGCCTTGTGGTAGCCTACTGTATGTGCTACCACCCACATACAGTAGGCTACCACAAGGCTACCACCTTGTGGTAGTCTACTGTATGTGGGTGGTAGCCTTGTGGTAGTCTACTGTGTGGGTGGTAGCCTTGTGGTAGCCTACTGTGTGGGTGTGAACCTTATGGTAGCCTACTGTATGTGGGTGGGAACCTTGTGGTAGTCTACTGTAACATTTTTATAGGCAAATCAATTTAGGGCACATCATCAATCAGCTGTGCATGTCAGTCTCTGACGTTTGGCTCCCTGACTTCAAATACATAATTTATAACCCACTTACATAATATTCAAAGAAATGAACATTTGCACAAGCTTTACATCAGAAAATTCAAATGACACGATAGAACTCGAGCTGCAACCCAACCTCCGAATTGACAGTACGGTTTAATAATAAGTACATTTCCTGACTGTCATACATAGTACAAAATTGCACTTATGGGGCTGTTTCATTTACCACCCAATTTATTCTCTTCGTTTTCAGTTAAGACACTCAGAATTTTAGGATGAAGTTTTCTAGTTCAATTTGCTATGCACAAGTTTTAAATATCAGGAATTTATTTTTCACTTTTATTTAACAATAGATATTTTATACAAAATTTGAAAATATCCTGAGTTAATTTACAAATTATTGAAATATTTTAATTTTGTTTTGTTAGTTTTATATAACTTTAATATCAGTATAGCTATAGGTTAAGTACTAATTGTAATTAAGAAGCAATAAAATGCTTATCTTCAAACACTAAGAAGGTTAGGTTAGGTCGTGGTTTTCTATTCAGGTTTTTAGGTAAACTCAAATATTCACAATATATTTGACAGTACTGTTTAATACTAAGTGAAAATAAGTACAATTCCTGACTGCTAGGAATAGTACATAATTACACTTACTTGTGTTGTTACATTTACCTCCCCAATTTTGGAGGATGGACTTCAAACGAGCGGATCACAATAATAGTCCATACTAGAAGCAAAACAAAAAGCAAGAGAACATGGAGGAGATATCCAGAGAATAGAACATAAGATAACCAGATTAGCTACAAAAAATGAAAATGAATGAATATGTAAGAATTAGAAGAAGCAGAAGCAATTAAGGAATGATCTAGTATTAGAGTCAAAATACAAACCCAAGAATTAGAAGAAGCAGAAGCAATAAAGGAATGATCTAGTATTAGAGGCAAAATACCGACCCAAACTCTTGCGTATAGTTTGGTCTTTTGGAGACCAGGAGAAATAGTTAGGTGAATGAGCAGGTAACCAAACTGTAAGAGAGAGAGAGAGATGGGTGTGAAATATTAATTCAGGGATTGCAGAAGTACGCACACGAGCTAGAACATTAGTTAACTCGGAGGAACAGAACTTACTCAGAGGAAAACCCCGGATTAACAAGTGACGTTACAGGTAAAGAGACGACTATGGAAACTGAATAAAACAAGGACTATACAGTCAGATGCATTCTAACGTGACACAAGGAGCTGGGGTACTAGGGTCACCCTGTGCTCCCGTTTTTATCCTCTCACTGCAAGAGTGAATTAGCAAAGGTCTGAAAAATGACTAATATGATACCTATGTATCCAGAGGGAGGAAAGCAGGAGCCACTGAACAACATACAAGTATTCCCTCAAGGTGTTGGAAAGGCTAATTCAAAGAAAACTATTGGAACACTCAAGAAAACTATTGGAACACTCAAGAAAACTATTGGAACACTCAAGAAAACTATTGGAACACTCAAGAAAACTATTGGAACACTCAAGAAAACTAAGAAAACAAAAATAGGGAATGGGATAATACATTATTTTACCCGTCGCCAAAAAGGTGATGTTCGATCCTGCAAACACATTTAGGTAAGTTCACCAGAGCCAATGATGTCGTTGTTGTGTTGCCGTAAGATATCTTTAACACACGCACATACACGCATAGAAATCTAGATGGAGACAACTAGGTCCAGATTTAGTACATTGGATAACCGACGGTTAGAAAGGCGATAGTTAACAGCTCGATCCTGGAGGCACAACTAGTAATTACAAATACACACACACACACACACACACACACACCCTTCCCTACACAGTTATATTACCGTAATATACTTTCAGGTGAGAAATATGTATATGACAATGCAGTTGTTGGGAGTGTGTTGGTGTGAGGAGGAGACCACTTCACGCAGAGGACGGCCTCAATCACGCCAAGTCACTCACCTCCCACACATCAACCCTTCATAACAACTCCAGCTGGCAGACTCGTCCCCCCCCCCCCCCCCCCCCGCGGCTTACACACACACACCTTTACCCCGCGTATATACTCTATAAGTAATATACTTTATTCCTCAACACTATTACGAATTCAATCAATCAGATCTAGAAATAAAGACGGTAGCGAGCTTAATCCTTATTGTCAGTGGGGCGGAAACCGCAACATATAATCGAGTCTTCACTCTCTTGGAGTAGTGTTACAACGTGACTGGTAATCTGGAGACAAGTGAAGGAGGCATCACTACAATTGTGAGAGGTAAGTATACTACTGGACACTCCAGACATGCAGGAAGTCTTCTTTACTGCCCCACAGTGTGGTCTACACACCGGACGCAAGTCATCTTGACGCTGGAACCCCACCAACATAAATTACAAGGAAATGAGCAATATGTTTTATACCGTTGGCACAGCGTCTGACTATGGTAATGACGTGGCTATACAAACATTGCAATTATTAATATTATGCTTAATGATTATTGCCACATATGAAAATAATTGTATTTTATTACTGTTATAAAAAGCACTGATTGATGTGTGTTACTTCCCTGCCAGTAGTAAGTACAGGTGTTGTAAATAAACAAGTGAAGAGCACTTGTGTAACATATGATATAAAAAGGCACCTGTACGGTGGCGGAGACGTTGGCGTGACACGTAACAGCAGAAGGTATAAAATGACAACTGTGGCCACCGCTGACGCCGCCACCATCCGCCGCCCCAGCTCCCGTCTGAGGAAAACAAACATTTTCCTTATAGCACCAAATTTTGTTTAACGAGGTAAGAGGACTAAAATAATAATAATAATACAAAAAAACTAAGACACATGGGCCAAGAAATATGAGTGAAGAACCTGTCAAAACTTCACGTTGGCTGAGCCGGACACGGACCTGCGAATCACAAGCTAGTTCCGCCAGATTAACTCTTTTTGAAGAGCTGTCGAGATCAACCGGATGCCCGAGCAGATGGATTGATTGATGAAGATTAAGCCACCCAAGAGGTGACATTGGGATGGATAGACGTAATGCCCGAGCAAAGACGGATCTCAGGCAAGAAGTAATTTTCAAAAGAAGACCATGTAGACCTTGAGCAAGAAGCTTGGCGCCTCTTTATGCTAGTATCGACCCGAGGGGATAGGCTTCCAATAGGCGCAATGATTAATTCCGTTTCACTATCACCGGATCTTACCTTCCGAGTCATCTTTCTCCCTCTTCCTTTCCCCCGTTTTCCTTCTCCCCCTCCACTCCATTTCTCCTTCTCTTCCCCCCCCCCCTTCCTTGTGCCTTTTTCTCCCTTGTGCTCTTGTGATCTTCGACTCGTTAACCTCGGGTACATGCAGTCTTGCACACTGCCTGATGACCTCGCCTTCAGATGACTTTGATGACCAGATTGTAGTAGTTCTGTACCAGGGATTCTCTTCAGTGAACCCAGGGTGTTAGTCCAGTTTCCCCCAGTGAAAGGAGGGTTGGCTGTTACTCAAGTGTGTACTTTTAGTATCCATTTGCTTACCTCGGTGTCTGTATCTTCTGTGACGGTGTGATTGTGCTGTCTACACAGGTGAATGTTGGGGATGTTGACCAGACCGCGCACTGGGGGTTGGGGCGACGACGTTTCGGTCCGTCCTGGACCATTCTCAAGACTTGAGAATGGTCCAGGACGGACCGAGGCGTCGTCGCTTCGACTTCTAGTGTGTGGTCTGGTCAACATACTTCAGCCACGTTATTGTGACTCATCGCCTGCAATGTTGGGGATGGCGATGAATGTTGGGAGCGGGCGAGCGGACAAGCAAGTGTTGCTTTACTTACCTTCAATCGCTGGAACTTAATCGTAGCGATTTATTTGTATGCTTGGAGTGGCAGCGGGCTGGTGCCCACTCTTGCCTGGCTGGTGACACGCACCAGGATAATGCAGGTGCTGCAAACACTTGCATTCACGTGCAAAAATATCATGGTGCACCTGTGCTCTGAGGGGGAGGGAGAGGGCATGCGTGTTCACTTCCATGTTGTGTGTGATGGGACATTTTTATGATGCATGGTGACGTTCAATGCGGTGTCAGGCACACACCACTACACGTGTTTGATCTCTAGCGGACAGCGAGAGACATGGTTGTATGGGACCAGTCATAATGCTAATGACAGGTGTCGACTGATGGACATCAGTGGTACAATTACTTGATGATGAACTGGTGTTTGACTGGCAGCTAGTCTTGGCATTGACAGTAGCTGGTTGCTGGAGGCTGGCAGGTGGTGGTGGTGGTGCTAATAGTGGCCTGTTAGTCATTATTACCAAGAGGAAGTTACTTTCAACCGGGCTGTGGTGGGTATGTGGGCCTGCGGGCCGCTCCAAGCAACAGCCTGGTGGACCAAACTCTCACAAGTCGAGCCTGGCCTCGGGCCGGGCTTGGGGAGTAGAACAACTCCCAGAACCCCATCAACCAGGTATCAACCAGGTATCACCAGTGACGGATCTTAACCAATTAGACAAGGCACTAATATTATGTACACTACTTACATTTAAACAAAAGGAATTTTGGAGATGAGGAGTCACAATAATGTGGCTGAAATATGTTGACCAAACCACACACTAGAAAGTGAAGGGACGACGACGTTTCGGTCCGTCCTGGACCATTCGCAAGTCAATTGTTGTGATCAACTTGAAAATGGTCCAGGACGGACCGAAACGACGTCGTTCCTTCACTTTCTAGTGTGTGGTTTGTTAAACAAAAGTTTTTTTCGGCACTTTACTTATGGTAAGTGCCGAGAAATATAGTTTACTATTAGAGTCGCAGGAAAGAACGCAATATTCAAAGGACGAACATCAACTGGTTCGATACTGCACGGCAACCAGATTAAAATGGTTTAGAGACATGATAAATGTTGTCTTCACGACACTTGGCAACCGGGGATAATCACTATACATGCAAAAAGTAAATTACACACACACACAAACAGGTAAGAAAGAGAAGGGTGGGTAGACTGCATTTTCTTGGGCTGTTAGAAAGCCTTTGACACCATACTCCATAAAAACCAGTACAAAAGTTGGAGAAACAGGCAGGAGTAAAAGGTAAGGGGTTTCAGTAGATAAGGGAGTATCTAAGTAACGGGAAATGGCGAGTAACAGTTACAGCACCGCTCCTGTGCCAGGTAAGTCCACTCCGGGCTCACCATAGCCCGTGCTACTTGGTCGAACTTTTTGTTCCGAGTAGCTGAATCTAAAACAACAACAACGAGTAACTGTGAATGGGGGAGCCATCAGAGTGGAGAGAACAGCGGAGTCCCACAGGGCTCTGTACTTGGACTCATCCTGTTTCTGATATGTTCTTATTTATATATATACAAGAATTCTTACATTCTTGTAAAGCCACTAGCACGTATAGTGCTGGTGGCATACTGGCAGGTCCTTAATTCTAATTATTTCCCCGGAATACGACCCGCCGGATCGGTTAACAACCAGTACTCATTCAGTGCTGAGAGAACAGAGGCTACAGTTAAGATCAAGCCTCCCTGGTCAGGATAAAGCGTTTGCGAACCGCCGAAAACAAAGTGCTTTACAAAGTGCTTTGTAAACAATCTTCCAGAGGGTATAGACTCATTCCTCATTTTGTTTGCTGATGATGAAATAATTATGAGAAAAAACAAGACAGAGACTACTGGACAAACTGGAGAAATGGTCTAGAATATGGCTACTAAAGTTCAACTCAGGAAAGTGTAAAGTAATGAAATTAGGAAAAGGGAGCAGGAGGCTGAACACAAGGTACCATATGGGAGGTGAAATCCTGCAAGAGTTAAATAGAGAGAAAGATCTGGGGGTTGATATCACACCGAACCTGACCCCTGAAGCCCACATCAAAAGAATATCATCAGCGACATATGCTAGATTGACCAACATAAGAACTGCATTTAGAAACTTGTGTAAGGAATCGTTCAGGACCTTGTATACCAGCTCGGTATTCCTCGAGGCCTCGGGGCCTCGTAGCCTGGTGGATAGCGCGCAGGACTCGTAATTCTGTGGCGCGGGTTCGATTCCCGCACGAGGCAGAAACAAATGAGCAAAGTTTCTTTCACCCTGAATGCCCCTGTTACCTAGCAGTAAATAGGTAAATGGGAGTTAGTCAGCTGTCACGGGCTGCTTCCTGGGGGTGGAGGCCTGGTCGAGGACCGGGCCGCGGGGACACTAAAGCCTCGAAATCATCTCAAGATAACCTCAAGATAACCACTGATGTCAGAACAATCCTGGAATATTCAACTCCAGCCTGGAGTCCATATCTAGTTAAACACAGTTAAAGAAGATTCGGAGGAATGCCACCAGACTAGTCCCGGAACTGAGAGGTATTAGCTACGAGGAAAGGCAAAGGAAGGTAAACCTCACGTCCCTGGGAGACAGAAGAGTTTGGGGAAGACATGATAACCACCTACAAAATTCTCAGGGGAATTGACAGGGTGGACAAAGACAAACTCTTTAGCACGGGTGGAACACAAACAAGGGAAAACAGGTAGAACTTAGTACCCAAATGAACTACAGAGACATTATAAAATTTTGTTTTCAGTGTCAGAGTAGTTAACAAATGGAATGCTAACTTTATGTGATGTGATGTGGGCAGTGATGTGGTGGAGGCAGACTCTATACACAGTTTCAAATGTAGATTTGATAGAGCCCAGTAGGCTCCAGAATCTGTACACCAGTTGATTCACAGTTGAGATGCGGGACCAAAGAGCCAGAGCTCAACTCCCCCAAGCACAACTAGATAAGTACAGAGCCTCGCGGCTCAGTCGACAGCGCTCGGGGGTAGTATAGTCCTAAGGGTCCAGGTCCCCATCATTCCACTATTTCCCCATCCCCCCGCCGGCGCTCTGATGGTAATCTTGGGAATGGTATTTTATCAAATCAACTCATTTTTTGGGACCACGTGAGCAACACAAATGCGAACAAGCCTGAATGGTCCCCAGGCGTATATGCATGGGGAAATAGCCTCGGCTACCATCATCTTTTGTCGGGTTTTGATGGTCGAGCGGTTAAGGTCTCCTGTATACCAGTTGCATAGTGCTCCTGGCAGTATGGGTTCGAGTCACTTCTGGGGTGTGGAGTTTTCAGTTGCATATACGCCTGGGGACTATGCAAGGCCCGATTTGCCTAATAAGCCGAGTGATTTTCTTTATTTTCAATAAATTGTTTCCAATTAGTTTATTTAAAATATTATTATTATATTATATTAAGAACATGAATTACTGACTTAGTTATATTAGTTTAGGTTAGGTTAGGTAGGGTTGGTTAGGTTCCTACGTTAGTTTTAACTCAAATGAAAAGAACTTAACTCATACATAATGAAATGGATAGTTTTATCATTTCATAAAAAAATAGAAAAATATATAAATTCAGGAAAACTTGGCTTATTAGGCAAATCGGGCCTTGCATAGTAGGCCGAGTACGACGTTCTGGCTCCTAGGTACAACATATATACATATATATTGAAGAAAAACTATGCATCCAGAGATAATGAATAGTGTAACTATCAGATTTAATAATTTTATTATTGTTGTAGTAATAATAACAAATTACTATTATTAGTTTTTAAGTTATGAATTTTTAATATTATATAACAAGATTTAGGGAATACCATCGGCAGTTACACATATATATCAGAAACCCTTACTTGTACATGTTGCCAGCAGTACGCTGACGAGGGTCAGGTGTGTGTGTGTACCTACACACTCACCACCTGCGGGTAGAGCACCTGTTATTACACACAACATAATGACACCTGTGGAATTCTTTGTCATCTTCAACAACAAAATTATATTATTTAGAGCACTGAGGTGACTCGAACCAGCGATCAGATATGCCCAACCGTGCACTTTACCCCTATATCACAATATTGTATAAGCTATACAACCTGGGATTCCACTGAATCCACAGGAAATCTGGAAGCCTCTTCTGAAGCCAGTCCAAGTTTGACATATTACCTCCCCCCCCCAAGTACTGGAGTAGGTAAAGTAGTTCACCAACAGTATGCTCCAGCCTCATACACACACACACACAAATCACACCAACGTGGTATACTGTATATCAGTGAGAATCAAATGGAGCTTCAGTGAAAGCCTTCAGACTTCCTGTGAATTTAATGGGATTCCAGGTTGTATTATATAACCCAATGTTATTATCCATATTTATGGTGGCTAGCAATATATATATATATATATATA